GGGGGAAATCAAGATACTGTACAGTATGGACATTTGTTTTTCATGGAATTCGTGTCCTTCCTTGCCACTCAAAGCAAGTATTACAGTAGAGTAATACGGGGAAGCATTATAACCAGAAGACCAAAACATTCAAGCAGAAAACAAGCCCAGTGTTTAAGAGACAGGACAAAGTGATCTCACAAAACAAATTCCATTTATCTGGGCATTACCGTGGTGAAATCTCCCTCCCTGTTACCTCTAGCTACACATCAGCTTGTAGTGAGATATGCAACAGACCCTAATAGTAGGTTAACTCCTGCTGGAACATCGGAACAGCATCCTGTTCTCACAGTGGCCAGCCAGATGTATATAGGAAGCCAGCAAGCAAAATCTGAGTGCAATCTCAGCTGTCCTCCACTGTGATTGATTCCCAGTTACTGATATGCACAGGCATATTGATCATAGCCATTGTTGCTGTTTTTATTTACTTATTATTTACGGCATTTATATGCTGCTCAATCATTAACATTTCTAGGGGTATGCATAAAAATAAACCATACAGGAGAAAATAAGAATTCATAAAACCAAATAGAAACCTGAAAGGCAACCTTAAAATGTCTGCAGGAATAAGAAAGTCTTTGCCATGTGCCTGTCTAATCTCAGGTGGAAGGGGCCATAACATTAAACACAACTTCTAGTAGTTAAGTTGTGCATCTAAGCTATTGAGGTGGCACCTATAGACAACCCCAAAGATACCAGTGATACAAGGGATCAGGCAGGCATTAGGAAATCATGATCCCAGATTGTTAGCTAGTAGACATTCATACATAGCATTATCTTCTTAAATACGTCCAAGTTGGTGGCCCTCTACTTAAGGTTGTCCCTCTCCGGCCAACTGAAGGGCACTGGCAGAATCATATTGGAGATAAATACCCTTGCGGTATTCTAGCTCTAAACCACTTGAGGCTTTAGGGACATAACCAGAATCTTAAATTGAACAGGAGTGGAATAACATGCCTCCCTAGAGCTGGTTCCAGCTAACACTATTGCAATGGCATTTTGTACCTGATTTTTCATCAGGAGAGCAGCGTCATCCAAAATGGATTGCTTCCCTACCTCTAGATCTTACTGACCAATAGTACTTCCATCTTCTCCGGATTATGTTAAAATGCCTTTCTCTCTGTCAAACAGGCTACAGAGCTTGCTGAATACACAGCCAGGATTGCACTGCTGGAAGAGGCAAGGAAACGCAAGGAGAACGAAGTAGAAGAGTGGCAGCACAGGGTAAGTGCTAAGTTTCTTTAGAGCTACGTATCAGTCTGTTTGACCTCCAAGGGTTTAGCAGTTTTAGTCCTGCCTTGGAACTTTCAGTGCCATTAATCTGAGAGTAAGGGCTACACAGTTCTGTAGAACAGTAGTTTTTGCTACTCTTCCAGCCCTAGAAGCGTATGATGGGATTGTGTGGGGTAGGACCAGATTGTTTACTTAAGATATTTGTATAATGCTTCTGAGGTGCTTGTCTCAAAGTGGTTTGTATAAAAATGTTTAAACAATAAGCATTTGTAAAACTGCTTTATTTATAAAATAGTTTATAAATAGCCTTTTACAATCCATCTCAAATCAGTGTGTACAAGTTAACATGAAAAAATAGTAAAATCACAGAAATTAACAACAAATGGCCCCAGGACACCATTCATCCTGAGATTAAACCCCTGAAATGTTTTGATCACTGAAAAATGACTCATATGGGTGCTTGCTGGAGCTCCAAGAGAAGGTAGTTCCCTAGGCAGGAGGCACCATAGAGGGGGCCTTCCCCGTGGCGGCCATTGGCAGGATTACAATGCAGCTAAGAGAACCTGCAACGGCTGAGCACAATGTTCAGACAGGGAAACAGGGAGAGAGGCTCTCTTTTAGGTATCCTGATCCTTGGTTTGGAGTTTTAGAAATTAAAACCAAAGCCTTGGTACTTGGGCTGCTAGCTTGTCACCTCTTTTAGGAGAAGTGTATTATGTCTGTGATAGGGCATTCCACTGAGTTACCTCACTGCAGCCTTCTGCACCACGTGTGGCTTCCAGACCAACCTCGGGCAAAGCCCCACAGAATAAGAGTGCTCCTCGTTCTGTACCCACCAGAATCCTAGTAAAAAGTATTTTGTCTAAATTTTCTCTCTGGTTCCATTACAATAGGCTATAGAAGCCCAAGAAGATCTTGTAAAAACAAAAGAGGAGCTGCACTTGGTGATGACTGCTCCACCTCCTCCACCCCCACCTGTGTATGAGCCAGTGAACTACCATGTCCACGACAACCTTCAGGACGAAGGAACTGAGTCCTCTGGCTACAGCGCAGAATTCTCCAGTGAAGGGATCTTGGATGATCGTAACGAAGAGAAGAGAATCACTGAAGCCCAAAAGAATGAGCGTGTGCAAAAGCAGCTGAAGGTAAGATACACCTAGATCAGTTTCACATGACTGAGATGACTGCTGCTCTTCGTGGTTGATGATTTTGTCCGAAATGGGGCTTCAGTCCCAGTGTTTCCATCTAAAACCATACGGTAGCCACTTCATGAAACTGATTGTGTGGATCAGTAGTAGTTTGTGCTCAGCACTATCAGCATGTTGCCCAAACTATCATATGCAGCTGTCCTGCAGAAGATGCCATGTTCGGTCCCTGGCATCTCCATGCAGGACTGGGAGAGACTTCTGCCTTGAATGCTGGAGAGCTACTGCCACCAGTGTAAACAAACTGAGCTCGATGGACTGAGTGGACTCACTCAGTAGAAGGCAGCTTCCTTTGTTGGTTGTTCCAAAGAGTTGAGAGATGTTTATATCTGCTTCTTTCACTGCCCTTGTACTGAATGCTGAACCTGTTAAATGCAGATGCTAATAAATGTACCAGGAAGCTCATATGGAACTGAGGATTCTTATATTTCATTTAATAATTGTGGGTCGTTATTGTAGGCCTCAATTGCCTATCTAAGGAAGCCTGGCATGGCTAGGATTGGAAGAAATCCAGAATCTTCTAAATTGCCCCCAGGCTCTTATTTTTCTACACTCCTCTTGTTGTACCACTTCTAGTTGTCCTATTACAAGAAACACCGTGGCAAAGATTTTCATATCCTGGCTTCCAAGCAATAGAAGGACTGAGGAATGATGTTCTGTTATGGTCTTGTGTGCTACCTCATACTCCCCTAAGTATTTGTATGCCTGTGTAACTCATGTGTTTTAAATATTGCAGACGCTGACTGATGAACTAGCCCAGGCCAGAGATGAGAACAAGAAGACACAAAACGACCTCATTCACACAGAGAATATGCGGCAAGGACGAGACAAGTACAAGACACTGAGGCAGATCCGACAAGGCAACACCAAGCAAAGAATTGATGAGTTTGAAGCTATGTAAATGCATAAGGCAAGACTCTGGGAAAGGCAGGTTTTCAATGCTGACCTTTCTTTCTGAAGGGTCACTGAACAGTCATACCAAAAAAAAAAATAATCCCCAAACCCTCACACCTGTCAGATGCTACCTGATTTTAGCTTAATACAACATCAGTTTTAAGCATACAAGGATAGCCACCACAAGGTTTTCAGTCAAGACTTGGTGAAATTTGGTCCTATGCTAGTGCCAAAAGGCTTGTCAGAATTGTTTCTTTTCCGTGTTACTATTGTGCTGCTTGTTACACTGCTTGTCTGCACCCATTTCTATAGTGTGGTAGGTATGTCCAGATTGGGGAATCAGCCTACTAGTTTGCTGCACCAGGTTGTTTCTTAAGCAGCACAGACAATTCAGGGTTGTACAGATCTTCATGGCGTCCATCTCTCCCCCCCCCCCCTTTACACTGTTGACATTTCTACAGTGGTGGCAAGTAGTAAGTCTGAGGAAGCTTATTAATTGCACTGTTGTATTGGAGAAGTTCCCACAGTGATCATTCAGAAGCTATGCATTACAGGCACACTTGGATGCTCTTCTTACATAACAGATAGGCAGGGATATTGTTGGCCTTCAATGTTATTGAAGTGTGGTACTCCAGCTTAACCAATCAGCTGTAGTGTAGTATTTATATATACCTATGTTAAAGATGCAAGTGACAGATATAATTCTAGTTTGAAAAGGGAGGATAAAAGTTTTTTGCTTTGTATATTTTGTTACTACTTTCAGACTTAATATGAAAAGAATAATGTAAAAAATAGACAATAATTTCTAGTCTCTGAAGCCAAGGCAGTGTAGGAAACTATTTTGATCTAGAAAACATTTGTAAAGATGATTTTTTTTTTACTTTAAAGCAAATTGTGATAACATGGCGTGATTCAGTATATACAATTTCACTGTACCTATTTTTTTTTCTAACAAATTTTCTAATTTTTTAAAAATGATATAGTTTCAGACTCCAACCATGAAGGGACTTTGTCAGCTTATTTTCTCTATTAAAGAGAATTTCTATGGATTTCTTCTACCACTGTGTCCATGTTAACTTCCACCCGTGAAACAATCCCACCTCAGGCTTTGGAAATCTGCTAGAATGTCAAGTGAACAATACATTGTTAGCTCTGTTCAACATGTAACTCCCTATGCTGCTTTGTACTCAAAGACGTTTTAACCGTTGTCTCCTGATAACAGTGTTGTGGGATTTGTTTGTGTAATTCACCAACAAATAAAAAATCTGCAAGGCAGCATGTGTTTGAAGTTCTGTGTGATTTCCCCCCCCCATACTTTCTATTCCTGCCATCAAAGATATTTGAAAAATTAATGGATGGTATTGGTAAATAAAACAGCTCATCTAGTCACTCTATAGAAGGAAGTTGAGATCCAATGTAGTGTAAGTAATGCCCACGTGTGCAATGGGTCATCTTCCACATATCCCCATAATAAGCTCCAGAGGCTCAGACTCTGTGGACCAGATGGGGTGCATGCAGAGAACTGGAGGTGGGAGAAGAGAAATCAGAAGCTCCATTGTAGATGCTTGTTGTGCAAGCAGACTTGCTTCACTTGGAACAGATGAAACAAAGGAAGAACAGAAATCATTGTAGTGATCGTATTATTTATTTATTTTATGACTGTGATATATCCTGTTTCCCTCACCCTCCATTTTATCACAATAAATTAAGTCCCTTGCATATCTGGTTAAAAGACCCTTAGATTTCTTTAGACACTAGGGAGCAGATGCCTGTTAGGGTAGATAATACTAAATTAATTGGCTCAATAGTATTGGGCAGCTTATACAGTGGTACCTTGATTTATGAACTTAATCCGTTCCTAGACTGAGGCACGCTTTCCCTAATGAGGCCTCCTGCCATCGGTGCCTTTCCACCATTCGACTTCCATTCTTGGACTGAGGTAAAGTTCACAAACCAGGACACTACCGGTTTTGCGGAGTTCGTAAACCAAATAGTTTGTAAACAGGGCTGTTCTTAAACCGAGGTACCACTGTCTATGGAACTAAGCAAAACACCCTCTTTGTGGTATTTTCCAGTTAAAGAATAAATAAGTGGTTTACAAAAACAACTTTCCAAAAAGGATGCATGTGTGTGCTTGTTTCCAACTAATTACATGCATAGATAAAATGCCATACATTGGGGTTTTCTTCAAAGATTTATCTTAAACGTTCATTGGAGGAGTTCTGTTCTTTGATGCTGACAAGCAAAAAGAATAGGTTGTCCAGATGCTGACATATATTGGCTGCAGTTATAGGCGTCATCTCAAGTAATTGGTGCACAGTGCTGCTGAATTTACAAGCATAGCCAGATTGATTTAGGAGAACAAAGCTGAGACTGTCAAAGTAGAAGAGAAATATGGAGAAAGAAAAGGGTTTGGGCTGATTATGAGAGAGAGAAGAAGGCAGCCGTGAAAATAAACAAGGGTGTTACAGCAAACATTCTTGCATTGCTTAGTCCTAGCCTTTGGAGTTTTCAAAAAGAGATGCAACCATGAAATAGTTCATCAACAGCAGCATTAAATTCCCAGTCTAACCTTGCTATTGCTTGAATTGTGCCAGGAAATCATGCCTGCTGCTCTGGCTATGATAGTTTCCCAGAGAAATAGGTGAACTCTAAATTTGCAGTTAACACTTCTGGTGTTTATAGATCTGAGGTTCTTTCACACATGCACAGTCTGACTTGCTGTGAAGCTCCTGACATACACAAGAGATCAGTAAAGCTGTTCCCTTCTTGTTCTTTTCATTCATTGTTTACATTTTTTGGGGTTAAAATAACTGGCATACCATACTTGTCTGAGCAGGCAATGACCAATGCTACACATAGCTTTCCATATGTTGTTAAGGAAGAGACATTCAGAATTTAAAGGCAGGAGCATTAGGATACAGTGAAAGTGCTATGTCTGTCCATGTGTCTGGGCTACTGAGCATCTTTTCCCACTGAAGACATGCTTGGGAGGTTGCATCCACTGTACCGGTTGATGTTTCTGGAAACACAAGAAAGGGAAAGTGATTCATCTTGACTTTGTCCATTTAATAGCTCTCGTTTTGTTAAGAAAACCTAACACCTCATGTCCTGATAGAATGCAGTACATGAATTACAATCAAGAATTAGGCAAAGGCTCCTCACATCTTGAGTTTCAATAGATACCATTATGTTTGCAAAACAGAGCATATCTGGGGTGTGAGAGTCAGACCCAGCAGTTTCTTTGTTTATCTTACATGCAAATTTTGGAAGCAGAACAAAAAGTTCAGTCTACTCTTCCAACTCCCTTTGCAGAGATGTCACATCTATTTATATGTGACAAATAAAACTTTGTGCTTTAAACATGTTTACATTCTACAAAGCCCTTTCCTGAAACCATGTCCTTTGAAGACAGTACATTTGGAACCAGCTCTCTGAAATTTTTTCCTACAAAGTTTTGAGTACTGAGATTCAGGCTGCTTCATGCATTTATCTGGTCAATGGGTCTCTTTTGCATGGTGCAAGTACACAGTGGAAACACACACTCAGAGCAAGGGTCCTCAATCTTTTAAAATCCCAGGACCAAAATAATGGGAATCCCTGGCACCACAAAATACCATTTTGCCAGAGAAAAAACTGGTGATACTCAGTGAACCAAAATATTCATGCACACTCCAAATAAGCAGAAGAAACGGGCAAACAAAAAGCAAGTTAAACAATAAAAAGCAGCCAAAATACCAGGGACCTCTCGCCCCCCCTCCAATTAAACAACATGCAATCTGGGGTGTGGAAAGGAAGAGCGTAGGGCAGCTGGAGGCCTGCACTTCTCTTTCCAGCAAGATTTAAAAGCTGGAAAGGAGCTCCAAAAATGTTTTCAAAAGAAATGGCAGGGGGTCTGGGGATGCCATGATGCCCACAGGCACTATGTTGGGGGCTCCAGAATTAGAGTACAATTGGCCAATTAAGTATGTGGATCATCGTTGAGTATAATCTATTGAAAGATTCCTCTTGCACTTTCTATTGTTATGAGTTTGTGGGTGCTAGACCACTATAATCTCCAGATCAAGCAAACGTTAGAAATTAATCAATGCTTGAAGTGTTAAGACAGACCTGTGTGTATTAAATTGTGTGCTGGAAAATGCTAATCCCCTGGAATTAACAAGTGATGAGAACTAATTAAGATAGGCTAAATTTCCCTTGTCCAGAAAATCATCTTGGGGTGGGGGGATGAGTCATTACAAAAGCCAATGGATCAAATGAACTTTGTGTTAAATGGCAAATGGATCAACAGATAAAGAGGGCTTGCGGTAGCAAGAGTTAAGAGTGATGTCTCTGGGAAGTTATGTGGGCAGAAGCTGAAGAAAAGCTGCAGGCAGGCAGAGAGCCATGGCTGATGTCAGACTCCTAAGCTGCGCCTATGGAGGAAGCAAGAGCCTCTTGAAGTATAATGCTGGGAACCCCTCCATCATAGGGTCAGGTTGTATATATGTGTAAATAAACCATATAACATAAAGGCACCACAGTCTTTGCTGTGCCTCATTCCCGAAACATGAACCTTGCGTAAGCATGCCTAGAACCCCTGGAATCTCACACTGCTTGGCAATTGGGGTGGCGTGTAACAATACCTTTATAACAAATGCAGTAGTTCTCACTCATTTACAAGAGATGTATACATTTTTAAATAAACTATCAGATTCTATGCAGTTTACGAAATGATCTTTTGCAGTTGAACTGGGTTTTGGAGTAGTTTGCTGGTCCTGCTATATTTTTTGTGTGTCTGTCCAGCTTTTAATTAGATGGGTCTTTGACACTGAGAAAAATAATGGCTTGCCACAGGGAAAGCTTAGCAGGATACAACGCCTGCTGCGAGCAGTTCCAATTAGTGTTGCTAATGACGTGTCAGCATTGCTTTGTCCCTTTGATTGTTTGCCAAAGAGAAGGCTTTTATGACAAACTGAGGAGAGCCAAAACAAGGAAAAACAGAATACAGTGGATTAATTCAGCAAGCAGCAACTAGGTCAGTGGTTCTCAACATGTGAAGTGCTTCCATAGTGAACTATGGGGGAGGTTGGCGTTCCCCTGTGACATCCTCCTAGTATACTGTATGTTCTAACTGGGCCAGGAGGCAAAGTTCCAATGCTTGTGTTGATTGGCTGTGCCAGGGACCAATAGGGTGGCTATCAGTGTGTTCTCCAAAGCTTCCTTTTAAGGTAGTATGGTGGACATACATGCCCTATTTCCTATGTTTAAAAATTCATCACACAAAATGGTCCTGCTGCAAGGAGAAAATATCATATAATAAACCAGAGCATTCACATTAGTGTGTGGACTCCTGGGGCCCATCAGATGCAATTTTTAACTTCACCACTTTTTGAGGGAGTTATTATTTAAGTGAGGCTTCCAAAGGACTGAGCATCTGCATGAATGCTCCAGCTCATATGGTATCTCCTCAATGGCAATGGGACTACTCTGTGTAGATATTGAAATGAATGAAATGGGGCTGTGGATCTCTGGGCCCGCTTCCTTTTCATGTATGTATGGGCAGGGTAGTTTGCAAACTGAGCTGTGAATCAAGTCAGCCCTGGTTTGAATGTCATAAATTCACCAAGACCAGCCTCAGAACCCCACTCCTCAAAATGAAGATAAAACTGCCCTCTCTTTACATGGGTGCTGTACAAATTACAGGAAGATAATATATGTGATATGCTCTGAACAGACTTGAAGCTCTGCATAAACACAATACTAAAGTTGAATTACTTAATTCAACACATGTGTTGAGCTGGGGTGAGGAACCTGGGGTCTTCCAGATGTTGCAGGACTCTTGAACTCTCAATAGTATACTCCAGCAACTTCTAGAGGGCTACAGGTTCCTCAGCCCAACCCAGGACAGTCATTTCAAGCCTTAAAAAAATTATTTAATATGAGTTGTGCTGTTTTCCTAAAGTGTTTCATAGCCATCATTTTAGTAAACCTTACAAGAGTTGTGCACTGTGTAGACTGATGATATTATACCATTACATTAGAGATGGGGGAGAACCCGAGAACCCAGTGAATTCATAGCCAAGGTGAGATTTGATCTATAGAACTCCTAGGTCTTCCATCTCCACCTCCTTTACATTATCCCTAATGCAACACTGTGCTATGTGGGGTGATTGTGATATCTAGCAGCACAAAAGTCTCATTTTTTCCACTTACGTTTTCCGAGTCTTGCACCGCCCAAGAACTGATCACGTAAACCGAACGATGCTTGATCCCAGACAGTTAAGTCCAGACAAGATTGCTGCAGTTGAGATGCGGTAACCCCATTAAAGACAAACAAGTGGTTCCATTGTGGCTGGGCTTGTTTCTTCAGCACAGGAGTCCTTTGTTTTAAGTCACGTTGCCCCAGGATGCAAAGGCAGCTTCCCAAAGAGAAAGTTAGAAACCATTCAGTGAGATTTATGACAGGGAAAAGGTGAGGGCACAATCCAGCTAAAGTTATGCATTTTCAGTCTCCTTGATTTCAGGGAGGAAGTTGAGCATGCCCCATTTGAAAGCAACAGGGACTTTAAAGTGCTCAACTTTGACTGAACTCTGCCCCTACTTTGCAGAACAAACCAGTATCTCATGGCACCTTGAAGTCTGACATTTATCGAGGCTTGAGATACAATTAATGCAGGCATCAAATGAAGCAGGCGCTAGCCTACAAAGGTTCATACTACAATTCATGAATTGTTAAGGTACCAAAATACAATGCCATTTTTTTCTTGCCACTGACTAACTAACGTAGCTACTCTTCTTGAATTACTTCAGGAAAGTTTTATAAAATACCTTACAATCCTTCAGTTCTGTTGGTCTTTCTGTTTTTACTATAGGAGACTTTAAATAAAGCAGAGGTAAGGAACCTTCCTCCTGCCAACCTAGCAGTTTGAAAGCACGTCAAAGTGCAAGTAGATAAATAGGTACCGCTCCAGCAGGAAGGTAAACGGCGTTTCCATGCGCTGCTCTGGTTCGCCATTAGCGGCTTAGTCATGCTGGCCACATCACCCAGAAGCTGTATGCCGGCTCCCTCGGCCAATAAAGCGAGATGAGCGCCGCAACCCCAGAGTCAGCCACGACTGGACCTAATGGTCAGGGGTCCCTTTACCCTTTACCTTTAAGGAACCTTCAGTGCATGGGCATAATTAAACCTGGCACAGATCACAATTTGGCCAGAGAGGCAGTTTTGCAGCTTTTCACCAAACCTTGCCCACCAAACCTTGCACATGACGTCATAAATGACATTGGGTGGGCAGATAAGGGCATGGCCACAAAAGAACAACCATGAGCTTAATGTGAGCTCTTGACTGCTCCTTTGCATGTAGGGTTTACTGACAACATCAGTCAACTGATCAGTTGATCCCAGCTCATCAGGCTGTACTAACTGTACTAACTACCAGTACAGGGAGCCCCTTTGAACTTTGACAGGTGGGCAGGGCCTTTTGTCAATTAATGCGGGCCCACAGGGAGGGGCCAGATTAAGCATCTGGTCCCTGACTGGATCCAGTTCCCCACTCCTGAACTAAGGTCTTGTCCCTCATCCACACACACACACACACACACACACACAGAGATTTGTCTTCTTGACTTTGGCAGTTACGAGGCTGTACCATTTTGGGGCTGCTAATCACTACAATTCTTACTGGCCAATATTACTGCTTCTAACCATTTCCCCAGGGGTAGCACACAAGGGAACTGCATGGACAGGTACCATTCCTGTGCCACAGTACAGTGCACATCATCCCCCATCTCTTGGCAAAAGCTCTTTGCCTTTAACTTTGTCATGACATTCAGGGGGATTGTGCAGTGAAAAGCAGCAGGCAAGAAAAGAGGTAAGCACCTCCTCATTCTACTGCATCATTGGCTATGCCCAATTGTTTTTCTTTCTTTTTTTCAAAGAAAGAGTCAGGATTCTGTTACACATGTTTAAATTGGCTAAACTACGTCTGGGAGGAAGGGAATACCAAGGCTGTGAAAGGAGTCCCCTCTTTATATTCTCCCATACAGGCAAGGCCGGCGTTTCTTAGAAATGCATGTCTGCCAGCCTTTTGGCCAAAATCAGGACCTGACATGCCTGTGACTAGAAAGGAATCCAGCCTCTGGAAGAATGAAGTTGCATGCTCCTGGCAACTCTCTTTGCAGGAAGAAGGCAGCTACATTTTGCATCACTTACAGTTACTAGCCAACTGAAGATTTCAGCCTTGATTACACCTTTATCTTCAATGCCTTTTTGGCGAGAAGGCGATGCTGCCAATTGATATAACATACTTATCTTGGACATATTTTTACTTCCTCCAACTCTGTCATGTTTCTAAGTCAACTACAAGCTAACCACCATGGTCACTACATCTTTTTGCATCTTAAACCCAAGTCACAGAATTGGACCAATCTTGGGCTCACACTGTGATGCCCTGAAATATTTTGCCATGCAGATGATAATGTGTACAATCCAGCTATAGTTAAACAGCTTTAAACTAACTTTCAAAAAGTTTAATGCATCATAAATAATAAAACAATTACATTTTAAACAACATTGCAAACCATACCCTTTAACAAATGCGTTCAATAGGCCATCAGGTCTTAGCATAGGCAAGTTGTGGGCTCCAAGAATTAGAAGTTGAAGCTGGTACTCAGGATGTGCTCTGACTTCCATCCCTGAAAGAGGGCAGAAACCAGAAGAGAGTTATCACAGTGTTTAGGGTAAAATGTCTAGGTGCTATCAGCTGCCATTATGATCTATGTCACATACTGTGAGCAAGGAGATTATGAAAAGAAGACCAAAATGCTACAACATCTTACAGACTAACACAGCTCTCTAAACCCCCAATCTGCCATGCTAGAGGGAGGTTTGGAGTGGAAGTATCCTTTCATATAGCCCCACCACTGGCAGGAGAGATTTGTTGGTGAGGAACACTCCAATGTGCCCTCCCAAATGGCAGACAGTGGAGATTCCAGAAACAGAGTGCTGCAGGAGTATGCAGAGAAAGGGACGGGCTGGGCAGGCACAGGATGTGCTGGATCTTGAGCGGACCCTGCTGCTGTCAGGAACAGTCCTGATCTGGGTCTCTTTGCTGTACCAGCCGGGAGCTGGCATAGTATTTTTCCTGACCCCACCCACCTTCCGGTGCCAGCAGTGAAACAGTGATGGCTAGGCTACTCCATTGAGACCTACTACTGCTAGTCAAGGGTTTGGATTGTTCCCTAAATAGTTTAGTGCAGGGGCAACAAATAAAAAAAGTGGGTGTCTGCACCCACACACAGCATTCAGAATCACCCACTTTAGACAGTTGCCTTATTCTGTCTGATAGTAGGGCAAGTTCTGTGCCAGAGATAAATTAAGACTAATGACTTCCATCATAATCCATAGAATTACCAACACTGCTAGAAGCCACATCACAAATGGTGAATGCTATGGAAGAGCTATTTGGCAGTCTAAATCCCATGTGTGATAAAAACCTAAGACACAGGGACAAAGGGCTGAGTATATGTGTTGTTGCTGTGCCCCATGACAGTCATTTTGTGTTTTGCCACACACCCCACAGCAGCCATTTTGTGACCGGTGCCCACAAACTTCCCTTAAAATTCCAAATGTGTCCACTGGCCCAAAAAGGTTGGCAATCCCTAAACAAGTGAATGTTATTTTTGAGGACTTTACATAAACTGACACAGAGTTTTAATAGCAAAGTTAATACATACGATGCTTTGTATTTTCTTTCTCATGCTCACCATATTGGAACTTGTTACGTAGGGAAGGTGAAACCAGCTTTGCACGCACCAGAAGTTCTCCACTGTACTGGAGTACATTATCTCCAGGCTTTTCGGGCTATACAGAAGTTGAGAGAAGAATACACACAAACATAGTTGACAGCTTGTGATTGCCCTGTGCCTTTCCTCTCTTCTCATAATTACCGTATTTTTTGCTCTATAAGACTCACTTTTTCCCTCCTAAAAAGTAAGGGGAAATGTGTGTGCCTCTTATGGAGTGAATGCAGGCTGTGCAGCTATCCCAGAAGCCAGAACAGCAAGAGGGATTGCTGCTTTCACTGCACAGTGATCCCTCTTGATGTTCTGGCTTCTGAGATTCAGAATATTTTTTTTCTTGTTTTCCTCCTCCAAAAACTAGGTGCATCTTGTGGTCTGGTGCGTCTTATAGAGCGAAAAATATGGTAATTCATATAATCAGTTGTGACATTATTCTCAAATGATAAAACAGGTCAAGCCTGAAAGTCTACCTGCATTAATCACAGTTATTAGACACTAACAGGAATAACTGATCTCATATTTCAATGACCCATACTATAAAACTGAATAAGCAGCTAAACTTTCATCTAGGGCAAGACCATGGATCCATAATTTTCTTTTTGTTAAAAATATAGTGAAAGGTTAGGAGGTGACTCAAGGTGACTCAGCTATCATGGTGAATGTCTAAAGACTTAATCAATTCCTTTGATGACACTATCCATCTCATTATAGTGGACAAAGTAAGTTTGCATCAGAATGTTAGGAATTAAAAGCATACACTGTATATTCATATACAGACATACTTCTCTCTCTCTCTCTGTGTGTGTGTGTGTGTGCATTTGCTGGAAAATATGTAGCTCTAATACAAAGCTGGAGTCACCTTTGCTTTGAGTTGATACCAGTTGAATGACTGAGTTGAACTGTCTTCAAAATCCCAAGATTCAAATGGGATCACCACTTCTCCAAGGAATACTCGGTGTCTGAAAGTTCCAGCATGCCATACAGATATTTGCAGTTGTCGAGTTTCCAGCTGCGAGTATTCAATCTTGTACTGTAAGCATCAGAAGTACCACAGTGCAATGCATAAGACTAACATATTTTTATGAAGTTACAGCATTAAAATCTGCCAGAATTACAAAGGAATTCCCTCTTCTGTACAGCTATTAAAGATAAATGAGTGCTGTGCTCCAGTATGATCAACCCATTGTGGTCTACTCACCTGGTGAGTCAGTTAATGTTTTAAAAGAAATCTGCCCGTGTACTTAATCAGCATCAAAGCATGCAAATATCTTCTGAAAGTTCAGAAATCAAGTACAATTCCCTCCCTCTATGATATAAGGATGAGTATCCTGAAACACTGCGCTGATGCATCACGGCAGCAGCTAGTGGTACTGACTTTTCATAATGCCTTTTAATGTAACAGTTGGATTTTTTTTTAATGTTAGCAAGTCCAAACAGCAATGTTTGAGACATTCATTGTGAAAAGAGGAAGCTGGCACAATAGATTTTAATTCCTTTCAACTTCATAAATATTCCATCCAAATCATGATTCACTTCCTTTAACCTTTGAAAGAAGAGACATTTGCTCAGGCTCTTAAAAGCAAATAGTTGTCCTTTGAACAATACACAACCTTATTTTGGTTAGAATTTTTTCAAGTGCAGTCTATATAGCTTTGGCCACATCATAATTCAGAAGACAGGCAGCTATTTTAATAGAGCTATTTAAAGGCCAGGCTGATTCTGATATATTGGAAATATATCAGTATACTGATGATACCCAAGCTCAATCAATCCAAGTTAGGCAGTGAATCTGTGCAAGTGCTGTGCTGGTATCTGGAGGTACTAATGGGCTGAATAAAGGCCAATAAAGGTGAATCCAAACAAGATGGAGGCACTCTTGGTGGGAAATTGGGGAATAAACCTGTCAGGATGTGGCTAAACTCCTTCTGGAGAAGCAGGTCCATAATTTGGGGGTACTTCTTAATCCAGCTTTGTCACTTGAGACCCAAGTGGCTTCCATGGCTAGTAGTGCCTATTGCCAACTCTGGCCAATTCACCAGCAGCGCCCCTTCCTGGGTCAAGATAGCTTAGCCACACAGTGGCCCATGTTCTAGTGACTGCTAGGTTAGACTTCTGCAATGTGTTTTACTTTCTGCAATGTGTTTTAAAGGACAAAAGTGGTAAGGACCTAACAGAAGCAGAAGACATCAAGAAGAGGTGGCAAGAATACACAGAGGAATTATACCAGAAAGAAATGGATGACTTGTACACCACAGGTAGTGTGGTTGCTGACCTTGAGCCAGACATCCTGGAGAGTGAAGTCAAATGGGCCTTAGAAAGCACGGCTAATAACAAGGCCAGTGGAAGTGATGGTATTCCAGCTGAACTATTTAAAATTTTAAAAGATGGTGCTGTTAAGGTGCTACACTCAATATGCCAGAAAGTTTGGAAAACTCAGCAGTGGCCAGAGGATTGGAGAAGATCAGTCTACATCCCAATCCCAAAGAAGGGCAGTGCCAAAGAATGCTCCAACTACCGCACAATTGCACTCATTTCACACGCTAGCAAGGTTATGCTTAAAATTCTACAAGGAAGGCTCAAGCAGTATGTGGACCAAGAACTCCCAGAAGTGCAAGCTGGATTTAGAAGAGGCAGAGGAACCAGAGACCAAATTGCAAACATGCGCTGGATTATGGAGAAAGCTAGAGAGTTCCAGAAAGACATCTACTTTTGCTTCATTGACTATGCAAAAGCCTTTGACTATGTCGACCACAGCAAACTATGGCAAGTTCTTAAAGAAATGGGAGTGCCTGATCACCTCATCTGTCTCCTGAGAAATCTCTATGTGGGACAAGAAGCTACAGTTAGAACTGGATATAGAACAACTGACTGGTTCAAAATTGGAAAAGGAATACGGCAAGGCTGTATATTGTCTCCCTGCTTATTCAACTTATATGCAGAATTCATCATGTGAAAGGCTGGGCCGGAAGAAATATCAACAACCTCAGATATGCAGATGACACAACCTTGATGGCAGAAAGTGAGGAGGAATTAAAGAACCTTTTAACGAGGGTGAAAGAGGAGAAGGCAAAATATGGTCTGAAGCTCAACATCAAAAAAACGAAGATCATGGCCACTGGTCCCATCACCTCCTGGCAAATAGAAGTGGAAGAAATGGAGGCAGTGAGAGATTTTACTTTCTTGGGCTCCATGATCACTGCAGATGGTGACAGCAGTCATGAAATTAAAAGATGCCTGCTCCTTGGGAGAAAGGCGATGGCAAACCTAGACAGCAACTTAAAAAGCAGAGACATCACCTTGCCAACAAAGGTCCGTATAGTTAAAGCCATGGTTTTCCCAGTAGTGATGTATGGAAGTGAGAGCTGGACCATAAAGAAGGCTGATCGCCGTAGAATTGATGCTTTTGAATTATGGTACTGGAGGAGACTCTTGAGAGTCCCATGGACTGCAAGAAGATCAAACGCATCCATTCTTAAGGAAATTAGCCCTGAGTGCTCACTGGAAGGACAGATCGTGAAGCTGAGGCTCCAATACTTTGGCCACCTCATGAGAAGAGAATATTCCCTGGAAAAGATCCTGATGTTGGGAAAGATTGAGGGCACAAGGAGAAGGGGACGACAGAGGACGAGATGGTTGGACAGTGTTCTCGAAGCTACAAACATGAGTCTGACCAAACTGCGGGAGGCAGTGGAAGACAGAAGTGCCTGGCGTGTTCTGGTCCATGGGGTCACGAAGAGTCGGACACGACTAAACGACTAAACAACAACGTGTTTTACATGGTGCAATCTCTGAAGATGGTCCAGAAGCTGCAGCTAGTGCAGAATGCTGGCACTAGGCTACTCTGTGGTATGAACAGCCAAAATCATATTACACCTGTCCTTCCGAAGTTGTGCTGGTTGCCTATTCACTACTGGGTTCAATTCAAGTTACTAACGATAGCATATATTGACTTAGGTCCCAAACACTTAAAGGATAGCCTCCTCCTATATCTGCCTATTTGGCCAGATATAGGGAAGGCCCTTCTCATGGCCCCATTGATGGGCACAGCCCCATGTATAGAGCTATAGGATAGGATCTTCTCCATGGCAATGCCTCAGTAATAGAACTTCTTTTGGAGATATGATTCACAATCTCTTCACAAAGGCATTCAGGTGAGGACTGTGGGCCAAATGTTTATTTTAACCTACTGCTGAACTGTTTAAATGCTTTAACTGGGTGACTGCTATCAATTTTATATGTGGTTTCATCTTTTAGTTAAGCACCATTGATCTCTCCTTCGCAGGAAGCTCTGCTTCTAGATCCACTAAAAGCAGAAGTTTAGCTGTGCACAAGAGCGAGGGTGAGAGTGGGGAATGTAGAAATCTGGATTATAAATGTTGCTTAGTGTACCTTTAATGTTTCTTGGAAGGTTGGATCCAATGTGTTCTTTTTCACAGAGGTCTTCCGTTTACTCTGAGAAGATTTATCAGGCAGCAAGCGAGTCTTGATGTACCTTGCAATCAGAGATGGAAACAGCAGTTAAGAGCCGAAGAAAGAGAGGGAGAGGAAATGAAACCACGTGCTTCCTACTACTTAATCTCTGTAGCATTTACTGATATATGTTTTCCTTGCAGCATTCTAGGACTTTCTACATTATCAGCTTATTGTTAGCTGCACACATCAATATATATTCCCTCAAGCTAGCTGTTCCATAAATATTACATTTTCTGAGCCTTCAAAATGTAGTCTTTTGCACCTGAGGAAGAATAGAAGACTACCCCCAGCTACCACTGAGGGAATTCTTGTGCATCCATGATAATTTGTGCCTATAATACTATTGGAGCAGTTATATGCAAACCCACTTTTAATACTGCTTATGCTGCCAAACGTTTTGGGGCAGACATACTGCTCCATTTCCAGTCTTGTACACCCCATGATTTCCTGCTGAAATCCTGTAACTTTTCATGCCACAAAATAACCCAAAGTTGTTGTTATTTTGTCCTGCTTTCATTGAGCTACAGTGTAAGAGGGCTAATGCACACCCAGGATCACACTCAGTCAGTACAGCAGGAGACTCTTAATCTCAGGGTTGTGTGTTCAACTCCAACATTGGGCAAAAGATTCCTGCATTGTAAAGGGTTGAACTAGAAGACCTTTGTGGTCCCTTCCAACTCTACAATTCTATGATTCTAACTAATAAAGCAGAATGAAGTGTGGAAAGTCCAGTATAAAGTCATCACTAATGCACATCTTCTTGCATCAGTGCCATGTTGCAGAATATATTCACACACCAGAAACCACTGATCTGGAGGAGCTCTGAGTTTCTTTTTTTTTAAGTGTACAGGTCCATTATTACTCAACCCGGCACTATCATACAAACCTTTTATTAAGCCTGCCCCCTCCCTTACAGATTTGTTTTTTTTAAAAAAAAGATTTCCCCCTCAGCAATGCAAAGTCAATTTCTGAATCTGTTGTTATTTTATTTAACTTCCTTTTGTTTCTGTTTCTCCTATTCAGGGCCATCCACACTTGCATTATGATCATCTTGATGGCCTGTAGGTATGTATGAAGACCAAGTCCATTTGGAAGGGCTCCAGTTTGATCACCTGGCAATGCAACAGATTCAGCACCAAACCCTGGGAAAGTGTTAGGACAAGTTTGAAATTCCAGAATGCTTTTCCCATTCTGCTCAAAGGATGACTTAACATGAAGCTCATGTGCTACTCATTACACACATGCTTCTTAAAAAGCGAAACATCCTGCTTTAATCCTAGCTTCAGCATAGTCAAAGAGTAGAAAGGGCTCTTGAGGTTCAACATGACTACAGCCCTGCAATTAAAGTCAGAATCTTAAGCACTTATTCCGGAGTAAACTATATGGAACTCAGTGGAACTTATGCCCAAGTAAAAATGTCTGTGGTTGGGCTTTCAAGCTCTCTGGGCTTAAGCAATCCTCACAAAGATACTTGTCCAGGCTAGACTCTACCTGATAAAAATCCATTTTCCTGGAAGTAATTGCTACAGTTTCACTTCTTAAAATCATCACAACAGCCTATAGCCCCTGATGGTCAGTAAGAGTTTGCAGTGAAATAAACTTCTGCAGCTACATCCAAGCATACCTAGAAGTGACTAAAATATCTGCATTGATCTATAACCTCTCTGGTTTCTGAACAGCAGGGGAAATAGTTGTTTTTCCCTTTTGCTTGATGTATGCATGTATGTATGTATGTATGTAAACTATGAGGGACGCGGGTGGCACTGTGGTCTAAACCTAGGGCTTGCAGATCAGAAGGTCAGCAGCTCGAATCCCTGTGACGGGGTGAGCTCCCGTTTCTCCGTCCCTGCTCCTGCCAACCTAGCAGTTCTAAAGTACGTCAAAGTGCAAGTAGATAAATAGGTACAGATCCGGAAGGAAGGTAAACGGCATTTCCGTGCGCTGCTCTGGTTCGCCAGAAGCGGCTTAGTCATGCTGGCCAAATGACCCGGAAGCTGTAAGACGGCTCCCTCGGCCAAAAAAGCGAGATGGGGTCCCTTTTATGTAAACTATAAATAATCTACCTATTTTCTTTTAATTTACAGATGGCCACAACACAGCAACAAAAGTCTATACCAAACAATTTCCCCAGACTGGTTCCATTGTCCTATGCAATTTTTAAGTTTGAACATCCAACATAAATATTATTGGTTGAAACATGACCCACTTTGCCTCTTGTCCTTCATACAGTCTTTAATTATCAGTCATTCCACCTCATCTTTTTGGTAGTCATTTATATGAAAACTGAAAACCACGCTAAAGAAGGAGGGAGGGATATTTACAGGAGTCAAAGCTTCAAGCCCCAATTTTACTTGTATCAGAATTTCATGCCATAGGCTTTGGAAAGATAAGCCTAGACAAACTTACGGATTGCATTTTTTCTTTTTCTCCTCTCCATAAGCCAAGTTCTTGCAGGCTCTGATATATACCTCTAAAATGCCAGATTTGAAGAGATATCTGATGGCAACTTCTATCTCACCGCTGACATCAGCTTGCTCAAAGTTGCCAGCCTCAGTGCAAGTGCTGTTAATGCTGAATAAACTACCCTGTAATGAAGAAAATGAATTAATACAATGTAAAAAGACATAATCACTTGCTCTATAGGCTTAACGGCGATGCATGATATTGTAAGAGCCTTGAAATATTACAACCATCTTCATTTCTTTAATAACAACAACTATTATTATTGTTATTGTTAATATATTTGAACCCCACCCATCTGCCATCTTTATCATAAGATTCCTCATGTTTCTGGAATTCCCAAAAGATAAGCAATATGTTGTCCAATATAGAACATCACTGCATTCCTCTGTGAATTTTCCACTGTTAGATTACAAGCAGTGAATTGCTAAGCTTCTACAATCTAACAGTGACAAAAAAAACTGAGTTAAAGAAGAAATGTGTGTGTGTGTGTGTGTGTGTAATATCTATAACTTTCTTAAATTATTTTTCTATAATTTCCCCCCCTTAACTGAGTTTTCTGGTCACAGAGTTTTTGGTTAAGAGTTAGTTTTCCCTTAAACTGTTTGCATATTTCCTTCCATTGTGAACATAGGATGAAAACAGGATCACTACTTACACTTAGTTTTCCTGAAGAAAATAGGTCACTTATGGCACTGGATGGAATTAGCTCTTCACTGGATTTCCTTTTGGCAGCAACTCCATTGACACCTTGATCTCCACTTACAAGCCGTTGAAGACTTGGGGCATCATTTACCTGTAGAGAGATGTACTAATGGGTTTTTATTACTTTCCTCAATTAACTGTTCTCTGAAAATAGCTGCCCACTCCAGCAAATTGCAGCAGGTACAAGACATGCACTCATGCAGTGTATTCTCCCATTTCAAAGGATTTCCCCATACACTTCAATGGAGGAACACAGATTTGCAAGGATATTCCTTTACAACCATGGTTACCCCTCCATTAGAGTTCATAGGGCAACTTGCAGTTCACACAGACATTTCTTCTGATTCACATTCAGAAGCCTTGGGGAGATCAGTGGGAGGTGAAGTAAAACACGTAATTCCCAATTATACAAAAAATGTACTTATGGAACTAAGAACAGAAAATCATCACAATCAAGAAAGGAGAAACTATGTGTATTTTAATCCACTCAAAGAATCTTTTGTGTTTTCCGGGAGCAGAATTTGGAGTTTACTTTCAAGTGCAGAAAGCTAAGCCCTGTGTGTATATTTGCTTGTAAACAGTCCTTTAAAATATACTGAATATATCCAACTGAATACCCTGGATGAAATATCAATGGCAGTGTCAGACAGGCTTCTCCTCTCCTTCTTTGGATCCATAGCTTGCCCATAATCTGTTGTTAGCAACCCTTTCTCAGCTGTCATATCATTCTGGGACTTTGATATTTCTAGAATTAATAAAAGGAGAATTAAAAAGATTAAAAAAACATCAAACATACTCATTTTGTTTATGAAGTTCATCTATTGTCTTGTACACTACTTTGTACTAAGCAAAAGATAACATTAGATTCATAACTGAAAGCATGGCTGATATTTATGATACAATGCACACACAAAATTGAGGTGTGAAGGAAGGGTCAAGTTTTCAAGACCTGATAAAAACCTACTAATAAAGAAATCAAAGTATTGCCATAAACTGGGAATGTACAATACCCATATTTCCCCTAGGATTAGACCCATATTGGTGAGTAACATTATTTCATTGTATGTAATACTGTCCTTGTCAGAAAGAATCTCAGAGACTGCATGTCATTTTGATACCAGAAGATACTTGAGCGCTTTTAAGTCCACAAAAGAAAGGAAATTCTGAGTCATGTCTGACTTATGAAACCTTTCCATCATTACCCTTTATAACAATCAATATTTGTTTACCCATTGCTTGCAGTAAATGGCCCATGAGACACACAAACAGTTAAACCAAATCTGATCATCTCCTGCAGGAAATGCAACATGTCTGTTTAGTTATTATTCACTGTCTATGCCCATAAGGTGGGTTGAAGCTAAGGAGCAGCTGGTGGTGGTGGTGGAGCAGCATATAAAAGCTTCTGCTTAGAGTCTCTCCACAAAAACACAAGGTCAGATATTGTTTGATGCTCTGTTGACATTTCCAACATGGGTGATACTGGAAAAGAGCTTAAACATACTGAAGTACAAAATGCAGAATTGATTACAGAACTGAACCAATGAGTGTAAGAGCAGAAAGTGTATTATGTCCAACAATCTGTTTTCTACAGCAAGCTCCTGTATTTGTTATAACAATGAATAAAAATGTCAATTGCAGGGATGGGGAAATCTTGTTCCAGACATGCTCTTAGGCTGTGTATGCGCTATTCAAGGCACATTTCCCCCCTCAAAGAATTTTGGATACTGTAGTTTGTTAAAGGTTGATAGGAATTGTAATTCTGTGAGTCTGCAGTGTTCAGAATTCTTTGAGAAGAAAAATGGGCTTTGAATGTGCTAAGATACAGGATGTATGCAGCCTTAGAGAGGCATATATGCAATCTTAATTTACAGGACAGCATTGGAATTTACATTTGAAGAAACTGGCTGGAATGCATCACATTAGGTCACCTCAGCATTGAACACAACACAGCTAGAAGTTAGTTCCATTTCAGTGGAACACAGTGCTTCAAGAAAGGGGTTCTCTGTTACTGACAACTTTGATGCACAACAAGTCTGGAGTACTGAAAACAGGAATAACGCTAACTGCCATTACACTGCAGTAGTACCTACTGTAAGTTTTCAAGTTACACATAGGGTAGTTATACATATGGGTCACATTCAGTGTTTTTCTTAAAAAAATGTTTAGGGGTACTCTCATTTTCCTACTCATATTGAAATACTGCCCCTCAATGAGGCCAAACCTAGATTCACAAAATGTTTAGGGGTATGCGTACCCCTGTGTCCCCCAGAAAAAAAGCACTGGTCACATTGCATAGTGGTTTTCAACCAGTGTTCCACAGAGCCTGGTGTTCCCCAGAAGTTTATCTTGGATTACTTGACCAATAAATAAAAAATAAACTCCAAAACCCCACACTAAGAAAAACAGCTTGTCCTCCATTATCAATTTTTCATTATCATGTAAGAGATGCAGCAACAGAAAGGGTTGGCCGAGTTCTAGCTGGTCCTCTTGGTTTATGCAAAGCGTGTGTGTGTTGTACAGTACCTGCACACCTATTCCTGAGTATGCACAAGGCTATTTATTATTTTTTTCTGAAAATGAAGTTGGACAAAGCTTTCCAGGTACAAAAGGCAATGTAAGGTAAAGGTAAACTGTAAAGTCCAGTCAAATTTGACTATGGGGTGTGGCACTCATCTCCGCTTTCAGGCGGAGGGAGCCAGTGTTTGTCTGCAGACAGCTTTTCCAGGTCATGTGGCCAGCATGACTAAACCGCTTCTGGCACAACGGGACACCATGACAGAAGCCAGAGTGCACGGAAACACTGTTTACCTTCCTGACACAGCTGTTCCTATTTATCTACTTGCGCTGGTATGCTTTCAAACTCTTAAAACTAAGCCAAAACCGTGGTGGCCTTGATATGCAATCTAACAATAACTAGGCACAACTAAGGCCCAGTTCTCACATCGTGATTGAAGGCTCCTCCAGTGTGGGGGGGGGGCGTACACATACATACATAGAAAAATGTCATTTCAGGACCAAAAGAACTCTGCTGGATCAAATCACAGGCCCATCTAATATAGTATCCTGCTGGCCACATGCCTCTTATAAGTTCACATGCAGGGTTTAAGAACAACAGTTCTTTCTGGTTGTTGCTCCCCAGAAACTGGTATTCCAAGCTATAGTTCCTTTGAATCTGGAAATTTCATGCAGCCATCATGTTAATAGCAAGGAAGAAATCTAGGAAAGAACCCATTTTTCCAGTATTTAGCTTTCTGCATACATGGGGGGGGGGGTCCGATTATGGAGAGGAATTCAATCATGTCAGCCTCCAACTTGCAACATTATGCCGTACAGTTAAGGTACAGGCTTACCACTTCACTAGCTCTACTAGTGAAGTTGAAATCAACTGAGTATTTGGGTCAGATGTGCAATCTATTCTTGAGGACTGAACTCAAGTAAATCACTTTTGCCAGCTTGCAGCAGAAGCTGGCTATATACAGTAGCAATTGACTGGCATCCATGCTGTTACCAAATAATGTTCCCTGGAACAGTTTTCAACTTTTGAAAACCTCATTGTTATTTTCACTAAAATTAAGGTGCTGAATGAATACTTCAGAGCATAAATAAACAAGCTGCACCTTAAGCAATTAAAAAATAGCCAGCATGTTCCAAACACAATGTGGGAGGATCACAATGTAAGACTAAAAAGTAGTACTGGAATCAGAAGCAAGTGTGCCTGTTATTTTCAAAAGTTTGACATGGGGAGCTGCTTCCCTTCGTGGACCTTGGAGAAAACACCACCAACTTAGAAGAGGTTGAATTCTCCCCTCTGCTTTCCATTAAATGGCCTGACCCGTCCTCTCAAGCTGAAACATTTTACTGCTTGCTTTAGAATAGCAAAGTCCTTAAGAACACTTACTTTTTATATGTGATGTAAATGTCAGAAACAGATTTTCCATAGACCTGTGGAAACTTTTAGTCTGGTCAAGTTCCTGCAATACAGGGTGAAAATAAAAAGATAAAAGTGATAAAAGAAGGAGTTGTGCTTTCAAGGCTTCTCAAGTCACATGCTCTTAGAAGCCTACCAAAAAAAAAAGTGCATGTGTGCAAACAGAGCTATCATATCTGTAGCTAAGCAATTAAGGGAAATGTTTTGGCATGACTTGAGCTGTCTGTGTTTGCAAAAAGGACACACAGGTCAGTTCAATCCTTTTGCATCTACCACAGCACAAATATGCTGTAATGATGTTACAAATAAAAGCAAGTAGCTTATCAAATGGAACATATTTAGGTGAAGAGCTGCAGCTCTGTGGTAGATCATCTGCTTTGCATGCAGAAGGTCCAAGATTCAGTATGGGAAACCCTGCAGAGAGATTATTTGACACTGATTGAACTTCTACTCTGATTGCTGGGGCAGTAATTTATTGATATATTTACTTATTTGTACATATAGCCTGCCCTTCACTGAATGGTCCCATGGCAAATTACATAAGATACCACATTTTAAAACAATATACAGCTTTCGTTAAAATCAGTAAGTTAAAGGGCCACAAAAATTGACATAATCCCCTGAATGGCAAAAACAACAATACAGCAGGAGGGGGAAAACAAGGGTAAAGAAGTATATCTTTACCACTTGCCGAAAGGTATGCAATCTGGTGCAAGACGCATCCTGGTGGCTTATAAAGAAACAAAAGTAATCTGTATTGCAATCCTATATGTGCCCATTAAAAAACAAGTCCCACTGAATTCAATGGTGTTTACGTCCAAGTGAGACAATATAGGATTGCAGCCTCAACAGCCATTCAGTCAGTCTTCTGCTCCTTGCCGCTGGTGTACAACAGGACCGAGTCAACCTTCTTCAATCATCCCTATTTCAAAAACATTCATATTTATCTAGAAAACTAACAAACGAGTTCAGTGGCGCTTACTGCTAGGACTGCACTCTGAAAAACATAAAATGCACTCAATGGCACAAGTCTGTCAGGAAAACAAAAATTAAAAGAAAATGTGCTAAAAGGGAATAATTGTGCTAAAAGATGTGGTGCCACATTGAATTGAAAGATAGAAGTATACATTACCACTGTATTATGTTCACTTGTGGATTCAGCAAATGGAGGGGGAGTTGGAGGAACCACTGATATGTTACTGAGAATTTAAGGAGAACAGAATTTTACCATAAAGATGTAAGTTCATTTCTGACATACTGTATTCGCTATATCGCCTATACTCCATTTTAAAACCCATCAACCACCATTTCAATGAGATCAATCACCCCAAAAAATCAATAAAAATATAATAGCATAAAAATAATCACAAAAATCAATCAAAGCAGAACAGCACTAGACATTAGAGACCAACAATGTTATATTTAATGTAAAGGGTATATAAGTTTATTTTAGGGAACAGAGATGGCTGCAAAATTAATCAATTGTTTACGTGTATAAAACAGAAAGCAGATTATGTTAGAAGTAATTGGATGCTTTAAAGGTTACTACAGTAGGTAACAGTAGTATTTCTTTAACAATGTTTAAACAATACTTATTGGCATTTAAATTTATTTATATGGCATTTATATGGTTTATGGTTTATATTTAATAATGCTGGAATATATTTATTTATAAATTAGGTGGAATATGAAAGGACAGTAACTCGAATTTGTAAGCACACTATCTTATCATTCCCTTTATTGTGTTGAACATTTAATATAATAATAAAAACCATGGTAATAAATAATTGTAGAGATTAAATATGAAAGGAAAATAACCAGGGGAATGGCAGACATTCCTAGAAAATGAATTTCATATCGGAGGTGACAAAACTTGTCATACTATAAATCCCTCTCAGCTTAACCTCCAAAACAGATAAGATCCGTTAGATAATCTGGTGCATCTATTGACTGTGAAATGAAGTATACCATCACAGTATTTGATGCAGGTTCTGTATATTCTGACATTGGAACGAATTCTGTAGGCTAAGTCATGGAAAAATACCCCAAAACTGAGCAAAGCAAATTTTATTAGGAAGTTGTGGGAACAACTAACATTCTGAGGTTAACAACATTGAAAAATAAGGAAAAATACCCTGAAATATTATACAGATAGAATCCAATGTCTTATTACTTTACAAGAAAATCAAGGATATTGGGAAGTCAGATAAATAATATGTTGCTGTAGAAAATGTTGACATTGTACAACAGTGTACTAAAATGTAAGTAAGAATTTTATTTTACTGTATAAAGGAAAAAATGGTGCAAATAAACATTTAAGCCACTTTATTCTTCTGTTGTTGTGCTATTACTAACTGTAATACTGATTACTCTTTTGATTATTTTGTATTACATTGAATAATAAAAAAAGGTTTTGCTTTATGTTGTATCATGAAATCTTTTGAAAATAGTGGGAAAGGGAATCTACCAAATATTTCTTCAGGAGAACTAAGGCAGATCCTGTGATATTTACCATCAACTAAGGGCCTAAGTTACATGCAGAGTTAAGCATTTTGCTGAGAAGTGACTTTTCAGCCTTAATGCTTAACTTAAACATTCAATAAGAATTCCCCCTACAACATATTTGCTGCTTGTCTGTCACATTCCTGACAGTCTTGGTATTTACTTTTAACCTTTACTCTTTCAGCAGAGCAAGGCATTGAGCAAGATTTTACTGAAAATTAACAAACCACTTAATCTGTCTCAGGGTTAAGGGCCACCATACTAATGTGTGAGGTCACAGCTAGCGGTCTGGCAGTGCAGGTGGGGTGGGAATCCCTGCTCCACCACACTGTGAGCACTGCAGTTCCCCATGTGATCACCCCAAGAAGCCATACCACAGTGCCACATAGCGGTATCTGGCTGTACTGCAATATTGAGGGAGGCAGAGCTTTGGATGGGCATGGCTGTAATTTAGTCACAAGCCTACTAGGATCAAAGGAAAGCTGGCATAATTCCATGCTGGTCTTCCCCAGGATTTAGGGAGCGAGATCAGAGTTGTTGAGTTGGGGTTTTTTGGTTGATCTCTGGAGATCAACAAGGATTGACCAGGGACGGCCCACGATCGACGGGTAGATCGCGATCGACCGGTTGGGCAGGCCTGCTATATTAGATACAGGATTGACCACTGTGGCTAAAGTGAGCCCATATAACAGGCTTGCCTGTCCCACTGAACAAAACTCTCAGTCTGAGACCCCCTAAAAAAAAATCATAGAAAGCGATGAGAATATAACCAGGACATTTTGCTGTCCCAAACCACTGATGTGTGATCCAATAGATGCCTCCCATAATCTTTGCAGTGTTGCACACAAGTTTTGAATTGTCAGCAACTGCTCATGATCTGGGCCTTCCATCACATATCTTCTGAGATGCTGCAAGAGATCCTTTGCTACCTATCGAAAAACTGACTGCTCCTTCACTAGCATGTCAATAAATATCACAGCCTCCATGACAGTACCTTGGCTTGCTTGTACGGTGGGACTTTGATGAACATACACCCAAATGGAGAACAAGCTGACTGATCTGAAGCGTGGAACCACATGCTACGAAAAACATGGGGGCTACTACCGAAAATGGCAGCCCTGCGCTAAGGTCCTCTTCTTCCTCCATAACATCTAGTGCAACTTGCCTTATATGACCTAACAGAATCAAGTGATTCTGCCGCATAATTGCCTACTAATGAGAGTGGCAGGGAAACATACCAAGTAATGACAACAAGACATGGGATAAGTTGTACAAGACATTACAGGCAGCAGGTAGATAACTTGACATGGCAATAAAATAAAATAAAATAAAATAAAATAAAAAAACTCCTTCCAGTAGCACCTTAGAGCCCAACTGAGTAACTAACTTGACATGGGAATGTCATTTTTGGTGACAGTCTTGCTTTTATTATATTATTACTTTTATACCCCACTTTTCTTCCAAGAAGACATTCATGGTCCTTCCACTCCCCATTTTATCTTCACAACAACCCTGTGAAGTAGGCTAGGTTGAGAGACTGTGACTGCCCTAAGGTCACACAGCGAGATTCATGGCTGAATGGGGATTTGAACCTTGGCTTTGTTGTTGTTGTTGTTTAGTCGTTTAGTCGTGTCCGACTCTTCGTGACCCCATGGACCAGAGCACGCCAGGCACTCCTGTCTTCCACTGCCTCCCGCAGTTTGGTCAGGCTCATGTTTGTAGCTTCGAGAACACTATCCAACCATCTCATCCTCTGTCGTCCCCTTCTCCTAGTGCCCTCCATCTTTCCCAACATCAGGGTCTTTTCCAGGGAGTCTTCTCTTCTCATGAGGTGGCCAAAGTATTGGAGCCTCAACTTCACGATCTGTCCTTCCAGTGAGCACTCAGGTCTGATTTCCTTAAGAATGGATGCGTTTGATCTTCTTGCAGTCCATGGGACTCTCAAGTCTCCTCCAGCACCATAATTCAAAAGCATCAATTCTTCGGCGATCAGCCTTCTTTATGGTCCAGCTCTCACTTCCATACATCACTACTGGGAAAACCATGGCTTTAACTATACGGACCTTTGTTGGTAAGGTGATGTCTCTACTTTTTAAGATGTTGTCTAGATTTGCCATCGCCTTTCTCCCAAGGAGCAGGCGTCTTTTAATTTCGTGACTGCTGTCACCATCTGCAGTGATCATGGAGCCCAAGAAAATAAAATCTCTCACTGCCTCCATTTCTTCCCCTTCTATTTGCCAGGAGGTGATGGGACCAGTGGCCATGATCTTCGTTTTTTTGATGTTGAGCTTCAGACCATATTTTGCGCTCTCCTCTTTCACCCTCATTAAAAGGTTCTTTAATTCCTCCTCACTTTCTGCCATCAAGGTTGTGTCATCTGCATATCTGAGGTTGTTGATATTTCTTCCGGCAATCTTAATTCCGGCTTGGGATTCATCCAGCCCAGCCTTTCGCATGATGAATTCTGCATATAAGTTAAATAAGCAGGGGGACAATATACAGCCTTGTCGTACTCCTTTCCCAATTTTGAACCAATCAGTTGTTCCATATCCAGTTCTAACTGTAGCTTCTTGTCCCACATAGAGATTTCTCAGGAGACAGATGAGGTGATCAGGCACTCCCATTTCTTTAAGAACTTGCCATAGTTTGCTGTGGTCGACACAGTCAAAGGCTTTTGCATAGTCAATGAAGCAGAAGTAGATGTCTTTCTGGAACTCTCTAGCTTTCTCCATAATCCAGCGCATGTTTGCAATTTGGTCTCTGGTTCCTCTGCCTCTTCTAAATCCAGCTTGCACTTCTGGGAGTTCTCGGTCCACATTGGCTTACCAGGTCCTAATCCAATACACTAACCACTACAATACTCAGGCCCTACTAGGTTTTGTACTATGCTAACTTGTTTTAAAAACACAGCAAAAGCACCAAAATAAGTTTTATATTTCTGCTTGTTCTATTGCAAGCTTTTAAAATTAAACCTTGGCATCTGAAGGTAGCTGCAGGGGGCAGATTATTTTGTACTGCACAATACACTCCTTGTACTGCATCCACCTCTCTAGGACAAGCTCACCTTCTTGTCCTTACCTTAGTAGTGCTTGATAAGAGTCCAAGAGCTTTGCCCCGGCAGTTTCATATCTACCTGTGAAGCAAGAGGGGGAAAAAACCCCATCAAGGTCATTTGCTAGCAATAAAATTCTATTCACAAACCAGTTCTTTGTCACAATTTTCTGTCATTTATTGTTGCCAATATACTTCAATTTCGCCAACCCTTAAAAGTGCTCAAGAGATTCTGTGACCATTTAGAAAAATGTAGTTTTACATTTAGTTATTGGTATTGATTCAAGCAATGTACAATAACAGATGGTAGAAACTTAAATTACAGCTGAAAAGTTCAGTAATACAAGCAGCACAACAATATTTTTAAAATTTAATTGATTCATTGAATTTACATTCCACCCTTCCTCCCAAAGGAGCCCAGGGTGGCAAACACATCTGCAATTTTAAAAAAGGATTTTAAAACAGGGAAATCATTCTAAAATAGTTGCAATTAAAATCATTATTTCATTCAATGATCTCTGGGTTACCAGAAACAGTATTCTTCACCTGCAAAATGCCTGAGTAAACAAGAATGTTTTCAAATTCCTCCTGAAAGCTAACACTGACAGAAAATGATGCACCTCACTAGGGAGGGTATTCCACAAACAGGGAAGCACCTCTGAAAACGCCCTGTCATTACACAATTTCATTTGTGTGCAGGAACGTAACTCCCACATAAGGGGGGGGAGGGACACATTGGCCTTTTGAAATCAACGGGCTTAGGTTTGTTGATTTTAATGGATCTACTCAGAGTATGACTTCATTGGCTACCACTCAACCTGTATAACTAAGTACCAAAATAATCTTTCTGCTTATAAAATGGTGGACAATCAACTAAGAGCAAGGAATCCTTCTGTCATCAATCACATGTAACAAATGATGAATTGCACAGATATATATATATATATATATATACACACACACACACACACACACACGGCATTAATCTCAATATGCTTTTACAGCTACTTATAAAGATAATAATTCTGCAATAGATCAATTATTAACACTGTATAAAGTAAGTCTCTGGCACAATCAACAAAATTGTTGATAAAAAATATTTTCTCACAATGACTGCCTGATATTTCAGGCCACGTTATGCCAGCAAATAGGGAAGTGGTTGCATATTTTACAAGAACCCTGTTGCAAGCATGCCGCTGCTCTTAATTCACTATCTTATGTCTAAAGGCCACTTCCTGCCCTTCCTCATGTGCCAGCATAGGTTGGAGGCCATTAAAGAAATGAAATGAGAAACAAGCAGACTGTGCATGTGTTCTTACGGGTTGTACCCAATGCTGATCTGTTCTACTTGTGCAAATGAACTTCCCACTCCTCTCCTCTGTAGCCCCCACTAACTCAAAATCTGTTCCATATAATGGAGAGACCCTCCAAAGCAGATTGAGGGGCTGCATGCTTTGTGTGCAGAAGATCCCACATCCAATTCAGTCAACAACAATGTCTAACTGACAGTACTAGTTTCTAAAGTTTCCTTGTTGAAATATTGTCCCACTTATGTCATAAGTTTGTGTTGTCTTTGAAGGAATTACCATGGACTGATTGGTCACAGAGGCAATTAACAGAGAACAACAGCTATAAGTTTGGTTCATCACTGTTAATTTATTCCTGCTCCAAGAGAGTCACAAAATGGGAACATTTATTCCTTTGGCTGTAATCCTGCACCCAAACAAGCCAGTTTGAATTCCACTGACTTCTATTGATTTATGCAACCCAAGCATGTGCAGGACTGCAGATTTAACTGGATCAGCTTCAGCATGCTTTCAAATTATAGTTACCAGCCAAGCACTCGGACTGTCTTTCACCAATAGAAATAAATTCCAGTAAAATGATCTAATATTTTCTTTTCTATACATTTCTGTCTCATTCTCTAGTCTAGGGCAAAGAAAGCAACATCTCTCTGTGCAAAACTATTGGTGAGGCTGTTTAACGGTTTCATTTGAATTCTACAAAATGTTGACATATGGGCAGATGAACTTTCTGTTGTAAGTCCATAACAAATCATTTTTAAAATGGCACTAATAATATATATAATAATTAACCGCTTCAGGACTCATTAATACAACAAAAAACCAAGAGGGAGTAGTATCTGAATCTGTAATTTAACACAGCATCAGTATCAGTTCAAAAGAAACAGTTACTCTTAGTAAGAGTTTACAGCCAGGATAGAGTGCATTGTAAGGGACATGGGTGGCGCTGTGGGTTAGACCACAGAGCCTAGGACTTGCCGATCAGAAGGTCAGCGGTTCGAATCCCCGCGACGGGGTGAGCTCCTGTTGCTCGGTCCCTGCTCCTGCCAACCTAGCAGTTTGAAAGCATGTCAAGTGCAAGTAGATAAATAGGTACTGCTCCGGCAGGAAGGTAAACGGCGTGTCCATGTGCTGCTCTGGTTCACCAGAAGTGGCTTAGTCATGCTGGCCACATGACCTGGAAGCTGTACGCCGGCTCCCTCGGCCAATAAAGCGAGATGAGCGCTGCAACCCCAGAGTCGGTCACAACTTGACCTAATTTGTCAGGGGTCCTTTACCTAGAGTGCATTGTACTTACGTTAAAATTATTTTTATATTAAATTTGTGTAATGCCCTTCATCCATAGAGCCCAAAGCAGTTCACAACACAAAAATACAAGATAAAAAACACAAACAAAATACATAATAAATAACCCCTTCACTCCCACAACACATCTAAAAGGGTATCAGATGCTAATCAGCCTAAGGCCTGGTTGAAGAGAAACACTAATGCCTAGCACCTAAATACTTCTACATTGTAGCCAAAGGTAACTGTTAAGTGCTCATATATTTACTTACTTACTTATTTACTTACTTACTATTACTTATTTCCGATTATACATATCTTGCTAAGAGAACAAAATGTGAAATAAAAATAACAGACCATCAATTTATCTTGCATTTAATAGTGTAGCTTCCTGCTACTTATTAAAAGCATTACCTTCAGCTGGAAATTTCTTTGATCGCTGCTCAAAAAACCACTCGCCTGCTTTCACTTTAAGTTCCCTGCAAAACAAATATTTGAACCTTTTACTGAAAGATTTTGAAAATCACCTGTAGGCTCATCACAAAAATTCCATCATTACCGCGTTGGAACCTCAACTATTACATAACCCAGAAGGACATTCCAGAATATGCACAAGAATAGAAAACCCATAGAATTTGGTACTGGGCATAGAATTCAACTTCCTGAGAATCTTAGCTTTCATTTTCATTTCATTTTTTAATTAAGTGAAAAAGACCTATGTGGTTCTAGGCTTCAAATATACACTACATTACAGGAAAGAAACTCCCATCCTACTGAAGGTGCATGCAAAGGAGTCCCATGGCTCTGACTACCAAGTGTTGTGTGTTAATTCCACAGCAATATTGCCAGTGTGCCCGCTGTGTGAACCTCCTTAGACACTGCCTTGTCGCACGGGGGGGGGAGGTGAGCCCAAAATTTGATGCCCCCCTACCTAGCCCTTCCACTACCTTCCCAAACCTGGATAAGTGAGGTGCTGGGGCCGGGCTTTGGGAAGGATATAAGGCTCTGGCAAAGTTCTAAAGCCCTCCCACCTCCTTCCCAAAGCTGGGGAAGCGCTAACTAAGCTTTGGGAAGGTGGAGAGAGGGCTCTAGGACCCTGACAGAGCCCTCAGGTCTCCTTCCCAAAGCTCAGCACTTTGCTTACCCAGCTTTGGGAAGGTGGTGGGAGGGCTGCTGTGGTGTGTGTGTGTGTGTGTATGTGTGTGAAATGTTGCCAAGGGCCTCCAAAAAAGCCCTTGAGGGCTTCATGTGGTCCTCTGGCCGTGCATTGGATCACACTGTCCTACTCCCCACCAAAGTATATGCTGCCTCTGTCTCCTTCTTCCTTGATAGCAGAGGGCTGCTGTGAAACCCCTACAGACCTGATCCTCATGACATATGCAACTAAGGCATAAACACCCACAACGCAAATATTACTGAGCAATTTCTCTAGAATTTCTCACTCATGAGCGTAGCAGACAGTGCATTTCCACAGGTAGCGATTCAAAGTGATGCGACATCTGGAGCATACTTGGTGACTGCACCCATTGCACACTGCACCTCTGTTGATTAGCACTCCAAGAGGTTTCTGACAGCGAGCACAAGACTTATATTCCAGGTTTGTGTTTTTTGTCCCTTTCCATCGAAGTTCTTGCAGCTGCAGTTTCAGTTTCCTGTTCTCAGCCAAAAATAAATAAATAAATATGCACATATTTTATCAGGTGGGAGTGAAAAAAATGAACAATTATTCACACTTATTCTCTAAGTAGCTGCATGAATTCACTTTCATTAATAACATGCTGTAATTTGAAACCAAAAACAAGAGGTTAACCTGTAATTTCACCTTCCACCACATTTAAACAATATAATACCATGCTGAAATAACTGGCTGACCTATGGAGATGAGTGAGTGCGACTTCCTTCTGTGTTGCTTTCCTAGATAACCACCTTAATTTTAAAAAGGGGGTTGAAGGAATTTACTAGTGAACCTTCCTACCATACTGAAACATCATAATTGCTTTCCAAATCTTGCTTAGAGCCCTTGGCAGGAACTTGGAAAAACTCTAGCAGGTCAACGCTATGTGCTTGCTATGAAAGATACATCTGAATTAGACTGGAATATAGGCTCACATTTTAATGCCAGCATCATATGAATGCTGGGGGGGGGACTGCATGCATGAGGAGCATGCACAATAATCACCCATCTGAAAACACCCTTAGTGCAAGGAGTAGGGAATGTACAAAACTACTGTAAGAATAGTCATGACAAAGCCATTCAATAAATTTCTTCCTGCAAAGTATTTAATCTAGAATTTAATCACTAGAATGGTCTAACAAAGAATCTGAGAAAAGGACTTTAGCAAAGAATAGATGAAAAGAAGAAAATAAAACAGGGAGATGCAATGGCATGCTGTATTCCAAAATGGCCACATACCTTATTCGTTCTTCGTCCACCTTCCTCAACATCTGATCACGGTTCAGGACATCTAAGACAACTTGTCGTTCCAATCCCTTTAGTACACTGAGGTCAAGTTCCTGAGTCATTTTCTCTTCTGATTCTTAGAAGGTTTTTATTTGTTTGTTTGTCTGATTGTTTTGTTTTTTAAAGAATTTTAATCTTCTTCAGCACCCCTACCAAGGAAAGTTGGAGCTTAAAGCTAGGGGCAGGGTTCAGCAACCAAAAGATCTATGAGTCCCTTTAACTGCTTGCATACATCTTTCATCAGAGATACATTTGAATTGTGTCATAAAGTGGAAGGGAGAAGAACCGAACCCTTTTCCATATATGCCATAATTTTCAGTCTCATCACCTGCTGAAGGCACTTTCTTTGCTGGATGAAGGCAGTTTATCGTCTTGTATAAATAAAATGACTTCAGGCTCCCAATTTGCTACTGGTAGTTTCTAAACTGATAAAAACGAGAGAGGTTTGGCTTAGATCCACCATTCTGCAAAGAAAATTGGGGTATGATTCAAGCTGATAGGCAGCAGCAGGTATAAGGGGGAGAAACTCCACCTCCATTGCTTTAAATTCACAAATTTCCTATTAGGAAATTAGGATTGCATTTCTTAGGAATGCAGAAAAAAGAACAACCTACTTCTCCTTTCTTATTCTGCAGTAGATCACTATCTCCTACTTTTCCTGGAAAACAAAAGCTACATCCTGTCAGCATATCGTTTCATAGGATGCTTGGGCCACAGTTGAGCTATGAAATATGATTCATCATCTTTCAAACAGCCTCATTACAATAAGCACCATTGCCCATCAGCATGTTACTTACCCTGGTGTAAAAAGGCCTGTATAAAAGCCATTTTGCTTATGTGGATTGTGCAAAAGATAATGAAAAATGAGAATAACAATAATCCAAATAATAAAAGAGGTCATGAAAAATTCAGTTGATTGCCTCCTAGTCAACCACAAAGATAAATGTGCCTTAACTGGAATACGATGCCCTCTGACTGCTAGCTGTTGAACCTTTTATCCCATGGAAGTAAAACTAGTATGGTGTGAAGGCGAGATGTTCTAAAGTAAGTCTTTACTATGAATCAATTATTTATAGGCTTTAATAGCTAATGGGCCTGCCATCTGAATCGTGTCTAGTTTGTGTCTGTTCAGGCAGATAAAAAGGTCTTGCAAAAAACAGTGTGGTTTATCACTGAGACAACACACATCCCTCAAAAATCTAGAAGATGTTTCATGCATTATGCACCAATACCAGCTTATGGTTTCACTTTGTGCAGACACAAGATGAACAGGAAAACTCATATGGACATATAGATGACACAATCAAAAACCAGAAGGACTTTAAACAAGAGCCTAAGGCAGTTGTGAATGGATTTTGGAGAGACTGTGCCCCACTCTCACCTGCCCCAAATGAGTGAAAAATAGATTCCAACTGACTGAAAGGCCACTCACCTGATGTTCTGCTATTGTTTAAGGTCTTTGTAGAGAGTCCTTCCTTACAAAGTCAGAGGAGGCACAAGATGTGGGAGAGATCAGGTGCATTGAATCTGACAAAAGCAGATTATGGCCCTGCCTCCATGCAAGTTAATTTAAACTAGATAGTTCCGTGCCTTGATTGATGCTGGCACTGAGGGCCAAACAAGGCAGATCACTTACTTTCTGCAGTTGGGAGGGGGATATTAGTTTACTCCCAATGTCAAAAAAGCATATTAAAACATGTTGCAAAATTAAGCAAATATTCTACCATTTGCTGCACCATCAAAAACAATTGGGTTCAGGACCACATGCTTAACCATGGCAATGTATTGCAATTACTGTGTAAGCAAGCAAGACATTCACACACAACATAAGATGAAAAGTTGGTGAAGGACTAACTCTGATGGAATTGTGTCTCTGTCTAATTACACCTAAATGTAAAGTCACTGGAATTATAGTTGTAGTATGATTTTATACAATAAATAAGCTGTTCAAAGGATCAATAAAAAGTTCAGAACGCATTACACACATTGATCCTATGCACAGCTTATTATAAGACGACATACTACAAATCCAAAACTTAACATTTAGAAAGCAAGGCCTTCATGAAAGATCCCAGTGACATATATCCTTCTCTGAGATGTTTATTGGGCTTAACACAGAAAAATTGCCTATCTTGGACACACCAGAAGATACAGTGTGGAACAATAAACTACTTACTATAGACACATACACATGAACAGGGTTACTCAAAGTACAAGGTTTGGGGTGTGCAGTGTTAGAGAGCTAAATATACAGTACAGAGGAAGGAATCAAAGTTGCACAATACATTAGTCCATGCTATGCTACCACGAGGAAATAAATCTCCATCTTTTAACGGCAGAAATTCAGAGGCATCTTTTAAATATTTACATAGCTTTGAGAAACAGATACACAGCAATAGTAGAACTTATTTATTTGCATTCACCAGTTTTTGAATGTTAAAGCAATAGAAATGTCTAAAATAATTTGAGATAGGGTGTTTTCCAATTCAATAACCCCTAAAGATCAATGTATCCTATCTGCTAGGGGAACGAAACACAGCAAATAATCACAAATAAGAGAGGAATGCAAGGCCCTTGCCTTGCAAACATTTAAACATTTTTTATGCCTACCTTTAGCAAACACTGACTTACCTTTTACTTTCATAGAAGAAATGCAGGATGCTAGTTTTACTGAAGAAAAAATGATATCTTCTTTCTCTCCGTTTCCTTCTTGCTGGACTGAAGTTTGACACAGAGTACTTCAGTGCACATCATCGTATGATCCTACAGCCATCTGCATTGGAAGTAACTGCCCCCAATGCAGTCTGCTATCAATGAGAGGCTTTAAATAATGCCTGAGTGGTCTGGGAGGAAACAGTTCACTGCGAGAAAAGACAATGCTTTTTCTTAAAGCGTACATGAAACCCCTAAGCTAACAGGAAGAGTAGTGGCCATTAAGTATGATACTTTCATGTGGTTTCTCTCTGTGTCACTCGCTTATGTTAGATGTGTGCAACACTGCAAACCTCAACTTCCGCAAGATTCAGAGCGAGCATTTACTAGAAATGACAGATCCCCCCTGACCGCTTAGCTATCTCAGGGGGCTGTGGACTGCATGATAATTAATACATATTGCTGGTATTATTAATATGAATAATACAAATACAGTACCAGTAATACCAGCATAAACAGTACGCACATTTTAAAATCCCCAATGCTTTTAAGCTATCAAAGAGAAGGCTTTATTCACCTATTTTTCAAGTAATATTATGTACAAATCAATCCAAACCCAAATCTAGAAATATCTGAATTGGAGGTTCCATTTCAGCTTATTACATATGCTTCAGAAGTTTAATAGCCAAATATTCATGTGTGTAGAAACCTTTTCCATTTTTAAAGAGAAGATTCATATTCCAGGCCAAGTTCAGCTTTTTTTGTTATATGTTTTGGATGTGTTTCTTTGTGTTTGATTGTAGAAACATCTGTAATATACATAGCCAAACATTCTGTTTTCCACAGCAGCCAACAAGAGGCATACTGCCTCTGAATCTGGAAGTCGTAATGACCAATAGCCATTGACTCATTGATTTATCTTGCCCACAGGCAAGGTTAGCTTCCCACACCACCTTCTCATTCCTCACATTTTGCCTCTGATATTGTCCTCAGTCTTACCTAGGCTACTGAAGTGCTTGAATCTTGGAAGGATGTGGAAGGAGGGGAATGTTCCACACATCTCCAAGTCTGTTCCCCTCCTCCTCAAGCACTTTGCTGGTACAGGTGGTAAAGATCAGGAAGTTAAGTACTAGTCAAAGTCTGCATTTGGGGAACCTAGTTTTAACCTGGGAGAGAGACATGCAAATGCCCTTCCACTAAGAGAGCCTTTGCCAACCTGGTATCTTCCAGATGTTTTGATCTACAACTTCCATCAGTCCCAGCCAGCATGAAGCAAAGCTAGCTTAAATAAAGTATGGCAGCTTGCACTACCATAAAAACTGATGCACCAAGACAGAGTTCCACAGAGAGTGGTACAGACAGACCATTTTGTCAGTGGCGTAGCGTGGGGGGTGCAGGGGGGGGCTGGCCGCACCGGGCGCAACATCGGGGGTGTGCGCTCCACGGGTTAGGGGGCGCAAAATCCACGGGCTAGGGGGCGCAAATTACTTGCCTTGCCTGACAACCCACGCTACGCCACTGCATTTTGTTGACAATTGGCTTCCCTTTGTCAGAAGGAGGAAGACCACCTGAGCTTCAATAGAGCCTTTTGGAAACTTCTTCCCCCATGTCCATATCAGGAAAACCCATAGTAACGAGTAGAATGTGCTTACTGTATTCTGAATTTGAATTATTTGGAAAACATGCACATATGCACTATGATTGTTTATGTGTATGCTTTTAATAAAACAATTAACAGCAATATCTATATCTATCTATATATAAAAGATTACCTGAGAAGGGAGCTTCCAGTGTCCTAACACTGAGTATGCATCTCTCCACAGCCATTGACTAAATCCTGCATTGTAGAATTTGGGCTAGGTAGGCGCTAAGTTCTGGAAGATGTTGGCAATGCAGTGTTGCCTAAGAGCAGAAACTGCCCTCACCAACTGCTGTGGGTTGGAAAGGGAAGAAATTAAAAGGGCTGAAAGAAGGTAAGAGTGAAGAAAAAAGCAAGCTTAATGTCATCTGTGAAAAGCAGTTGAGGGTGCCCTCAGTTATAAAACCTGCAAATTATTCAGTCAGAGTAAATGCATAAATGCAGAGTATGCATAAATGCATAAATTTAATTAATAATAATAGGAGTGTAAATGGGAGGGATTAAGAACTGTCATCTAGCCTGTGATTCTTGAGAAGTATTGCAATTCTTTTGAAGCATTTGAGGAGAATTCTGTTGAAGCATTTGAGAAGCAAAGCCAAGATAGTAATCTACCCTCTCTGAGGTGGTGAGCTATGCATCCTGGCAAATGAAACACTTCAAACTCTTTTGCCAAGATAGCATGATAGGGAGGGGGGGAAAAACAATTTTATGTATAACTTTTAGTTATTCGTTAATCAATAAGCATAAATGTGATTTAATAAATATATATGGGGGAAATAGTTTTGAAGGGTGGAAAGCTTTGTTTTTAGATTCTGAATTGGGAATTTGCAGCTCTCAAAATAGCATTGAACTGTAACTCTCAATTCATTGGCTGTATTGCCTGGGGTGATCATGAGAGTTGTCATCAAACACCATGCAGGTTCTCCACAGTGCTGCATTATTGCACAAGGCCCCATTTTACAAGATGACACTTCCTTCTGTTTAAAAAAAACAAACAATGCCTCTTCTAACATGGTGTCTCCTGAAATCCACTTTTTGTTTTTTGCTGTGGTGGCCAGTCAAGTGGTACAGATATTATGGCAGATAAAAAGCCTTCAATACTAAGCAGTGAAAGAGGTGATGTTGCTAGTAGATGTTGCTAGTCCTGTTTTTCTAGAAAAAGAGGTGCTGGAACTCACCGTGAACGCCTCTCTTGTTCTCTTATAAAGGCAATGGTGCCCACCTGAGAGGTGCTGGAACTGAGTCCGGTGAGTTATGGTTGAAAAAAAGCCCTGGATGTTGCAGGACAACAGAGGCATGGGAGCTGCTACATCTCAGTGGTATGTGTTGGTTATTGTTGTCCAGGAAGCAATGACTCCCCTCCATGGTAGGGACCTTGAAGTCTCCAGGTGACACCCTTGGAGAAGGGCTTTGGGACCTCCCCCTCAGTTCACTGCTCAGCAGCAGTCTCTTTATTCCCCATTATACCATTTCACTGGCTGCTTCCATTTTTGTTAAGGATTTCTATTTAATTTTTAAAAAATTATCTATAAATTAACTTTGGTCAGACCTCCCTTCTGCACCCTTCATTTTAAGGTTACTGACAAAATAGAAGGCATCCAGAGGAGGGTGGCCGTCGGAGATGAGGAACCCTGAGCCAAAGACTGCACTCCAGAGGGTCAGACTAGATGTCCCTTTGGGTTCCTAACTCTACAATTCCGAGACTGAAGGAGCTGGATATACTGGGCCTGCAGAAAAGGCTATTAAGAGGCGACGTATCATCTTCAAGCACCTGAAGGCCCAGCCAGCATGGAAGATGGGGAGTTCTGGAGGAGGGTGAGCCACCCCTGTATTCTAAACAAAGTAAAATAAGCGAAGAATGTGTGCTAATCCTCCCTTCCCTACGGTCGCTAAAGCGCAGGCTCCTCAGTTCAGCGCGAACCACACGCAAAAAACCCCCCAGAAACGGCGACTGGGGGGGGCATTTTCCACACCTCTTATTAAACAACGGAAACCGCGCGCGCTCGCCCTTCATTGCGCAAGCGCGCGCGAGGGAGAGAGAGGGGGAAATAAAGAGAGAGCGTAGCTCAGCAACGCTTCCGGTACATTTGCCAGCGTCGGGTGATTGGTTGGGAAAGCACAGGAGCGCACTGCGCAGCCGCGTAGCTCGAGCGAGAGAGAAAAGAAAGAAAGTGCTGTTGTCTGCGACCGGCGAAGAGTCGGTTGCGCATGCGCCGCGTGGGAGACGATAGGCTGGATTGCTGAAGAAGAAGATGGACGAGCTTCAGTCTGCAGAGGAGGTAACGGTTCCTAAGGACAGCGGCGTCCCTCCTCCACCTCCTCTTGGCGGGCGGGCGGCCGTGGAGGGAAGGGACGGCGTGCCCCTTTCTTCCGTAGCTGCGGGGACCTCCGTGGGGAGGGCGGTGGCGATGGCGGGGTCCGCCCCTTTGCCCATTGTCGGCCACGTTCCCGTTCCTGGAAAGTCGCCTGGCCCTCCTCTCTTGCCAGCCCCGGCGCTCCCGCCGCTTCCAGCCCTTGGTCCGAGAGGAGAGATGCCGCCGCCAGGCTGCCTTGCAAGCCCCGGGGCAACTTATTCTGCTGGCGGTGCTGCATCTCTCCGCTCCCCCCGTGGTAGGCTTGTGCCAGAAAGCGCCGCTCTTTGTGGCATGCGGGTACACGCATTTGGGAGGTGCGCGTTCAGCAAGCCGAATAAATAAATCTCTTGCCGGCTGGTCTAATGGCCCAGGTTCTTGTCCTAAGGGAAACTTCGCAAAATCGAAGAGGGAAGGGAATTTGCCCCTCTTAAAGGAGAAGAGAAGGAAACTGCCAGTTTTCATCTGGGGTGTGGCGGGATCTCCTTTTGGCATTCAGAGGTTACTGTTCCATCAAATCCATGTGTTCAAATGAATGTCCTTACCCTAATCATGATCAGGTAGTAAACGTGGCCCATGGTCAAAGGTGAGATGGAGCCTCATGTACTCCTGTCTGCAGATGAGATCGGTGTCTCAGCTAGTCATAAACAAGTATTTCATAAAATTTATATACCAGGATTGAAAAACAAAAAACCACCGACACCTCAAAACCTTTATTATCATATATAGTAATGTTTATTATATGATAATAAAATATAAAAGAAAAAAGGGGGGAAGATAAGAGTTGCCTTGATGCATGAGTGCCAGAAAGGCCCCCACATAGTTATGAATAGATTGTAAAAGGGGAGTAAAGGGACCCCTGACCATTAGGTCCAGTCATGGCTGACTCTGGGGTTGCGGCGCTCATCTCACTTTACTGGCTGAGGGAGCCTGCGTACAGCTTCCAGGACTAAGCCGCTTCTGCTGAAACCAGAGCAGCACACAGAAACGCCGTTTACCTTCCCGCCAGAGCAGTACCTATTTATCTACTTGCACTTTGACGTGCTTTTGAACTGCTAGGTGGGCAGGAGCAGGGACCTGCTCACCCTGTTGCGGGGATTCGAACCGCCAACCTTCTGATTGGCAAGCCCAAGAGGCTCTGTGGTTTAGCGCCACCCGTGTCCCTAAAAGGGGAGTAGTTGTGGTCTTTTATGTGTTCCCTGGCCACTATATGTGCCTGCCACCTCTATTCTATAAGTGTTTGAAGGGGAGGTTAAACATATGCTTTTATGTGACTGCTTAAGAAGTTCATTTGCTGCAGTTATAAGCATTAAGGAATCGCTTGCCACACTTTGCGATGGCAGGATTCTATGTCTGGTGAAGTAGAAACAAGGTGTTAGATGCTTAGGGAATTAAATCAAATCTGATTAATGTTTGAAGCATTAGCCTGTTTGTTAAAACTACCTTTGTGTCAGTACTGCAAATTGCTTACTTGGTTTAAATGTTATCTCTGGCTTCTTTTTCTCTTCTTTCCCCCTGCAAGACTGCGTTTATTGTGGATGAAGTAAGCAACATTATAAAAGAGGTAGGATGTGTTTATGCTACATCTTCCATTAATATATCCTCATTGCACAGCATCTGCTATATTTCTACTGCACCCCGTAACTCCCTTTAAAAAGATAAATATATCACTGCTGCATTGTGGAAAATACACATTGAACTGAATTGTAAGGCTGCAATCACTCACACTTACCTAGGAATAGGTCTCATTGAACTCAGTGGTACTTCTGAGTAGACATGCCTAAGTTTGTGTTGTAAGCCCACATTTAAAGTGGCAACATGAGCTATGTAAACAGCCTCTTAACACACATTGCAATGTGAATTATTTAAATTTTGCTTCGAAATATGTGTGTGTCTGTGTGCTCATAATTTTGTTATTGGTATATACATTTTGTGCAAATACATACAGATACATATTATTTCATTTGAAACATTTCTAGGGGATTGTGACTCACTGGCTCTGTTTTGTGAACATTTCACCTCTCCAGCTAGTGATATAGTGATATAAGACAATGCAGATTGTCTCTCTGAGGGGAAAAACCCACTCCCCCAACTTTACTTTATAGTCCCTCATGCTATGTTGAATTCCACTCTGGAGGTGACTCCTGATCTGCAGGGATGATTTTTCTGGGAGTATCAAGAGCTGCAGTGGGAAGAGGAGTAGAGGCTCGTTGGCCTTATGTCATACTTTTAATCCCAGCCAGCCTATATAGAAGAAACAATCCTATTTTGATATCCTCATAGAATTGCATTCGTAAAGGTTTTTACCTCTCTTTTTACATGATTAAGCTTATCAAATTTAGGACTTCGTCTTGTAATATGAACTGACTTCTGGCCTAATCTGCAAGCTAGTTAAATCTACTTGAATCACAGTGGTGACATCAGTATTTAATGCATGTACCTTGGCTTAAATCATAGATTTAAATGGAGTGGACTGTTCTATTTCATTAGATTCCAACTTCAGGAATAATCTTTTGGTGACTTGCAGCTATAGAATTAATATAGTTAGTAGATTTAGAGCAAATTTACTCTAGTTATGTGTTACCTGGGTACCAGTGTCTTGTTTGCTAATCCTCTGTTGTGGCAACCTTCCTGGCGATTAGTGAAGGCTTAGGAGCACAAGCTAAATATGTTGTACATGCCATTCTTTGTTAAGCAAATATATGATTGGTAACTTATCAAGTATGTACAACTCATCTGTGTAAAAAACCTGCATTCCTCCCTTGCATGTTTTGTGGTGGTGCTGATGTTTATTACTCACTTTTCACCCTAAAGCCCCAATGCAGGTTACAGCATTAAAAACATTAAAAACAATTTAAAATAATAGGGCTATTAGATGCTAGTACACTCTGCTACAGTAATGTTTGCAAACATAGAATATGCAGGGAAAAGCACGAAAGGACCACAACTTAGTGACATTCAATGAACAGCCACTCCCTTGTTCTCAGTCTTGGCACTAATGCTTTACAGAGTGTGAAATCTATGCTTACAACCGCAGGATAAGACTGAGTAAGCCAGACACCCATTTATTACAGAGGGTATTGATTTGGGCTGTTCAGCCTCTTGTTGCAAGATCTCATTGTCACTCCCTCTGTAGCTTCAGAAGTGGAAGATGTCTTTCTCCCTCTATGTGTTTCTGGTGATACATTAAATGTTGTTTATAAAGTTCCTAATATTTTTTAGGTACTGGGGAAAGACCGAAAAGCAACACAGTCCCTGCCTCCATGCTTACAATCTGTCAAACACATCACAAAAGAGATGAACAGTAACAGGTGCCTGTGCTCACCTGAACACCATCACTGGTAGCACTGCAGCTCACCATGAGGGGTGAGGTTGGCACACTGCTTGGATCCTAGGTTGCCTCAATCCCACCCCTGCCGCACTCCCAGAACACCAACAGTACAGTTACTGCCCACAGAGCTTTTTACATGCATGGCCTTCGCAGTGGACATGGTCTCCCACTGGCAGAGAGGTGTGTCTGCTCCACTGTAATTAGGATTTCAATAGCCTCAGAATAAATATGAGGCGCCATATTGTTGGTTACCTGCCCAAATCATTCTTGCAAAGGTGTGTGGGGGGTCTTTGTGTGTTTGGAACTCTTGAGATTGATCCACCACCTCACAGATGGCAGCTCAAGCTAGCATTTCAGTGATCATTGCTTATCAGTATGGCTGTTAGTTGGTTCTGGGTTTTCCTTCTTGTTGGATGGTGTGATCTGTGTTTGATGGTGTGATCTGTGTTGCTTGGAAAAAACACTGACATATTTAATCTAGCTTTTGAAATCAATGCATGCTTTTTAAAAAATTAAAATTCCTTAGCAGCCTGCTGGTAATTTGAACCTCTCTTTGTTTGCAGGCCATAGAAGGAACAATAGGTGGCAATGCATATCTGCACAGCAAAGTGAATCAATGGACTACAAGTGTTGTAGAGCAAATTCTGAGTCATCTCACAAAGCTGGGGAAACCTTTCAAATATGTTGGTAAGTGAATGGGTTTCTGTGCTCATTGTATTATTGTTTTGACAAATGGTTTTGAGTAAAGCCGAAAATTAAACTCTAAAATGGCAATTGCAGGTGAGGGGGCAATTTAAGATAAGAGATGTTTACATAGGCATTTAAGGCTAAAAACAGATGTGGATGTAACTGTGTAGCTTATGCCATGGAAACATTCCATTTTCTAACAATACTGTATCTTCAATTTACAGTGACATGTGTGATTATGCAAAAGAATGGTGCTGGACTTCATACTGCAAGCTCTTGCTTCTGGGACAACTCTGCTGATGGTAACAAGAATGTTTTAATACTTTGTCTTAGTTTCTCCATTGAAATGTTTCACAAGATATTTGTGTGACTCCAGAAGAGAAAAATCCACACACACCTATTCTGTGGTAATAAACTTCTAATACTAGAAGTTACAAGTGACCATGGGGCAGGTTGTTCTTGTTAGAAGTGCCTTATTCCCTTATTTCCCTAGGGTAGCTAGTAGAGCATCTCTGCTTTAAAATGGAAGGATTGTAGAGTTGGAAGGGGCCCCAAAGAGTTATCTCTTCCAGCCTCCTGCAATGCAGGAATCTCAGCTAAAGCACCCATGACAGATGACCATCCAACCTCTGCTTTAAAACCTCCAAGGAAGGAGAGTCCACCATCTTCCAAGAGAGCCCATTACACTGTCGAACAGCTCTTACTATCAGAAAGTTCTTCCTGATACTTAGTTGGAAGAATCATCATCACCAGTGAATAAACATATATACTTCCTGTGGAAGCATAAAGTGTGACTGAATATCGATGTAATGTGGTTCAATAATTTTAGGTTCCACTGCTCCAAATTATGGGATGTTGCCTATGTGGTACGGAGTTGGCTGAGGCTTAAACTTAGCAAGTGTGGCTTAAGATGCAATAGATTTGTTCTATGTGTTCTTTAAATTGAAAGCTATGAATTTTATGATCTGATGTAGTTCTTCTGTATATAGTATAGCCACCCCAATTGACTTTTCTTCTTTTTGTAGGAACCTGCACTGTGAGATGGGAGAACAAGACTATGTACTGTATCGTCAGTGCCTTTGGACTCGCAATATGATTGCCTTGGAATTCTTCAGCCTTTGTGTCATCCCTTCCATTTCATATATCCACTAAAACTGTGAATTCAATGAACAACTTTGTTTTTAAAGAACTTCTGTCTTCTTCTAGTGAGAAAATGGGGAAGCAATTTCTATGCTGTTACATAAACACATCACCTCTTATCCATATCAAATCACTCCCTGTCTTAACACTTTAAGGACTCTTTTCTCAAGGTGCTAAAACCTGAAACATGCTGCACTTCTTCAGCTTTATTGCAACTGGTTTGAATAAGACTAATTTCACACAATGCTTTTGTTTGTTATTAAATTATTGAAGTTCTGAACTTGTGTATGTGCATTCATAAAAGCTGTACATTCCACAAGCAAGTGTGAGGCTAACTTCACATGCCTTTAACAGCTTGGCCCTAATGGATCATTGTGAAGTAATGGGGGTGCAGTTATTCCTTAAGCACTCGCTCAGCTGCTTAGTCCTTTTGGGGACTTCTGTGTTGACAAATGGTTTTACCCTAAAACTCCCAATAGAGCCACCAATGCTCCAGTTATTTACACTAGACAACTGTAGGTATTTTAAACATTCCCATATAAAGTAACTCCAGTTTTAATGGCAGCCAAAACTTTTAGGTGCATGGAGGGGCTAACAGCTAATTGCTCCAAGGTGCATAGTTCTCTTTAAAGTAAAATTGAGTTTTGTTTTGTTTTTTTAAAAATCAATTTAGATGGCTCTTTGCTCCCTGACCAAACATATAAGTAGGAGCAGTCCCAAGTTAATTGATTGTAGAGAAAGTACTCCTTATTTTACCCCATTCTCAAAATGGGAGACCAGCACACCTCACAGAACAGAGGCAAGAAGCAGCAGAACGTTGATCCATGCTTGCCATAGCACAGGGCACATCCTTTGAATGTAAAAGATCCAAGGCTCCATCTCAGGGATCTCAAAGTAGGATAAAGACCCTGTGTCTTAGTACACAGAAGCTGTCACTTAAGGAGTGAACTGACATTTGAGAGCCTAATCATCTCTTATTGAGATGGTAGACTTGTACCAACCAATTGGGCTAAATGTTATTTAAAATAGCCACATAATAAGTATTCCACACACCCCAAAGAATTGCCAGAATGCAATATTTTCATCAAAGTGTTTTTCAGAACACTCCAGAATGAGTGAGCTGTTTTACTGTAAAGTGAATTTGACTGTATGGCTGCACTCTGCTTAAGTGTCTGTATAATTAAGTGGTCAAAAACATGAACCACAGGTTCCAACTAGTGGGATTGTTGCTAGCGTTTGTGAATGGACCATAGCACAGTGGGAGAGGTACATGCTTTTCATGTAGCTTCAATCTCTGGCATCACTCATTCAGTGCTTCTTGGGTTGGCAGGGCTGGGAAAGTCCTCTGGCTGAGACTAGATGGAGAACAATTGTGTGATACAGTATAAAGCAGCATAATTTGTTCAGCTGGGACCCCTGGGAAAATTGAGTACGACAGACTAATGTTAAATAGCATGTTACTAAAATAATTGTCTAGTATTTATGGCCTTATTGTGCTCCAGTGTTTCTGAAACCACAGGGCATTTAAAAGCCTAAGAACAAAACATACTATTCCATTAAAATAGCAAGCTTATCTGAAAAAATTCAAGCACACAGGTGTTCGCAGGTGGATGAGAGAATTCTCCCCACCCCCACTCCAGGGCCAACATAGGCCCTGCAAATCCATATTGGCAAATTGACGTGTTTCTTTGTTTATAAACTCGCGCTCATTGACAGTGCTCTCACTGCGGCAGTTTCTGGGGGAAAGGCAGTGGGGAGACTAGACCCCAACAATTGCAGCATCTATCATCCAGTTGCAAAGTTGGTGGCAGTTCGACAGCATGCACTTCAAGAAAGATTGTTTGCCAATTATCTACGTCGGGAAAGAGAAAGGGGGCGTGCACCCCCATTTATTGTCCTTGAGCACTTGGCAGAGTTTGGTGCGCATGCAAGTGAGGTTCCAGTACTGTGCCTGCTCATACCTACAGTTCCATCAAGTAGCAACAAGGGGCTTCTGTTTGTCCCCCTGGAATTTTGACTGGTTGTCCACCATGCTTCCTGAAGATATTTAGAGTTAGACGTCATTATTTTGAGCTGTGTCATCATTTGATGTCACTTTTCCCCACCAAATATAGACAACCAATTTTGTTTTCCTCAGATGCATTTATATCTATTTCCATCAAATTCAGGTCAATGAAAAGACAGTGAAATTGAGAGTTTTTTCATCCTAAATCCAGAGCAGTTTTAGCTTATCTATTAGGTAAAAGGTAAAGGTAAAGGTACCCCTGCCCATACGGGCCAGTCTTGACAGACTCTAGGGTTGTGCGCCCATCTCACTCTATAGGCCGGGGGCCAGCGCTGTCCGCAGACACTTCCGGGTCACGTGGCCAGCGTGACAAGCTGCATCTGGCGAGCCAGCGCAGCGCACACGGAACGCCGTTTACCTTCCCGCTAGTAAGCGGTCCCTATTTATCTACTTGCACCTGGGGGTGCTTTCGAACTGCTAGGTTGGCAGGCGCTGGGACCGAGCAACGGGAGCGCACCCCGCCGCGGGGATTCGAACCGCCGACCTTTCGATCGGCAAGTCCTAGGCACTGAGGCTTTAACCCACAGCGCCACCCGCGTCCCTTGTTGCTTATCTATTACATGCCACCAAATGAATTTCCATATGCACACATGGAAATAAACGTGCCACCATTTATTGTGTATGGGGAGGAACAATACTGAGATAGGCACAAAGGTTCTATATAAAACTTTATTGTGAATGCATTGGATTGGAACGTAATATTACTATGCACAGTCTCCAAAACATCTCTGCGCCCAGTATTTTACTGAAAGTAAACTAACTCTTAAATTCCTGCTCAGGGAAAGTTATCACCACTGTTGCTAGTGCCTCATCATAATTACAAATAGCATCTACCCTGAAGCATGAAGATGACACATTGAGGTACCCCATGCATACCCTTCCAAAAGCAAAATTATAGTTACAACTTTTCATTAACGTAAACATACACTATGAAAAGGTTCTAGCCACGTTTTGGTAGAAAATATTTTCTAGAGGTTTATTTCATTTTACATCTATTTACAAATGTTGAGTTCAGTTGTACAGTAGCATAAGGAGCTTTTCATATCAATTACTGGCACAATTGGAACATATGGCTAAAAATGCAACATCATTTAAATGCAGTAATGGCCTTGGGCACCATTTAGATGTAACTCTCTTGTAAGTAAGGCTTTGTACCTCTTGTGAGAGTAAGTCTGATCGAACTAACTTGGACTTGCTTCTGAGTAACCACGCACAGGATCAGGCTGCAAATTTCTTGCTAAACTTCTTTCAATGTATCTTTATATAAACACAGATTTCCTGTTCTTTGGCATGATTCTACTGGGTTTACACTTATGGCTGAGCCAAGATTACTCAGGAAAAAAATGGTTTTCCATGACCCTTTTGCCAGTGCTTTTTTGTATAATCTGTAGAAATCTTTGCTTGTTTAAACTTGCTGCCCCTCAGCCTCAGCAATCTTATAGCACAGCCACATCTGATTGGCTACAAGACAGTATGGCATCTTCCTCCTTCACTATCTCTGGCTGGTAGATGATCACTTATGTGACTAAGCCAGGAAGAAAGAAGTGGTGGGTGTGTGGAAAGATCCTAAAGCAGCAGCAGGGAATCCCACCACCAAAATCACTAGTTTCTATTTAAAAATTTGAGAACACTACAGGCTACTTTCCCTGAAGGCGGAAACTGAAGATTGCAGCAGACAAAACACAAGATTATAGCTTGTCTGAACGTTGAGCACAGTCCTAGTTACATCACTGCCTCTTAGCTTTACTGGCACATCAAATTTTTAACCATAAAAGCCAGTGTGTACAAACTGCATATTTACCTAAACAGCGCTGCAACTGACAATCACAACTGCTAAGGCAAAAGTGATCCATGTTAAACAAGGGCAAAGACCAAAGTAGGCGAAAACTACAAGCACTTTGGGGCAGGTTACACCATATGCGGGGCATGGAGGGCAATGCTCATATTTTCTTTATCTAGAGATGTTTTTCACCAACAGTGGGCATCAGCAAGCCTTTTTACACACTCTACAGAAGCCATTTCAAAAGCAGCAACTTCTGTCAACAAAAAAGATGGGACACATTTTTTTTAAAAAAGAAAACCCACAATGAAACAAAATACGCTTTGTATTGGGCAATGTTCTCCCACTGTAGAATTACTGCTGCAGTTGTCCACTGGGAATTATTTTTTGATGAGGGGATCTAGCTCATACTCACTCAAAAGCCCAGCTGAAGCAAATTGCTTGGCAACTGATCCTTGTGGAAGCCAACTAAACACCACATCCAAAGGCACTTTCACTAACAGCTTCCTCATCCGGCTGCAGGGCAGTGATTCCCAAATGTTTCCCCCCATGGACCACTTGAAAGTTGCTGAGGTTCTTGGCAGACCTCTAAATGGTTTTTCTGCTTGTAGCAGTTGTAAGGTGCAGTACTACATTGCTGGATGCTTTTAAACTGCATTTTTACAGACCCACTGCAGACAACCTGAATGAAGCTTGTGGTCCATGGAACAGAGTTTATGAAGCCCTGCTAAAAGGAAAACAACAGCTTTCCCAGCGACTCTCCTATTCATAGGGAACCCCTTAGCAAAAAATAAAAACACGACACACCGTGCTCAATTATCATATCTGTGCAAAAGAATTCCAATTAATAAACCTGAAAATAGTCTCTACTACTACCTTGTGTTTCCCCCAGTTTGCAATATGACAACTTTAAATGTTCTGGGTGTTTAACACTGAGCATTTTAAACAAGTTGCGATGTGACATAAGAACAAATGGCACTAAAATGGGAAACACAGCTAGATGCTTGTTCCTGGGACTCGTCAGATGAGTGAGATTAGTGGAGACAAATGCAATAGTAGCCTTCAATTCCTAAAGTTTAATGAACTTCAGGGACATTTAATTAAAAAATTAACTCAGGAATTCATTTATTTTCTCCAGAATTAAGGGAAAAGGTAACTTGGGAACTTAAGTAAAAATGAGTGATCGTTCTGTAAGGGCAAGCATTCAGACTTTGTAATGACCCCCCCCCTTGTCCCTCTGAATATTGTTCTGAAAGCAGAAGTCCTCACACAGGGCTGACAGGACTCATTAATTGAATATCACTCTAGGTATTTAAAACGTAGAAGAGAAACCAACAATAATTTAAAAGAATATATACATCAAAAGACAAGTAGTACAATTTTTCCACATAATTACTAGGGATCAATATCAAGCAATATAAAATATTAGGAAAAATACACATCTAGTTTCCCAAGTTTTACAATGTATTTTAGGCGAAGTCATTCTCAGATCCACTGAAATCAATGAACAAGTTACTGAAATCCATTGATTTAAATGGGTCTACTCTGAGTATGACTAACATTGGATATTATCCATAGAATATACTCCATGCCTTGGTTTTAATTTGCTGTTAAAAACAACAACATTTTACTAAATACATATTAGCACTCTAACTTGCTGATTGCCACAGAACAAAACATCTGAAATGGTTTATCAGAAACCTAGCAAAAGCAAACTATTACATTTAGATGATTATACTAATATTATGTCTTGTACTTTTGATATGCAAAGTGCATGACACTCTTTCATAGCTTTAGTATCAGTGTAGATATTTACTTGCAAAAATAGCTGAACAAATCCTTCATAGTGCCGTAAATTCACATGTCACACTAAGCCAAACCGTGGTTTAGGACCAACAAGCTCCCAGAATGGGGATCACAGCTGCTTTGCTTGTCACTGCTCATTTTGCTGCTGAGCTAAGCCATGGTTTGCCTTATCGTGTTGTTCAACCCAGAGGTTGTGGTTCAGAATATGCAGTAAGCCAGACCACGGCTTAGTTTAGCAGCAGCAATAGCAGCAAAATGATGGGGGTAGCAAAGCAAATGGGATCTCCTCAGGAGGCTGTATGTATGCACTAAGCCATGGTTTGGCTCAGTATGATGTGCAAACTGGGTCAGTTTATTCGTAGCCTTGAGGTATCAATCACCATATACTTGTCTATGGCCAGGATTCAAAGCGCTGTGTTTTTTTGCAAGTACTAACCCTTTCCCAGAGTAACTCCTTGCACATACTGAAAAGCCAATACTGAGAAAGTTCCCCCCCCCAAACATCAACTCTCTCATATACCCACAGAGGAAAGTCCTTTCCACTAATGCACAAGGTTCTTATTATCCCAGCCTATTTTCCTAGAAAACAGTAACAGCAGAATGAGCAGGTAACTACAGGTAACTCGCATCTGACGCTTATTTAACAGGTACACTCTCAGCATTATGCACGTTGCCCAAAAGTGGTGCAAAAATGGCATGAACAGGGGAAAAATAAGAAAATGGTACACAAGGGGGGAAAGAGCCAGCAGCCTTCGTAAGAGTGTTTGGGCATAGAAGGGGTGGTTGCAGAGGGTGATCAGAGGTGGCCAGAGAGACTTGTGGAGGGGTTTGGAGAGACAACTAAAGGGTGTGGAGAAACTTCAGACTGCAGAGCTAACTGAGGGCCAAACACGTATTGACTGCTGAATTGCTAAAGGAACTGGTCAGCTCAAGTTCAGTATGCAAGGATGAGGATGGAGAGAATGGGTCAGCAAGTTGGAGCCTGCAGAAATTTTCTCAACTTTTCTACGCATATGATCTGACCCCTCCATGGAATGCATCCTCAAGATCATCTGTGGGAATACAGACATTCTGAGACCATGCAAGGAAATGTTTGATGAGCCCAACAGCAGCACCTATCAATCACCGTGTTCCTCACAAAGAAGCTAGCAACAGCAGTAGCAGATGTGCCCAGGCAACCCACCTCTGGATCTGAACCACAGCCAAGCACTTCTTCCGGCTACCAGTCAACTCCCCAGGGTCTTCGTATCATCTGCAGCAGCATCCAGCAAGGGAAAGGATGCAGAAGACGAAGAGCCGCATTCGTCCCTCACTAGTTAAGTGCAGTGATTTTAAAAATGGTTGTCGAACGGTCTTTTGGGGCTTTACACAATTTTGCTTATACCCGCGATGGCCAGGAACGCGACCCCTGCATAAGATGCAAGTTACCTGTAGACTGTTTCTGCAGCTTGAATTATGTTAGGACAAGGTTTGCCAAGCAAGAGATGCAAATAGCAATTCAAGTGTGACCAGCAGAAATGCAGTGAACTTTTACATTCAACTCAAAAAGGGTCTTCAGTCCTTGCATATTGGTCATTTTTGTTTTGGTCAGTGATATAACAAAGTGTTTCTGCAAAAGGAACCTACTGGAGTTATTTATAGGCAGGAACATGGGCTTGAAAAAGCACATGAAAATACTGACAGCTTCTGTGAGGTAGGAGGGCTATCCACGGTTTTCCCATCATACTATTTTAATAAATCCATTCAGAACCAAATCTACCAGGGTGGGAGAGTAAAGAGGCATTTCTCAACAAACTGTGATTGGAAGCACCATTCTGCTAAACTGTATCAACTTCAGTAGTGCACATTTCCAGCATGGGTAAGAATGGAACACACGAAAGCTGCCATTTTAGGTGTGTCTGAAGATCAGCTAAAAGAAATGCCTATCGTAAAACAGAACACAAAATGGCTCAGATCAAACCTTTCATTGAACCAACTACAGTCAAGTACACACATCACAACCACAACACGGAGGCTTCACCACACCATTGCTGCAATGTGTATAGTGGCTTGGTCCCATTGTATGCACGCAATGAGGATGATTCATTCCATGTTAGCCATTGTCTTCTGCATATGTGGCAGGCATCATACAAAGGCTGTTTCAAGTGGCCTCCACATGGTCGTAACATACTGTCACGTTCCAACAATTATTGCAGAACTCTGAAGACTTCTCTGTAATTTGAAGGCTCCAATTTACCTTGCTGGCTTATACAGTTGGTTCAACAAAATGGATCAACCACCATTTTGGATCGTGCTCAGTTAAATGAAGAGAATTTCCTACCCAAATATCTCCAAGAGCCCACCTAGGTTCACATCCAACACCTAATGTGTTTGTGTTTCTATACTACTGGTTATGAAATGCCAAACTATTTAAAACACCCTTATTTGGGGGGAGGGGAAAAACATTTACAGAATTTAAGGGAATGTGTGTTGAAATTATATATTGTTCCCTCTTAATTAACAGCAGCAAGCAGCATTCAGTCATCATTTACACAGGCAGAACACGCTCAGGTGCAAGGCTATGATTTTCACCAAATGTGACCATTGTTTTAAGATAAAAGAGCCTTAGAACACCTCCTTTTCAAATTATTTTGCTCTTCCAATACAATTATATAGAATTATGTCGGTCTCAGAAGAAGCTGAACTGGTGTGCTTAATCGCAATCACAAAATCAGATAACTGAAAAAAACTCCTTCATTTAATTCAAGTCACATACAGTGCTGAATCACAATTGCAATTCCTACCCACCACCTTTCAACCCCTGAAATGGGAAAACAGAAATTGAGGTTTCTCAAGGTGTTGGAAGTGCCAAGCAGATTCCAGTCAGAGTAAGTTTGGGGTTGAATGACGTTGGGAGCTGGGGCATTTCCTCTCTCCCCTTCTCTGCAAACACGGTTTGCAAATGTCAAAATAAAATTATTTTGGAGTAAAAAATAAGCATCTCAACACTAAATTCCAAGTAAATAGTTAAGAAACTATGAGGAAATCAAAGTATTAGCTGTGAAAGTGCACAACAAGCTCCCCAAACAATCTGGTCTGGAGGCATCCCATCACAACTGTTTTCTAAAAAAGGGGGGATACACTTTGAGTTTACAAAATAACTCTTCCCTAAAAATTATATTCTCCCCACTTCAGTTTTAGGTTTGTAAACAGAAAGGGAGAAACAGGAAATCCTTCCACAGAAGTCTATGATCAGTTAACAGTAGACTCAGGAAAAAGATTTTTAGGGGGGTGGGGGGAAGAGTGTCAAAATTGCTTTTGTTCTCATAGAGCAGGTCACTTCTATGAAAACTTAATCGCTGTCCGATTCTTCCTTGAATTTGGCTCTGATGGCTTGACCGTTCTGAAGTGGCATTTCTTCATAATCACTCCTGTCCCCCCAAAAAAGAGATATTCAAGAACATCTTAAGACATAAATAGCATAAAACAACACTTATTGTAGGCAAGTAGACGAAATTAGTATGATCTCAAAAGATTTGTTATTCTTTCAAACATGAACCCTCTTCAGGTAGGAATGAAAGCAGTATTCTTTAGCTTCCTTCCAGTGGCGTAGCGTGGGTTGTCAGCACCCGGGGCAAGGCAAGTAATTTGTGCCCCCTAACCCGTGGATTTTAGCACTCGAGTCTCTTCCACTAGATTAGCCCCCCCCCTCAGATGTTGCGCCCGGTGCGGCCAGCCCCCCCTGCACCCCCACGCTACGCCACTGCTTCCTTCCATTCTATCTAAAGAGTATGGCTTCAAAATCTGACTATATTGGAAAGTTGGCATAGGGAGCTTGCTTTCATTTTAGTGTTCAAAGCAATTCACTTATTTTCAAGGCATCCTAAAGGTAACACTGATGGCTCAGTTGGAAGTGTACACTTGTCTTGCTTGCTGCTGAACTTAAGACAGGACCAAAAGATGAGGAAACAAGCAGGGACACATGCTTTTCTCAGAAAAGAAAAGCAAAACTCCGTGGGGGATAAGCACTTGCTTTCCCTGCCATACATACATTTTACTCACGTGGCTTATCTCACAAATTCAGACCTCGCTCCCTGGATCAGAGCCCTCTCATCTTATAACCAATTTTGTGGCTATAAAACTCTGTGGTCACAGAGGCTATAGAGAGATGTTGGGTCATATGTGAGCAAGTGGGCACACTGGGACCAAAGCAGAAGAAGAGCCTGCTGGACCAGGTCAATGACCCATCAGGATGCCAATGAAAGCATCCTGTTCTCACAGGGGACAACCAGATGCCTGTGGGAAACCAGCAAGCACAATTCAAGCACAAGAACACTCTTTCCTCGCATGGTTTCCAGCAACTGGTATTCAGAAGCATTACTGCTTCCAACTGTGGAGGCAGAGTATAGCCATCGATAGCCCTCTCCTCCATAAATTTGTCTCATCCTCTTTTCAAGTCGTGCAGGTTGGTGGCCATCTTTTCCTCCTGCGGGAGCGGATTCATATCACTGCTCAGCCGACGAAGCTCACAAGAAATCTACTGGCCTTTCACTCTCTCTCAGGCCAACCTGCCTTGGTAAGTTGCCGTGAGGATAAATGGGGCAAGGGACCACATATGCCACTTAAGTTCCATGAGGGAACTAATGGAAGCTTTTTAAAAATGTTTGACCTCATACTATTCCTACCACAAGTACAAGATTCTTCATCATTTGCTTCCAATATACAACTATCACCAGTGACAGAGGGGTCCTTTTTAAAAGGAAACCTCCATGGCTTATATTTTGTAGAATATGAGAAAAAATATTAAATTAATACAACTACTGTAAGCCTTACGTTACTTACCCATAGATCACATCATCATCTGAGTCGTTCAGCATAGAGAAGGCAGGATTATCTTTCAACTGAGACTCTGAAAGGTTTTGCAAAGGAAAAGTTCGCTTAACAAGATATCTCTCCATTACCTTTTCAGTTCAGCTTATTTGAACTTTCAGAAAGCTTTCGATAGTCAAGATGAGTCTTTCAAGAGAGACCACAAGCCTAGCATTTTGGGGAGGAGGGGAATACGTCTTCTTATGGAGCACCATGGAGGGAAGCAAGATTCTACCAGCATGGTGAGTGGTGACAGATAGGAGCTTGAAGACAACATGTGGAAAGCCACAAGTTTCTTATGCCTGCTCTAGGGCTTAAATCCAAATAGAGATAATACCTGAATATTTTACACAATAGTATGACATGCAACCTTTTTGCAATAGAATAGAATATGGAAGAAAAAGAGGGGGGAAATCAAAAGCCGAACTGAGGCCAACTTACCATACAGGGCATTTTTTGATGGAGAATATACAAAGGCTAATGTGTATAAATAGAAGTTCAATAAGCCGTAGAACGATAAGAATTCTGCAGGTGGTAACGGTCAAGGATATCAAGTTAAACAATTCAAGATGCACACCTCGCAGCACACAAATGTCATTCTCCACATATATGTAAGGCAGCTAACCTGGACATGGTCAAAACCCTAGCAAAACATCTAGGAAAAAGTTATCTCCAGATTTAAAAGTCAAATCTGCTTTACAGCTGCCTCACCTATAGGTAGAGTCACAGACGAAAGCAGTGCTAATGTTCAAAGCTGCCCCAACATACAAAAAGCTAAAAGCCAGCCTGTCTACTAAGATCACATAGAGAGGCTTTCCTTCACATGCCACCAAGATCTGAGCTATGTTTGCTTGGGATGCAGGAGAGGGGCTTTTCTGTGGATGTGCCATTGCTTTGCAACACCGTGAGCAGCCGTGCTTGCCTTGCCTACGCTTTGATGGCCTTCATTATATAGGGAACTACAGTATGCTAATCACTCAAACAGCCTGACATAGACAGCTTGACTGAAACATCTCAGTACCACGATGTCACAAGAAAAGGATATAATTATGATAATGGGTCGACAATTCAGCCACAAAGTTGTCTTGCAGAACCTGGGCTCCAAAACGCAGATAAAGTATAACGATGCTGCAGTTAAGGGAGAAGAAACCAAAAAGCCACTCAACATTTTGTAATTACTTTCTAACCAGAGTTAAATGAAACATTAAATTAGTGCTGGGGCAAATGTTAAAAGGTACAGGTAAAGGTAAAAAAACCCTGACAGTTAAGTCCAGTCACGAACAACTCTGGGGTTGCAGCGCTCATCTCGCTTTACTGGCCGAGGGAGCCAAAGTTTGTCCACAGACAGTTTTTCCGGGTCATGTGGCCAGCATGACTTAGCCGCTTCTGCTGAAACCAGAGCAACACACAGAAACGCCATTTACCTTCCCGCTGGAGCGGTACTTATTTATCTACTTGCACTTTTTGGCGTACTTTCAAACTGCTAGATTGGCAGGAGCTGGGACTGAACAACAGGAGCTCACCCTGTCGCAGGGATTCGAACCGCCAACCTGCCGATCGACAAGCCCTAGGCTCAGTGGTTTAGACCACAGTGCCACCCGCATCCCTTAGGGCAAATATTAGCCTTCCTAATTAAATCTACTGTCAATGCACAGGAACACCCAGATTCTCAAAAGATGAGTGCATGGGAGGGGATGCAGTTGTGGGAAGGATGTGGTAATTGTGCCAATGGAAATTATTATTTCATATATTTATATACCACAATACCAAAATAGTCCAAGTGGTTTGTAAAAACCAAAAAATATTACATGTATATATGCCAAGCATAATGTATCGGCATCTAATATCGTCAAACCTCGGTTGTCAAACGTAATCTGTTCTGGAAGCCCATTCGGCTTCTGAAATGTTCGACAACCGAGGCATGGCTTCCGATTGGTTGCAGGAGCTTCCTGCACTCAAGCGGAAGCTGCATTGGACATTCGGCTTCTGAAATACAGTGGTACCTCAGGTTACAGATGCTTCAGATTACAGACTCCGCTAACCCAGAAATAGTACCTCAGGTTAAGAACTTTGCTTCAGGATGAGAACAGAAATCGCACAGCGGTGGCACAGCGGCAGCGGGAGGCCACATTAGCTAAAGTGTTACCTCAGGTTAAGAACAGTTTCAGGTTAAGAACAGACCTCCAGAATGAATTAAGTTCTTGACCCAAGGTACCATTGTACATTTGAAAACCAGAGCATTTACTTCTGGGTTTTTGTCGTTCGGGAGCCGAAATGTTCCAAAACGGAGGCGTTTGGGATCTGAGGTTTGACTGTATGTGCTTTATCAGAAATGTGTAAGATGCTAATCTGCACCTCAGCAGAATGTTTTCTGTATCTAGCACCTTTCAGAAAAGAATTAATATCTTACCTAATGACGAGAACTACAAATGTCAACACGGTCAAGAATTTTAGCCTGAGATCTGAGGAAAGGAGAAGAAAAATGGTTATCTGAAAGTGAACACAAATATCTCGCTGGAAGAACATTGCCACGCAGCAACCATGACTGGCACAGAACAGAGCTTACCGACATAGGGCATGTTACGGAGTTCTGAGCATGCCCTGATTATCAGGAACAAAAGGTACAAAATGTACACAGCTGCCACCACAAGGAAGAAGATTTTCATACCCTGTTACAAAAATATATACAAAAGTTTTAAAATATTATTCTGATGACGATTATGACAACAACATTTATTTCCTATCCTTCATGATGAGGTCCAAGGGCAGCTTACAAGGATGTAAAAATACAATATCAAAGACAGTTAAAACAATTACAGCCATGAGAACGGGATGGGCCCTAAAATATATGTCTCCAGTGTCAAAGGTGCATATCCATCCTTTCACTCAGGCAAAAGTGCCTTTTGAAAGCCTTTACATTCGAATAACCAAGGCTAAACTTAATCCCAGTCACTATATGCTTCTCGGATAAGAACAGTTTTACATTTTCCGAAATGCTGGTCAGGCTAAACATAGGGATGTTGTGCTATCAATCCTGTTTCTCTATGTGTTTCCCCTGATTTGCACACCTGGTGCACAGGTGGTCACATGTTTTTAAAAGAAGCTGAGAACAGTGACTTTATAAGTCACTTCATTTATCCCGTTCTGTTTCATTTTCTCTTAATACAATTATCTCCCAGTATTTATTGTGTTGTATTAAGACATCCTCACGTGATCTTAGAAACAGCAACTGGACTTCTAAGAATCTAAATGAAAGATATAACTGATGACCAACAAAGAGTTATAGTTTACAAAAGTGGGCAACAAAAGTCTTTCGACAAAATTAGAGTAATAGAATTGTAGAAGGGAAGTTGGAAGGGAGTCCAACCCCTGCAATGCAGGAATATCAACTAAAGCATCCCTGGAAGAAGGCTATCCACCTCTACTTAAAAACCTCAAAGGAAGGAGAGTCCATCATGTTTAGAAGGAGTCTGTTCCAGCACGAAGCAGCTCTTACAGTCAAAAAATTATTTCTGATGTTTAGTCAGAATCTCCTTTTTTGTAACTTGAATCTATTGGTTCAGGTCCTATACTCTGGAGTGGGAGAGAACAAGCTTGCTCCATCTTCCATGTGATAGCCCTTTAAAAACTTGATTTTGTTACATGTGAGATTCTCCTAATTACAAGAATCTGTGTGAGATGGTTTTTTGCAAAGCTGGTAGGCTTTTGTTGTGATCAGGGAAGTCTTACACGTAACAATTTCAAGTTTCTAACCCTGAATTTAAGTGGGTTCTCACCATTCTTTTTCTGAAGGTTCTTCCAGGGATCTCAGAAGAAGTCTCTAGAAACTAAATGTAAGCAAAGCTACAACCAATATTTAAGTGACAGCCTGTTACCTATCGTTTTGCAGTTGTGTCACAATAGGACATCAGCTGGACAGACGGATCAAAATAGCTGAGCATTTTTCAAAATCTGATAATCCACACAGCATTTCTTATATAAACAGAAAGGATTGTTCACACTAATTTACCTGAAAGTTGTTTGTGTCAATCCCATACTGGTATGTTGGGTCATGTAGTTCATTGACACTAAAAAACAACAACACAAGACCATTTAATGTAAGAATTTGTACGCATCATAAAACTAAGTCCATAGAAACTAACATGTTAAAAAAATTGGCCATTTCTTCCCCCTCATCTTAATAAGATACAGATTTAGACTCTCTCTACTAGTCTTCCCAACAGTTTCCAAGAAAAAGCCAGAACAAATTGATTCCAATTTGAGTTTGTAATTATGTTTCCTATTTATGCAGAACTGAGAAAGCTGGAACCAACACATTCAAATACACATACACATAGCACTAGGGAAATGTTTAAAAATCCTACTCAGAGCTGAATAACGTTTGCCACTTCTTGAGTATCCAATGAAGTGCTTACCCATGGAAGAAAATAATTCCTCGGCGGAATAGGAGAGGGAGAGAATTTTCAGTGATTCTTCCATACCATGAAGGTTCCTGGACTCCCTCAATCTGTTCCAGAGTGTACCTCAACTACAAGGAAAGTGGGCTCTCTCTATGTAGTAGGAAGACTTCATATTCTGATCATATGCTAACAGACTGAATAATCTATGCAGCTAAGGAAGACTTTAGTCAGATCTCAGGACACAAAGCTATCTCTCAATATTTACTGCAGTTTCAACATGTGCTTTACACTCTTCAAATGGTGGACTTAGTCTTTGCTTTTACTAGAGGAAAAGCAAAAGATGGGAACTACTAAAAAAAATCCTGCTTTCTTGTTCAAGGCTATTTAGTGATCAGAGAAGGGGAAAGAGGAATGAGGAAAAGAGATAAGTTACTCACGTCTGCCATATTCCTAATGTAACAGAAGCCAGCCACAAAAGACCAACAATAAGGAGTTTAGGAAAATAGAACGTTATGCACCTCCTTTCGCCCTAAGAAAGAAAAGGATAAATTAAGAATATGAAACTTGGTTTTCAGACATCAGTTAATTTACAATACTGTGAAATATTGTTGTACTTTTTCGGAGGGACAGCAGCAACAAATAGTTTAATTTTGAGAAACTCACACAGAGTTTTTGGGTGGAATCCAAACTGGGGATGCATGCAAGAGGGGGGAAATTCATAAAGTTCATAGGGTATTTGTAGGCTCTCTCTAATCTACTTGGCTGGGAGAGGGGGAAAGAGGCTGAACTACAGCTTTCTGAGTTCAGCGGAGGAAGGGAAGGATTAAAAATGCTACAAATAAAGTAAGTTTAAATGCTTCTTTGACAAGTGAGACCATTTATTAACGTTATTTATTCCTTTGGTTTAAGATTTTTCCAAAACTGTTTATTTGGAATAGGTTTTAATGAGTGTTTATCCAGTAAAAAGCAGTAAAGCGCACACACATATGCACAGAGCAAGAGATAAGTGTGAAAGGCAGAATGTAGATAGCACTGAAATATGTGTCTCCTCCTGACCTGCACTCTGATCCCATGGTAGACACAGAGCCAAAACAGCAGCAATGCACATAAGAACAGCGACTGGAAGAGGTCATCTAGCATTCCAGGAAACCAACTGTTGATTAGGAACGAGAGGGGGAAAAATGGATCTGCAACAAAAGAAAAAGCGTCACAAGACAACCACGGAAAATGTTGTTCCACTCTGCACTTGGGCACTCTCTTGCAGTCTAATTGTGTGCCAGAGTTGCGATTCAACAGAGCCTTCTCAGTGGCTGCACCCAGACTATGCAAATCCTCTCCTAAGGAGTCCTGTCTAGCTCCCTCTCATATGGACTCATAAAGAGTTTTGGCTTTTTCAAACAGGCCTTTAGCTTGCCAAACTGATATTGCTTTCCTGCAACTCTATGATGGTAAATGGCGAAAGCCAGCTGCTGTTTTTTATCTGCTCCTGTTGTTCAGCCACTTGTTTTATACATAAACCATTGTACAGTATTTTATTTTATTTTTGTAATAATTTCCCAACCCCCCTTTGCTGGCTTCCTTGGACACCTAACTGTGGAAAGGGAGGATAAATAGTTATTTTTAAAAGCTAGAATCAGTGAGAACTGAAATTCTCCCATGCTGACCCTGGGTGCAATCCAACTGGTACACTTGTACTCACACAAAAGGCTTTTTTAACCAGCAGATGCCTCTGCTAACAGAAGAGGGGGGTGATTTTTGCCAGCCCCTGCAGTATCCAGTGCCCCCAAAATTAAACTACTGGGAATTGGCAAAAATTGCAGAGCTTCTTTGAGCACAAGGTCATCGCATGGATCCTGCTCTTCCCCAAACCTATTTCAAAAGAAAAGGGCTTGTATTTATTTATTTTTCCTTTCCTCCCTAATCTCACTTATGTGAGGAGGGTGGTGGAGAATCTTATAAAGCATGGCCCCAGGAGCCGATCACAGCATGAGGTAATACATATAAATACCATTATAGAGCAATAGCAGGGGGAGGAGGATCGACATCCACTTTTGCTCTATTCCCCAATCTCGCATTGAGAACTTGCGCAGGGAGTGTGCAAAGAGACACTGCAAAGGAACATAAAAAAAAAAATAATCAGCGAAGATTATGCAGTACCCATTTGTCTTCAGATAAAAAAGGAAGAACGGCGGCAGAATGTATGCTGCGGCACATGGGCTACATTAGGCAGCAAGTTCTGCAAGGATTTCTTGCACTTCAGAGAACAGGTTGGCTGATGCAACCCCAGGAGAACAACAGTGCCCCAAAAACCCAGCGAACAGGAACCACCTCAAACCATCACATACCAGAAGACCTCAGTGTCTTATATTTCTCCTTGTTTTCACTTCACTTTTCTTATCCCGTAGCACTCCCTCTTTTGTATCCCACCTATGTCTCTGGCCATTATCCTTCCAACCCACTAGCAATGAACGCTCCCTCCCAGAGCAGCTTTCGTATCTCATGCAAAAATAAAACTGAACAATCGACACTCACTGTGACAATGAAAGTAAGGACCACAAAGACAAATCGGAACCAGATTTCCACTTGAGAGTAGGCTGAGTTATAGGTTTTCCACTGAAAGAAAGGAATTAGAATATTAACAAAAAAGCTAAAGGAATGAAGATGGCACCAGTCATAATAGTTTATATTCAGTATTTTATTACTCATTTATTTATCAGTGTGATTTTCCGGATTTAGAACTGGTACCAATATTTATTGTGGGTCTAGCCACTGAAACTTCAAGGGGAAATAATGTGCCCTTTAATATTACAGTCAACGCAAAGATTTACAGTTAAAACTACACTTTCATTCTATGTTTGCCTTTACTTCACTTACTGTGAAATTGTAATGCTTGATTGGAGGAAGGTTTTCAAAGGCGACAGTGATCTCATAGCGAGTGTAGTTCAGATAACCAAGATGGACCACAATAAATTCAGCACATTGCTAGGAGCACACATTGGAAGAGGGGAAATTGGGAGGGAAAGGGAAAGAAATTCAACAGTGAGAACACCAAATAAGGTTTTCTTTCTTTCTGGGCTTTTGAGACATTTAGGATTGGGCCAACAATTGCAATAAATGAGTTAGCATATCAGAATTGATTTAATGGTGAAATTCAGTTAGGGTATCCCTGCCTTCTTGCATGACATTCCCTTAGACTTCTCTGCTGTTTGTAACAGCACAGTTGCCCTAAGCTCATAAGGCAAAGGAAGAATAAAGACTCATCTGGGACCTCTAGTTGCATTCAATAGAAGTGCTGCTTTGTGTGGATTTCAAGGAAAACTAACAGAGGAAACACCGAAACTGTTGACTACCAGATTGTTAACAGCTGTAACCTTGATTTGATTTGTGGATTCCAGAAAGAGGATCTGGAGGTTCATACTTCTAAAACATGCTCTCTGCAATTCCTCACTTCGTTGTTAACAAGAAACTAGAATTAAAAAATTCACCCACCTAATATAATACAGTATAGTCAATCCTGTCTGGCAACAGTTTTCCAGGACCTCCAACAGAATTATTATTGCCCATGACTGCTTCTCGAAATGCAACGTTTGGAATGTGGGGTCAAATACATTAGCTGCTATTTTGTTTATGGATTTCACCAACAGAGATACTTCCTCACCTTGCCTCACCTCTCTATCATGCTTCTAAACCACAGAAATAGCTCATCTGTAAGAAATGGTACATTGCCATTACCTGTGCACAGTTCAGTGTCCTTGTTCGGTTGTGAAGTTCCTTGTTAAAATACCTGACGCTTGCATTCTCTATTACACCACTTATTGTAACCAGCATATTGAAGTTTTTTTTCAAGCCATTCCATTTGTTATCTGAAAAAACAAAAGTCCGTTCAGATGCTACAATCTATAGGGGCTAGAGTATACATATATATATAAGATAATAGATGCAGTAACAACCGAAAATGAATGGATTCTATAACAGAATCAAGAGTACATTCCAACCCTCAATAACAACTGCTCACTGAAGCTAGTACATTGTGGTAACAAATTGTGTTGTTTAACTATGCACTGTGTGAAGCACTGCTTCCTTTTATCTGTCCTGATGACCTTACATTGTACAGGCAGGCAATATACACACATTTCCGTATATGGTTGATATATACATAATTAATATAATCATATAAGCTAAGTTACACTTACCAAAACGTTGGTCCAACTCCACTACACATGTCAGCCATAACTGCTGATTATAAGTAGATAACGGCGGTGAACTTAAATTAAATGGCCTTATCTAAAACAAAATGGAAGCAAGAGTTAAACCACAGTCATTCATTTTACTATATTAGCTTCTCCAAGTTTTGTGAGCAAGTTTTGTCTGTGAGGTTGTTATACTATGAGATTCCACTGGGCTCCATTTTACCATCCATGCTATTTCATAACTATAAGAAACTCCAAGAGGGGTTATTGGGAGATGTGGACTGAGATGTGGTGAAATCAATATGTGGATTACACCCAGCTTTCTCTCTCCTTTTCATCAAATCCAGACGAGGCAGTGGGTGTTCTAAATCAGCGCATTAGCAGTGTAAAGGACTGGATGCAGGCCAATCTATTCTACCAGGGGTTCTCCAGAAGACTGGCAGAAATCTTACAAGCACTGCTACATCAGAAATTTAACCGAATATTTTTGGGATTGAATCTAGGACCTTCTGCATGCATAGCATGTGTTCTGCCACTGAGTCATGGCCCTTCCTCATCAACATGCAGCACAGCTAAAATGCTTGTTGCAGGAAAGGTGCAGATACTGTCTTCTTGTTCCTAGTGTTTTCTAGAATAGCAAAGCAAAGTGAAGGAATTCTTATAAGGCACAGCAAAAAAAACTAGGACACAATGAAAAAGTGCTATCAATCAGTTCTTAGGCAAATGCATGCCTCTCTTTTCTGTACATCACGACTGTGGCAGGAGCTAGGAGGAGCATCCATACCCTCTGTTGATATCACTGAGATTAGATTGTTCAGTATAGCTACCTGCAGATGACCTTTGAACCCCAAACCCTACAGAAGGTCTGCAGTCTAAGTTCTGCTTCGCTCCACAAGGTCCTGAATATGCCCCATGTAACATGACCAGCTCAAGAGATGATGGAATAAGTCCTAAGGCAAACTCCCACAGACCTAGGAAGGATTATGTTGAATACACCAAATACTTGAGGCTACATGTGGAATTCAATGTTGTGCTCTTCCTATTGTTCCAGCTTGCCAGGTGAAACAATTCTCCCTCTCCTCCAACTGCACACAGTTCTGGGGGTTCTCCCAATCTCCCTCTTGGAGCCCATTTCAGGGGGCTCAGGTGGAAGTATGAGAGGAAAGCCCCATTGCACAAGCATAGCTCCTTGTGCAGGGCTCCCACTGACAGGGCTTGTTAGGTGAATCCCACCCTGAAATATTTGTGTGTCAGAACAAGCATGCACAATCTATAAACAGTATAAGAAGACTTACCTTGGAGCCATTATTCAACTGAGATTTCACTTGAAAGGGTTCAATGACATTGGGACCTATACAATAGACAGAGACATGGGCTCAATATGTGAATACCTGTTATAGCCTAAATTTTTAATGACGGCCATTATCAGCTGAAAATGTCAGGAATGGTAGACAGGCAGAGAATGTTAAATTGCACAGAAGCTCCTGTTTTACACATGCATCAAAATTAAGGGATGATTTCTTATCCACATTGCCGATAGAATTCAATTGGACTCAGAGTCAAGTTCCACATTCACATTACCATACACTACAGACGTCAAAGGATCTTTAGACGTATAGCTCACCACAGAACAAAACTGGACTATAGACTACATAGCCACAGACTGTTCTACTTTAGAGGGCATTTTAGTAGAGGGTTGAATGGTCCTCCCACTTTTAAAACACACTCTATGCACACAGGAAGCGATATGCCAGTGAAAAGGGTACCAGCCTAGTTCCCCCCAGTATAGCAGCTTTCTATAAGTAGGTTGTTTCCTCTGGTGGGAGAAGAACAGGTCTATCAATATCTATTAGCCATGATAGCTAAATGGCATCTTGGTATCAGGGTTGGGGAGTGTGCCTTCCTCCATATGCTATTAGACACCAACTCCCATCAAGCCCAGCCAGCCTGGACAATGGTCAGGAATCATGGGAGTTTTACCCCAGCATCTGTACAGCCTCAGATTCCCCAGCCCTGCTGTGAATTCCAGATGCCAGGCACAAGAGACAGGAGATTTGATTTGCCTGCAACAGAAGGTTTGCAACCAGATTTTCTTTTTGTAAACCACTGCAGCACAACGGAAGACAGCAGCCTTGAGAAGGTTTCTATGATATCACAGTCCAGCAGCAGCAGGAGGGATTGCCCACTGCAGTATCTAGCAATGCCTCAGAAACAACTGGACTGAAATAATATTTGAACAGTGGGAGCAGGTGGCATCTCTCAAGGCCCACCCTTCCTTCATGCTCATCACCACCCAAGGGTCTACAAATGCCAGTTTGCCACTGGCCAGAGGATCTTTCAACCTGCTGAGGGTAGTATCACAGAAAGCGTACACCCTTCTCTGGTCTGGAAAATATGCAGCACTCCCCAATGAAGAGATTTCTCAGTGCTTTCCAGGTGTCGCTGTGACTCAGTGCAAGAGGGAAAGCCCCTCAGCTCACTTTCTAGCTCAGAGGGCAGGGGACCACAAGAACTCCCACCACCACACAGTGACTTTGGATCTTGAACATGGCGTGATCTCAGACGAGACCTTGCCCCCTACGCCTGAAGGGCAGGCTGGGATGTGTCAGCCACAATATGCGGACTTATCTTTGCCTTGCAGAAAATCCTGCTCTTCGATACCGCACCCACAGCTATGCCTTTGAGCTCTCATTCTGCTACAGTCTGGTTTCTCATCTTGTTTTAAGAAACAGAGGTCTCAAAAAAGTATTTTTCTTTTTTAAAAAAACAGCTGGAGCATCCTTTATTGCTACTGAACTCTTTAAAAGTAAACTATGTATATCAGTAAATTGGGCTCAAATAAACCAGTCTGCCAACATAACAGAGTATGGATAAAGAAGCTACAGCATCAACAGTTTCACCACAATATCAAAGGTCAGGTCCACCGTTCCAGCATGGTACAAAGTACCATATGGTGCTTGAGAGCAATTCTACATTATGGAATGTAGCTCAGATTATTATGTAGCAAAACTATTGACTACACAGTTTCAGCAGAAAATAGAAATTTACTGAAAGCGGCACTCCAATCCCAAGTGTACCAAGGAAATTCCATTACAAGACACTTCTAGATATGCGTGTTTAGAATCGCACGCAAGAAGCTTATGGGTTACTGTATTCAGTTTAGAGTTTGTATTCTTTTCAACAAGTGTTTTCAGTGTAGAATAGTCTCTGTATTAAATATGTAAATAACTTTTGAATACCCCAGCCAATAGAGAATAATCAGCAGTGGTCAACCTACTGTGGACTGGATCGCACTCCCTAGTGAATCTTATTAGGAGGGCAGGATAATATCTATTCAATAATAATGAGCAATTAGAACTGGAAGTGAAAGCTTCTGAATTTCTTTCCTCTATGTCTGTGCTGAATAGAGACAGGGGAGCAAGAGAGCCTGAGGCTCGCTGTGACTCAGTCGCATCATGACATGCCAGGAGTGGCTCACCTTTAGCGGGCTGATGGCCGCACTCTGATGGCCTAAGGGTGCATGCCTAAGTTTCATGGCCAAAGTGTAAAAGTGGCTATGGTGAGAACTGCAATTCTCAAGCTTGCCTTCGGACAATTTTTTATCATTCATTATTAAATTCAGTTAAAAATATAGGTTTTTTAAAGACACGTTTTGGGGAAATTGGGTGTGTGGATGTGACAAAAACCTTTTCATATCACAGAATCATAAAAGGGGTCCTCTGTGAACAGTCGGGGGGGAATAACTTTTAAAAACGGATGAAGTTGGGGAAGACTAAGGGGCAAATAAGCCTTTTGCATTATGGGAGCAGTAGAAAAACAAGAGTTTTTTGGAGGGATAAATATTAAAAGTTTTAAACAGTTTGTATTTAAAAATGAAAAATTGGGTGACACGTTTTGGAGAGTCTTCCTGGGTTGGGGGGGGCACAAAAGCTTACAGGAACAGCTGCCAGTTTGTCCCTCCCCCGGTATAAACCATAGGTTACAGTGATGTTCAAATGCAGCCAGTGACTAGCATCAATACAGCCACCCTCTTATGAATAGGGAGGGAGGTGGAGAGAGAGCTTGCAGGAATTATCCTGCTTGGCAATGTGACTAACTATATACATACATGTTTTGAGTGTAAAAGCATTTCTTTGAAATGTACAAGATTTTTATAATACATCATGCACACATTTTTTATTATGGGTGTTAGTCTGGTGTCCCCATAGTTACCTTTGACTGGACTTAACTGTCCAAGGGTCCTTTACCTTTTACTTTTTTTTAAAGCAGCCATATGTGCTTTACCAAATCTAAGCAAGAACACACACATTTGGGTACAATCTGCTATGCAATTTCCTCATTAACATTTATTTATAATATGTAAAACGTAGTCCCTCGCTTCCCCAAGTGTTTGGTCTGCATGGGCTTTTGCTTTCAATTTCAGTGCCATCCCTAAGATACAAGTACAGTGGTACCTCGGGTTAATAACTTAATTCGTTCTGGAGGTCTGTTCTTAACCTGAAACTGTTCTTAACCTGAAGCACCACTTTAGCTAATGGAGCTGCCGCTGCACAATTTCTGTTCTCATCCTGAAGCAAAGTTCTTAACCCCAAGTAACATTTCTGGGTTAGCGGAGTCTGTAACCTGATGCGTATGTAACCTGAAGTGTATGTAACCCGAGGTACCACTGTACAGCAATGTGGAGCTGCAACTGATGACAGTGTAAGTTTTAGCATTACATTTTGAAATGTCTCAAGACCTGCAGTTTGACCCTGGCTGCTTCCTGCAAAAGTATCAAGCCAAATAAAAAGGGTCTATCACATCAAATGTTTTTAAGCAGTTCAAAAGCTCAATTTGAAATCACCAAGAAATTGGATGAAATACCAAAATATCACCTTAAGAAGAAAAATCCATCAAAAGAATCCCTTTTACTAGTGATTACACTTTTACTAGTGATTACTCAACCTCTCCATAAGAAATCGAGACATCACAATTGAGAGGCATGTCTCTCCAAAAGAAAGAATGCTCAAGCATGCACTAGCCACTTCTCACAGTACATAGTACATTTGAGAAGGACTATCAATGGCTGGATAAAATTGCAGTTATGTTTTACTAAAATCTAAGTCCAATATAATTTCAGGACACAGATTCAGGACTATGTATGGCGAGAATGGAGACACAGGCTAATTTGTAACCTTGCAGTGGTCATGGATAGGACAACATAAAATAGGCAAAAATGACTCCATGGCTGGGGCTAGTGGACAGGATCTCTGCTCCTTGTCAGTTTTGGGTGGTGCCAGCTTCTTTTAAGCTACTCAACCTAAGGAAGGGGCACAAATTCAAGCTGTATGCCTTGATAGCAAAACAATGGGAAAGAATAGGAGGCAAGTAAATAGAGAAAACAATCTTTAACCGAAAAGACAAAATCTTACCTGCAATACCTATTAAAACGGTTAAACCAAAACAAATGAAGAAGACAACGAAGACCAAGACAAAGTGGCGTTTGGACAGTGTATATAATCGCATTGGGGCCAACCTGCAAACAAGGAGAGAAAGAACAAGTTAGCAAGTTTCCCACACCAAGTATCCAGTAAAAACACTCTACGTTTTGTTTGATAAAATGTGCCATCAGAAAGTGGAAGGCTTTTTCAAAGGCTGTAGCCCTATACACAATTACCTGGGAGCAAGTATCATTAAGCTGAATCAACAGGGACCAGGACCGGCTGTAAAGTGATGCTTAGATTGGCAGCATGTTATCATTCTGACCACATACCCCACACATTGGTGTGCCCCATAACAGAACCTTACATATAGCTAAGCAGGTGGTACAAGCAGCCACATTTGTATCTGTGGAATATTGGTTATATCTTCTCAAAGTTGTCAAAATTCTGAAATGTATGTGCAACCTTTTTTCTAACTTATTTGCTACAGATATGCAGTAGTTGTGATATCAGCTGCTTAATACAACTTGGTAACAAGAGGGATGAATCAACATTTTCCACATGCACAGTCATGAACTGACATTAAGATTGTGCTTGAATCAATAGGAAGGCAACGCCAAGATACATTATGGAGCAGACTTTCAAACTATAAACAGTTAGCCATCTATAAATTAACCCATCTATAACAGGGCGAAAAACAGGTTGGACACTTTTAGCATTCAGCCTATTGGGAACTCAAAACAGGACTAACATGTTATTTTGAAACACTTTCCTGAAGTTATGCTTTCCTTGTTGAATGAATGCTTCCACTTCTGCATTATAGGTATTCAAGGAAATCGAAAAGCATGTGAAAATACATAGATAAGAAATTAGGAGATTTTTTTTTGGTAATAAATAGCAATTCACAAAAAGAGGGGGGGGGGAACATCATCTAGGAAATTATCTTCAAACTCAGCAGCAGCAAATATGAGGCAAAGGAACCAAACTGCAAAGCATTTAATGAGTGTGTGACTGTCCCTCATAGCAGCTGTTTTCCTTTGGACACCCACCCAACTGTTTTTCTTCCAGTTGGGTTCTTAGAAATGGGGGGGGGGATGATTGGGGTGATCACAGAAAGAAACCAGCAAGTGAAGTATATACACACCCTTTCCCCTGCAAGTTATCCCCATACACCCTGCTTACGACGGATTACCTTTATTCCACCTCATAAGTAACGTAAACAAGATCCAGCTTGATTTTGCACTAGCCGTCCGTACCTTTTTTCACTTTAGGACAGCAGGACAAGAGCGAGGGAAGGGAACGCAAAGTGTGCACAAGTCTGCGGCTTGCCTCTTTTTCATACCTTGCAGGCACAAAATGGTTTATACCGACAAAGCCGGGGTTTAGAGAGCGCAAAATGCCCCTCAGTCCACAAGCGCTTCCTCCCATGCAATGCAGGCTGCAATGTACAAAAGCAGAGGAGCAGAGATACACTGCAAGAAGGGCTTACAGAACTGCTGCTCCAGATCAGCCATGCAGGCCAGCCAAGCTGAAGTGAAAGACAGAGGGGGAAACCAACACCCTCAAAAGGCCACAATCCAATCTGATCCAAAAGGGAAAAAAATCGTTCCTAAGGATGTTAAGACTGAACACAACATATCCACAGGTTTAACTGTCCTTGATTTACCTCTGATGCAACAGTCCTAAAGAGAGAGGCGTCTTAACCCCATCACTCAGCAGCATCAGAGAAGCAGGAGAGAGAGAAAACAGAAGATTTAAAGAAGGGAAAAGAACTATCTAGCATTCACTTGGAGCACATGTAACCAGGAGTCGCATAGTACGCCCATACCTCTCCCAGGATCAATTTAGTTTGGACAATAAAGCAGGAATATTTGTGACTTAAAACTGTAGCTGGAAGTTCTAAGACCGTGTCCTAGCCAGTTATGTGGGGCTGGGCGGGGGATTAATTTCAAATCAAGGTAATTTACATCAGAACACCTTTTGATGCCCTAGAGCAGTGATGGCCAAACTTGGCCCTCCAGCTGTTTTTGGACTACAACTCCCATCATCCTTAGCTAACAGTGGTCAGGGATGATGGGAATTGTAGTCCCAAAACAGCCAGAGGGCCGAGTTTGGCCATCACTGCCCTAGAGAGTAATCCAATTCAGAATGCTTATTTTACCTGTATTTAGCAAACAAAGCTAAACATTTGAAAACACCAAGGTTGCCTAATATTGCATTTGCAGTTGGCGTCTATTCATTGCTACTACTGAAATTATCAAATGGAACCTTTTTTCATAGAAAAACAAAGAACTGGAAAAATGTGTCCCTTAAAAAAAAAGTCCGCCCGACATCACTGGACCTAGCAGCCAGTTTCCCCACTGGCAAACAAGTATTCAGTTAGAGTCCACCCCCCTCATTTTGCCACACCTCCCATAATTAATTCTTAATTAAGTGCAATGAGGTTTTCTTCTGAGTCACATGCTTATGGTCAGGTTGTACGTTGCATGAAAAGTGTGCAGAATGACATCTTAATGTGACTCAAAGCAATTCACATTATTTGTTTTACTGTGTTTATTTCCTGCAGTACCACCAAGCTTTCTCCAAAAGTAAAACAAAGAAACACAGAGAGATTTTCCTGTTGGTCATGCTGATTATTGGATATCTGAATCTTCTTCCACATATTTGAAGATGTGCATAGGTGGAGATGTAACTAAAATGAGCATATCGCAAGTGAAGCAAATCAGCTGCATATATCCTGAAACGTAGTGACTAAGAGGTTGAGCTGTGTACCAGAAAGTGTGGATCTAATCCTACTGCTGGTTGCTACAAGAACTATTACTATTAATAGCAAAAATTAAAGAAATTTGCATAGTGCTTTCAAGTGTTCAAAGCACTTCACATGCTTTATCTAGTTAAAATCCTTACAACAACCCTGCAGGGTAATTCAGTATTATTTTCTCCCATATTGCAGGTAGCGGCCAGAGGCTAAGAGAGAGTGGCTTACGACCAAGGTGAGCTATGAACCTGGAATTTCCTGGTTTGTAGCTCAGGCTCTCTTACCCACTATGCAATATTTTTAATAAACTCTTTGAACACGTTAAAACACTATATAAATGCTAAAATATTACTCAATTCCTAAAGAACATGTCAGGTACCATGAGTTTTCAGTGCAGCATGTTGTCTAAAACTTATCTACTTTATTTACGGCACTGGTTTTCAAGCAGCCATTGTCAAAATCTGCTGGGGACAGAAGGTAATACCACCTCTTACAGCCATGGTCATTTTGAGACACTGGTTAACTTGCTTGCTATGGCAGAGATTCAGTATGCAACAGAGAAGCAACCCAACATTTAAGTTGACTTTTCTACAGAGGAATCAGCCTTCAGGTCCTCAGCAGAAAACACAAAAAAGAGAGTCAGTTTCCTTGAAAAGAGAGCAAGGAAATGATCTAGTGGCCTTGAATCATAGCTTGTGTGTGTTTGTTTTAAGAACTTTAGAGCCAAAACCAGTTTTGTGAACTTTTGTCCACACATTTTATAAAGTTGCTTCTGATAATTAGGCAGAGAAATCATTCCGTTCTCTCTAAAGGTCACAAGCAGAAAATAGGTATTATTTATTAAATTTATTAAACTTGTATGAAGTATGAGGAGAAACAAGAATCAGAAGCACCCTGAACTCGGCTTATTAAACAGATCTTTCCTAAGACATTTGCAAACATTGTAAATACCACAGCAATCCTACTAAGAGCTAGTTTCAAACTATCTCATAGACAGTTCATACATTTAAAGAAACAAGGAGTGCAAAAGAACAGCACTTCTCTTGAACATGTGTGAATTGGAGCTTGAGAGAAGCTTTCATCTACAGGAAGATCTAGAGGGTCTCAGCTACTTTTTAAACTCCTGGATCTCATCACTGATAAAAGTCCACTTTAAATGCAATAGCAGAAGTTATAGAATCATAGAAGTACAGAGTTGGAAGGGACTCGTAAGGGTCATCTAGTCCAACCTCCTGCAATGCAGGAATCTCAACTAGATTATACATGACAGATGGCCATCCAACCTCTCCTTAAAAATCTTCAATGAAGTAGAGTCCACCACCTCTTGTGGGAGTTTGTTCCAGAATACTGTTCTTCCCAGTGTTTAGACTGACTCTCCTTTCTTGTAACGTGAAGCCACTGGTTCAGGTACTGCCCTATGGAGCAGGAGAAAAGAAGCTTGCTCCATCCTCCATGTGACAGCCCTTTACATATTTGAAGATGTGCATCGTATCTCAGTCCCCTCTTTTCCAGGGTAAACAAACCCAATTCTATCAACTGTTCTTCATAAGGCTTGGTTTCCAGACCCTTTAGCATCTTGGTCACCCTCCTTTGCACATATTCCAGCTTGTCAATATTCTTCGTAAATTGTGGCACCCTGAGCTGAACACAGGACTCCATGTGTGGTACCTATGTTAAGATATGTGGTGCCTGAAAATGTCTTATCCTGCTTCACTGTAACATTTGAGCTAACTTTTGTGTATAACTCGAGCCAACAACTGCCCAGACTCCAGCCTTTACGTTGGCATGGCTTTGGGGACGATGTGAGGCAACTCTCTTCCACTGAGCATTTCTGTCAAAAATAAGTTAACACTACCCAGCTCACCAAATGCACAACAGGCCTTTATGAGTGGTACAAATATGACACACATGCTCAGACATCTCTCCCTGCCTCTCACAATCACTAAGCGATAAAGGAGCTAGAGGAAAGAAGGATCCATTCCTCAAATGATTTGTTTCTAAAATGAACGGCGCTGTGGCTCAAAGTCTGTGACATATTCAAATGACACCTGTCACCTGCTGACCCAAGGCTCTGACACTAATTATAAAGGCAAAGGGGGTGGCAGCAACTATTCCACAATAAGCAAGCAGTCTGTGTATGTTCAGGGGAACTGCTGCCTTCCCAGCTTGCTCCGATTTAGCTAAAATAGGGAGGTAGTGAGGGAGCTGTTCCCATTCTGCTCCGCTTGTGAGCTTCTGGGACACTGTTATCAGCAGGTCGCTGGGTTAGACAGAGTTTCTCGTATAGCCTAAGCCCCCCCAATTCTCGCCAGCCCCACAAGGCAGGGAAAGAGGAGCGTTTTCCTCCTCCAAATCTGTGCCCAAAGCACTACACGCTCCGGCTTATTACGCCGGGTGGGGCGGGGCAACACTCGCTCAGCAACCCGTGTGGTCCGGCCAGAAGAATAGGCTCAGGTCAGTCAGGGTTCCCTCCGCGGCCTGCGCAACTACCGCGCACCCCCCACCCCTCAGCGCAGGTCCCGCTACCCCAAAACTCACAGATCCATATCCATGCTGCGCATGCGCGCCACGCCGCCTCCACTCCGGCAGTGGGTCTCTCCCAAGCTAAGCGGCAGCCGCCCGCCCGCCAAGCTCCGTGGCAGCGCCAGCTGCGCACATCACTTCCGCGTGCGTCACCCAACGTGCCAGCTCCGCCTCTCGGGCGCTGTAGGGGGCGGGGCCGTGACCGGAGGGGCGGGGCCGCAACACCTCGGAAAACACCCTGTGAGCGCCTGTCAGTATAGTGTGCCCGTAGGCAGAGAGCGTGTGCGCCTGCGCGTTGCTCCTTCTGCGAACGGCTGTCAGTTTGAAAGCCGCCAGGGGCGAAACTACCTCAGAACAGTTAGTTCCATGGAAGTGCGCCTCGCAAGGAGACATGGGAATTGTAGTTTTCAAGTATCTCAATCACACATACGCACACAGAGCTATCTCCCATGGAAAGAGAGGCATATATTTAGCTCTCAGCAACGCCACTCAAATCTTACCTTCTATTTTCCCACACATATACACACTTAAAATAAAATAAAATCGTTTTAATAATCAACCCTCCAATAGCCTTTATCTGTCCTGACGGTACAAAAGGCAAAATGTGACGAGCCACAGTGATTCAGATAGAAGCAGGCATTTCCTGGCTTATAAGATTGGACCTGGTTATTACTTAATTTCTAATTTTATAATATTTCTTAAGGCTTGCACCTCCGTTTTTATTATACAGCAGACCCGTAATTTACAATACAATCCCTATTAAGCACAGTGAAACTTAACTTCTGAGTAAATATGCACAGAGCTGTGCCTTTCATCAAGGGATATGAGCTAAGACTTTAGACTGTAGGTAAAGGATGCAATTCTCATTTTGTTGATGTCAACAGCAAACCTCTCACTGGATTTAGTGGAGCTGGATTTCATCCAGTATTACAAGGAGGGCTGTTGTTTTTAACTGTATTTCTTTATGGTTAGAGTTGCTGGAACCTGAACCACATGAATAAATAAAATTCCACAAAGACTTTAGTTAGTAATGCATGTAGTATGCATAAAGGTAAAGGTAAAGGGACCCCTGACCATTAGGTTCAGTCATGGCCGACTCTGGGGTTGCGGCGCTCATCTCTTTATTAGCCGAGGGAGCCAGCGTACAGCTTCCGGGTCATGTGGCCAGCAAGACTAAGCCGCTTCTGGCGAACCAGAGCAGCGCACGGAGACGCTGTTTACCTTCCCGCCAGAGCGGTACCTATTTATCTACTTGCACTTTGACGTGCTTTCGAACTGCTAGGTTGGCAGGAGCAGGGACCGAGCAACGGGAGCTCACCCCGTCGCAGGGATTCGAACCGCCGACCTTCTGATTGGCAAGACCTAGGCTCTGTGGTTTAACCCACAGCGCCATCCGCGTCCCTGTAGTATGTATAAAGGTAAAGGTACCCCTGCCTGTACGGGCCAGTCTTGACAGACTCTAGGGTTGTGCGCCCATCTCACTTAAGAGGCTGGGGGCCAGCGCTGTCTGGAGACACTTCCGGGTCACGTGGCCAGCGTGACAAAGCCGCATCTGGCGAGCCAGCACCGCACACGGAAACACCGTTTACCTTCCCACCAGTAAGCGGTCCCTATTTATCTACTTGCACTTTGACATGCTTTTGAACTGCTAGGTTGGCAGGCGCTGGGACCGAGCAACGGGAGCGCACCCCGCCGCGGGGATTCGAACCGCCGACCTTTCGATCGGCAAGCCCTAGGTGCTGAGGCTTTTACCCACAGCACCTCCCACGTCCGCGTATAGTATGTATAGGAACCATCTATTTCATGGAATTCCACACAGAGGATATTCCCCAGCTTGTGACTCAGGGGGACACCTTGCTCCTGTGATTTTGTCAAACTCTGAAAATTTCAGAAAGGTAGATTTCTTCTTCATATGAAAGGGAAATCAGCTATTAGGTGGGGGGAAACCTGAATATGGACAGGAGAAGGTTTAGGAAAGAATGAGCAAAGGACCCACAGCTCTTAGATCCTGAGGACTCATGGGAGAGAAGGTGGAGCCCTGATTATTTACATTACAACCCCATGTAACTACAAGAGGATCATGGGCTCTTTCGGCGGTGATGGGGTGGGGGAAATCCCTCTCAACTTTTCCAGGCAGGGGGTGGGGGGTGGAATATGATCAGAGTCGAGAAGAATCCCAGACCCAGATTCCACATTTAGAAAATGCCATCGGGAATCTTACTCAAGCAACTCTTTCCCTTTCCCACTTTTCCTTATACAAGCAACTCGTTCCCTTTCAGGGACTCTTTGAAGTGACTCATCAAAACCTAATCGCAAAAGAACCAAAAAGTGTAGCTCCGCTGGAAGAAGGTAACTCTCCTTTTCCCAGCAGCCATATTGAAACGCTGGACCATCTCCATCCTTGGTACTGAGAAAGCGGCGGCGCGGGAGGGAAAAGACTGTCGCAGCCGGCGAGAAGGAGGAGGAGGAGGAGGGGTGGGTGGGAAGGCTTCACTCTGCAAATCACGTCCCCCAAAGTGCGTGCAAATAAGGATTCCCCATGGGATTGCTCATAAATGAATAGCTGCTTCTGAATCCTACGTGCTGTATTTAAAGAAGCATTTTTAGCAGGGGTTGGCCAGACCGCTGATGCAAACAGCTATTTCCCTAGAAAATAAAGAGGCCTCTCTTTCCCTCTCCATCCCTCCGCGCGCTGCTCCCTTCGCCCCACCCCTGCTCTTACCTGTAGTAGCGATCATCTTTGTAAGGGGTCAGGTCCTCTTTGATCTCCTTGTAGGTCTCTCTGATCCTTTTGCAAATGTGCTTGAGCTCGCCGCAGAGCGGGTTCTCAAAGGCGGGGTAATCCGCCTCCATCCCGCACCCGGACATCGCGCCAGCCCCTCCTCACCCAGCCAGCGGCCGCGGAGACAGCAGCAACCCCCGGGGGCCCCGCTCTAAGCCCGCCGCCGCCTCCCGCGCTCGGCCATGGAGACCCCGGTGGCGCCTGGGCCTCGGTCTGGAGCTCCTCGGCGCTGAGCCGGGCTGCCGAGGGGGAGAGAGCTGCAATGGCCGAGAGGCCGCCGCTTGAAGCGACCCTCCGCTTTCCTCTCTTCCTTTCTCGGCAGAGCGCCGCCACTGGGCGCCGAAGGGAGTTTTGTGGGCGGCGGCGGCTCCAGCTCTGCTTTGGCTGCTGAAGCCCCATACATTTTCTAAGGGGACGCGGAGGGCTTTTGTTATTCAATGCGCGCAAAGAGCAGGCAAGGCGAGGCTGGCAGATAATGTACGGTGGTGGTGGTTGTTTTTAACGAGATAAAATCCCCATGGTCCACGGACCAGGTGGAGCTGGAAAAGAATCAGCACCGTGGACAGCGCCACTGGGGACTGGTGGCAAAATGGCCCCTGGGAAACTGGTCCCGTGATGTTTTTCAGGCACGTTTACACATGGCATGGTTTGAGGTGGGGCAGAGGCCCTCATTTGGCAACTCAGTATTCCTCGCAAGCAGAGCGGCTTCTCCATCAGCTGGTATTTTGCCCGATATATGTGTTTGGTTCCTGCCGAAGGAAGCACCCTGCTACTGGAATATCAGTTCAGAACATGAGGCTTGGCTCTGCTTTGAGGAACACATTAGCTGCCTGTCAATTTTAAAGCATCAGTTTCCAAGAAATGGGCAGTTCTTGAAAGGGGGGGGGAGACATAAGAGACGCACTGAATCAGACCAAAGGCCCACCTAGTATTTCTGTTTTCAAAATGGTCAACCAGATGTCCACAGGAAGCCCAAAAGCAGGGACCGAGTGGGTCCCAGCTACTGGTACAGAGGCATATTTCTGGCTCCGCCTACATTTCAAGTCTGACCCAAGTGGCAGAATCCTACCACTCCAAATAGTTGGCTTGCATTGAGAGCAAAATCAGAACCTGTGGCCTATCACTCAAGTTGCTGCTTATATGCCCACAATTGAAAGCATAGAATTCTATAAATTGAATTCCAAACCCTTAGCAGCGCAGCCAATAAAACCTGTTCCCCATTGGGGTTGGGAATTCCACCCTCGTTTGAAGCCCTGCAGTACCAAGTGCTGTGTCAGTCTTGCTGTTTGACAGAGTCTGGAGAACTGAGACCTTGCTGTTGCTGGCACCTCGATCCAATCTTCTGGGATTTTTATAAACTCTAAGGCATCAGCCTTACATAGTCATGTTTCTGGAGTGTGTGTGTGTGTGTGTCTCAGAGTTTTAAAAGGGCTCCTTTCCAATGGCATCCAAAGTAAGGCTTCACTACGGTGATTCAGAGGCAAGAGCATATGGACTGTACCTGGTTCCACTTGAGAAATATGTGTTGCATCTGCATCCAGAAAGGTTGCCCACTAAAAGAGGGTAACAATCTTGCACCCCAGTACTTTATTTATTTACAGAAAAGAAAAATATGAAGGCTTTCTTTGAGGGAACACTGCTGTTCCTTGCTTATCTACTTTTTAGTATGAAAAGAAACACAAATCCCATTGGGATATCTTCATCAACTATCCAGAGGAAACTGGCTGTTATCCAAAATTTGGTTATAGCAGAACATTATTACAAGGTTTCTGGTCCAGCATCATGCTGTAGGAATGACAGCAAGTGTGCATCAGAAACAACAAGAGGCATCCAGATATGCAAATAATAATAAAACAATCTGTTAAGAATATTGAGGTTATACATTGCATACTAAAACACACAAACATTCAAGATTCTCAGTGCGAGACAAAACACCAAAATCAACTCACAGTTTCTCTAGTTTGCCAAAACTTTAATAAGCAACACCTGGACAACTCTTACAATTCCAAACCATCAAGGAAAATAGGGCAACTGACCCCATCTCAATCATGTAGACAGTCAAAATTTTGGACAAACCACATTTTTGAAAGGAAACCATTTAATGCTTTCTAGGTACCTTCTTCACAATCTATTACACAGGGCACATAACAGGAGAGGCAGGTCAGGGCAAGGTTCAGAATTACAATGGAAACCCAGGTCTGAATGGCATATTTAGAAAAGAAAAACAAAACAAAGGCCATTAAAAATACTGCAGGTGGTCAGATAAGTGTACCATTTTCTCTGCAGAATTGAGATCATCATGCAGGCTTTGCATGGTTAGGAAATCCATGCACCTGACTATATATTTTTATTAAAACTTGGAAGAAAATAAAAATAAAACAAAAGCAATCCTCAAATAACATTTTTAAAGGCAAGTAATAAATTCAGAAACAATTACCAAAGTTACAGTACCCAAATAATGCATTTATAAACAAATGCAAAATTAAAAAATATCACCCTTTTCCAGTAAAGATTACAGTGCCTTTTCAACCCTATGTATCCCCATGCAATTCCACAATAATACAAAAAATTGTATCTACAACAAATAGCAAGAGCTTAAAACCCTCCCCTGCTAAATAACAGGAGAGGATAAAAACACAGACTGAGAGGGCGTAGGGAAAATTAGAACAGAAGACCAAATGGAGACAAAAGAAAAGAGAAACGGACCTGAAATGACAAGAACAATGGTTATGACATGAGCTCATTGAGCACTATTTTAACAAAACACTGGAAATACAAGCATCTTCTAATATTTTTATCCATTTCATCTTAACACACTATTTCAATGCCTCTTTCAGTTAGTCATTTATAAAGACAGAGTAAACATTCAACAAGTGAAGACCTTCCTAACTCTCCAGAACACCTCGATCAGATTACAATCTTTTGGGTTGTATGCATTGGTTTAAACAGAAATCAAATTTATTAAAATGTTTGCATCAGATTTCTCTCTCTCCATTCCCAATAATTTTGGTGTGAAACAACAATTGCTGCATAACATGGAATGCAATCTTAAAACGTATCCATTTTAGCCAATTCTTCCAATAATATTCTGAAAAGTGTTACTTTTTAAAAGTTCCTCGTAAACTATTAACATTCCAAATGACATATTTAGCATGTCCCATCACTCTTGTAGAGAGGAAGGGACAATGGACAAGAGGATTTGACCAGTTCCTGACTGCTATGGCTGTCTTGCCCTGATAGAAGTTACATGACAAGGCAGGGAAGAAGATTCCAGTTGTACCCAAAAGTGCTGGAAGGACTGGAAAAAGATATATTCCAGCACACTCAACTCTATAAGCCACTGTCACGTGATCAGTCTGTTCAATATAAGGACCAGCTCTAACATAACTTTCTCCTACTCTTATCTTTTCAGTTGCTTGTGAGAGCCACTTCACACATTTCATTTAGGTGCACATCCAAAAATGTAACCTGCAAATGAAAAACACAGGTATTATACAGGTGCACTTGACAGGGAGTTATGACTCCCTGCCAAGTATACCTTTGTCGGGCAAACTTAGGTTTCATACAGTGTATGAAATGCCCTTGAGAAAGCAGGGGAGGAAATGGCCAAAGATGCAAAATGTTGCAATGTCAGATGCAAAGCTCCTCAAAGCTGGTACATGAACTCTATGTCAGATTATATTGCCATCACAAAGACTCCATCTGGTCTTCAGGCAAACACACACACACACCACTTCTATACAAAGCTCTTAAAAGATACTAGAAGGGGAAAGTATGAGGGACATGGGCCTTAAAAATATTTTCCCTGCACAAGATGCTATACTGTTCGCTGCAGGAAACCAGGATTTATATATTTAATTTATATCCCACTCTTTACACTCCACCTTTCTTCCATGTACATTCAAGACAGTATATATAGGGTTGCCCATCCAAGCACTGATCAAACCCAGATCCGCTTAGCTTCAACCAAGTTGCTGCATCATGTGACTTTAAGAGTACACCTTGAGTCTCAAGAGCCAGTTCTACTATTTAATCAGCTCAGATTCTGCTGCAGCACCAGCATGGCCTAATAATGTATGGACTGCAGTCTCCAAAAGGCACTGGGTTCTGTTTTGGTAGACCACTGGAGCCAATTCAATTTTGCAGAGATGTAAGGGAACCAACCTTGCTCACATGAGCTGGAGCCTAAGGCTGCAGAGTTTAACACAAAAAGCAAATATGGCGCTTTTTATTCCATCATTTTGTCTTCTTACTAGGTTAGTTGGTCTTGCCTTTCATTTCACAAACACAACAAAAACAAGCCACAGCACCAATATTTTAATTTTTCTATACATCTTCCAAGACTTCCCTTCAAATGAAATGTTAGTTAGGCCTGGGTTCTGTATTCCCAAGGTTTCCTTGTAAATAATATAATTCAAGTTTATGAAGACCAAAAAAATGTAAAAGATAATGTCTTTTAAGACAATATATTGGGGGAATTCTCAGACATGTATTATAAGAGTCAATTACAGCCGGGAGAGGATCACAGAGCTTGTTTCATTCCAGTAACAGTCTGGAGACATTTCACCACACAGTGACCTGTGTAAACCTTCCTACTGATTCAAATTGATCTTACACAGCTGGGATCTAATCTTAATTATCTTTGTTTGTACTCCACTTTGCAAGGATACTTTTGTTAAAAAACAATCAACCCTAAGGCTTTAATGCTTCTATATTTGCTTCTCTTTATATTTGCTTTACTTTCTCTATAGGGTTCCAGATACTACATTGACACATGATTAACATGTTCAGGGCCAACTCCAAATTTGAAAAGGCACTGGGCAGTGTCCTCTAGTGGCACCAGTCTGCTATCAGTAGGTCCTAGTGGACTTGCCTGACAGAGGTAGCAGTGCTCTGGTCACTTAGATCTAGCTACCTTTTAATTTCCCACAATGCTCAAGAACAATTAGGTTGGGGGGCATTGTGGGAAATGAGAAGGGTGGGCTAAATCCAGGTGCCTGGCAGTGCTCAGAGAATCAGACCAGAATTTCTTTTAAACAAAAGCCCAGAGCAAACATCATCAGTGTGCCATGTCAGCACATAGGTGCCATGGCAGCTGCGTAAGGATGTCAGATGCTGATGCCAGTGCGAACATGTTGATTTTTCTCCCTGGGTTTTATTTTGAAATGTTTTAGATGAAATGTTCTAAGTGTGTTTCTAGGATATGTAGCGCTGCTAAATGCCGTTCTCCTAAATGCCATATAACGTTTTATATAGACCTGAACATAAAAGCTCCATTTCACATTCTGAATCAAGAGACATGTCTCCCACTTATGGAATCCTGACCAGAATTCTCTGAAGAGTTCCGTATTCCTAATTAGCCCTCTGAACACTGGCATCACTGCAACTTACCTGGATGTGACTGGAGGCAGCCAGCAGTGAGGTTAGGGCTTTGTAGACAAACCTGTAGAGCCAAATGGCCATTCTCACAGGTACATCCACACAGCCCTTACCCCACAGTCCAGGTAAGCTGCAGCAATGTCAGCAACAGGAGGGCAGCTCCACAGCTCTGTCCCACCCCAACAGCCGCTACTGGACGGCAAGTGTAGCCCAAGAAAATGTCAAAGAAAATGTCAACGTTCTGGGAAGACTGCATTAAGGGTTAACCTACTGCATGCTATTGATTAGGAAGCAATGGAGGGGACACTTGGCCATTCATTTGTCTACAGGCTCTGTGCCAGAAGGGGTTGCCGATTCCATCCAAGTGTTTTATTACCTCTTATGTTATCCCGTGCTAGTGAAATGAGAGAATGCACTCCACCGATCATGTGTGTATGCACATTTTCCTCTCAGTTTTTTCTTGATTGCAGCCTGTTTCATATAGAAGAATCAATGGAATCAATCGAGCAAATGCACACAAAAGATCTTGGTGGCCACCTTTGAGAAACCATGCTCTGTATCATTATGTGTGTGGAGAATTAAAGTCAAATAAGCCTGTGAGCAAAGGAAGGGTGGATATTTTTCTAAGGTTGCAATCAAAAATTCCAACGCTGAATGACTTAGGCTGCTAGTTTCCATGGGGAAGGTGTCATGGTTAAGAAGTGCAGCAAAAAAAGATTAAAGGTGCCAAGATAGATGAGGAAACTGACATAAACATGTCACTTGCCCAATGCATTTATGTAGAAAGCTACGTCTGGGATGCAGAGTCCCTGACACAGAATCTAAAATTATCCAGCAGGGAAACACGTCTTCCTGCTAGGTTATTCCAACAAAAGAATATTCGTGTGACCCCAAGGAACATTTATACTGAAATGCATCAGACAACTGACACTTGTATTAAAGATTCCTCAAATATTCTGGGACCGTATTGGGGTTTGTCACTTTTTCATCTTCCTTCCTTCCTCTTTCTTTCGTTCTGTGTGAACCCAGGGGATTTGTCATAATGTTTCCCACTTCAGGCCTTGCTGAGTGATAGCATTGGTATCAATCCAAACTAATGATTTACCAAGAAAAAAACCTTGCTTACAGCTCATGGCTTGTTTGGAGTTAGGACAAACCATGAGCCCAGGTTCACATGCAAACCATGGCTTTGCTCTGGGTATCACAGGAGCAACAGGAGCAGGGGAGGAGTGAAGTGGCCACAACTTTTGCTCTCTGTAGCTGCACACTTGCTTATCCAAGCTATGTCATCATCTGTCTTAGCATTATGTGCTGATCAGGCCATCTTTTGCAAGCGACCCAACAGGTAACAGCTCTGTTTTTCTTTCAAATAACATTTTGGAAACTAGGTAAGGTTTCTGAAAAACCTCCTTGGTGCCTACAGTGCTCAGTTATCAGAGAAGAAACATGTGTCTTCAAGTATATTGTAGCATTTTTGTTGTTCTTTTTTTTTCTTTTTTTGCTGTAACTATTGATGAAAATAGTACAAAGTGGTCCAGGGGGAAAGAAAGTTGCATTCCCTGCTTTAAAAAGAACAGCATGGTATAAGGCAGTCTATAAAAGAATGAAAAAAAACGAAGGGCAGTCTTTTAAAATCCTTCTATCAGCTTACATCAGCTATTTTTTTTTTTGCAGCAAACACAGAAGAACCGCCACAACAAGCCAAAAGCCACATTTCCCAACATAACACTGAATAGCTCTCCTCCTTGGCTTGCCCTGAAGAAACCAGCACATATGTTGATTCAAATAAAATAAATCCCAAACCACAGAGTCCCCACCCCATCCCCGATAATGTTTAAAGTTGATGCCCTCCTTTGGGCACTCAGAGGCTCTTTTCTTCCAGTTGCACTTTCTTCTTTACTTGCAGAATCCTTTGCGCGTCTCTGCCAGGCCTCCGTGGGTTGGCCCTTATGAGAAAGATTTATCAGGGTTTCTCTCCCTCCCCCTCTCTGGTCTTTTTCTCTTTTTCATTTGAGGCGCTGAGTCACATTAGCCAGAGCCACTGCAAAGGCCTGCACCGCTGAAAATGGATATTGAAAGTCCAAAATGTAAGCATTGCCATCAATCCTCCCAAACTGCATGACCTGGAGGAGAAAGTGGTGGGGAAAGAAATAAAGAGGAGGAAAAGTTGGTAAAGATAAACAAGAAATCGAGCCGCAGTTAAATATGAAAAATTGGCCCATTAAAGCAAGGAGGGGGTGATTTCACAACTTCTTGCTTCATATGAGAGCTGCATTTCAACTGGCAAGTGGCTCTGCCCAGAGGAACTCAGTTCTGGCACCTCTCAGGTGGGCGCCATTGCCATTCTAAGAGAATGAGGGAGCTGTTCATGGTGAGTTCTGGCGCCTCTTTTTCTAGATATATAGCACTGGCTTCGCCTGTTTTCACAGGGGAAGTTCAAAGCCCACAATGATTAATGAGGTTGAATATTCTGAGGAGATCATATCAGCACAAGAGGAATTTTCCATGATTTTCAGCAGACTGAAGCCATTATGTTCTGGTGGATCTTGCTTGTTCTTGGACAATGTCGATGCAACACGACTGCAATCCCAAAATAACCTATAGATATCACAATCGGATCTACAGTGACTTGTTTGCTCAGCCTCCTGGTAGATCAGGGAGACTGCAAAAGAACACAATGAAGCAGAGCTAGCTAAAGTGGCATTCCAATCCTGGATCCCAGAAAATAAAAGGTGCCTAAGGTTTGTACAATGTTTTGCACCTCCTTTCATACATCTTTGCTATAGAATGCACCAGTTTTTCTACACTGCAGCAGCAGGGCGGGGGAACTGATGATTCTTGAATGTTCTTGGACTCCAACTCCCATGAGCCCCAGTCAGCATTGTGAATGGTCAGGGACAATGGGAGTAGTAGTCCAACAACATTTGGAAGGCCACAAATTCACTATACCTGCTCTAAGAGACTGAAAATAATGGCCAGGGTTTAAAGTTCATATATTCCCCCATCACTTTCACCTTACACATACATTACTGTTGCCTGTTTTTCAGACTCTCATGACCTTGACACTGGGTTGGTTGGTTGGTTGGTTGGTGTATTAGTTTTGTGATCATGATAGAGTGCAATCTCAGGACCAAAAGGCTGTTCTCACATTGTATTATTTTCATGTGAAATGTGCACCTGTGGTATGACATCAGCTGAAGATGACATCATATTTCTATGTTCCTTGTAGTTACACGGGTTCATATGTTTCTATTCACTGTGACATTTAAAATATCCCATAATCTGTTATAGCTGCTCTGAGGCACAGAAGCCACAATTATAGGCAGCTGCCATCAAATTTCTTCTTGGTGGAATAGAATAGCTTTGGGTTTATACAGTCAAGATTTTTATGCTGCAGAGAAGTTGCCTGTACCTCAAAGGCAACCTCTGTATGGACTGTATTCAATATTTGTGAAATTGTGACAGAGACAAATGCTCTACAGATGTTACACAAATGTATGTCCAATGCCTTGGGCAGATATTGGCCACCCAAGGGATAAGGCATCAGGATCCTGTTTGCACCAGGCCTTTCACATGCCACTATTTCCTGCAAATTAATCTGCAAGAAGGTGTGTCTATTTGAAAGAAGTCACATCATACTGCATTTGCAGGGCCAGCATTCCTGTAGAAAGCAAACTGAGGCAACTGTTTCTGGTGGTGGCAGTAGGAGGTGGCAGATTACTGACCCCAAGTCCTCACTCGCTTGTTTCACCAGTCCATCCACCCAGCTGTCACCACTACGCAGCCACCCAGTTGCTTTGAGCTTTCCAGAGCACTTGCCTCATCCTCATGCCTTACACTGAAGGGGGCCCTTCCTTAGAGCAAAGTATTCTGAGTGAGGTGAACTGGAAGAGTGCCTAAAGTCCAACAGTTGGACTTTAAAAAATAGTTAGAAGTTACTAGTGATTTGAAACCTTTAACTAGCCACCGAGACAAAGTGGTAGTGGTGCAGGCACTTTCCAAGGCCACCTTGCCCAGAATGCCTAACTCTAAGGAAGGACCCCTTTCCCCAGAGCAAGGCAGAAGATAGGGGTGGGAGGAGATGGCGAGTTCTGCCACCATGTTAGCAGCAGCAAAACTTACAAAGCTGGAGGGGGAGGGGGAGGAGGAGTTGGCAGTGGCAGCACTCGCATCAGAGGCACAAGTCCTGGGTCAGCCTTGTTCCTCTGGCGCACATGTCAAGGCCTAACACAAGAAACAGCCTGGAATTTCCGACTCGTTATCTTACCTGTCTCCCTTCCAGTTCAATCTGGAAGTTTTTTGCAGATTCTTGGGTCACTCTCCCTCCAAAGTCCAGCTGATAGACTTGTGTTGCCTCATTCCACAAGGGCTGCTTGTTAGCCATCACGTACACAAAGCCCTGGCTTCCCAGCCGCCCATCCTCCTTTTCGTTGGCTTTCCGGCACTTAAACTCATCCAGTTCACTGGCTGTTCTCAAGTTCCTTTTTGTTTTCCATCCCTTTTTACTGCCCTGGCTCTGGTTCATTAGCTCATCCCCGCTAATAAACAGTTCAGGCTCACTTTCTGAGCTGTCCTGAAATTCGTTCATCTTGTTCAGTTTTTTGGACTTCAACTGGTCTTTTTGACTTTTGACCTTCTTCTTCTCCCTGCCCAGCCTAGGGCTGGATATCAGCGAGTTGAAGTCGGTCAGAGTTGTCCTTGCCTCCTTCTTGACCTTTCCCTCTGTAATAGCCTGCATATTCCCTTCATCCGCTCGGCTATCCAGGCGCTTCCGATTCTTCTTCCCAAACTTGTCTGTCCGCTGAGGCACGGGGCTCTCGGTCAAGGACAGGACCTCTTGGAAGTTGTCTGCTGTCTCCGCCATCGCATCTGTGCCCGTGTGGCCTTGAGGCTCCACTGGTGGTGGTGGTGGTGGAGGAGGAGACATGACAGGCTTCTCCACCACCAGCAGCGCCTTGGGGGGCAGAGTGCCTTGGGTGCTCTGCGCAGCAGGTGGGCATGTGCTGTAGGAATTCCACGGGTGCAAGGCCATTGGTGGCAGCTGTAAACTCGAGCAAGTGCTATTTCCAGGGTACAGGGGGGGCAAAGGGCAGTAAGCAAGGTTGGAGGGGTAACCTGGCTGAAGCACAACTGTTGGCTCCTGTTGTGCAATCTGGGGTGGGGCCAAAGCTTCTTTGGGAGAACAGGGGACCTGCATTCCCTGAAGAAGAGGAGGGGGAGGAGGGGGAGGAACACCGTAGTTCCCCAAGTATGGGGCTCCAACCCCGTAGCTCATCTGGAAAGTGGCAGTGGGACTGGTTGGAGATTTGGGGGAAACAAACGGTGCTCGGGATATATCCAGGTGCTGAGTTTGGCCAATGACTAGGGGGGCAGGTTTGGCAGGGTGAGGCAAAGTACTCGGAGCTGTCCTTTCTTGAGGGACCCATATCTCCTCACCCACCATTGGTTCCCACTGATAGGGGGGTGGTCTTTTGACACCAATGCCTGGCTCGGCCATGGCCACAGGCATGTGGCGCACCGGTTTCTCCACGGGGCAGTGCTGAGAAAGAGCTTCATCCTCCATGAAGGCAGAGTTCACATAATCTGTCCGTTCACGAGAGCTGTCCAGTGGGCTAAGCAAATTGTAAGAGGACTGGGAGGCCAGGGGCGAAGTACTGATGGAGTGTGCGATGACCGAGCTGTGCTGAGAGCTGCTCCCGGTGATCATGTCCGGTCTCATGCTGTTCATGCCGGACGTGCTGCTGTTACCACTGATGCCACTCATATTCCCACTTCCGCTATTAGGGTTGCCGCCGCCGCCGCCACCACCACCACCACCGTTGTTGCCACTGCCGCTGCTGCACTGGCTGCAGGTGTAGAGTGCCGTCGGCACCCTCTGCTGGTACTGGGCTGCCACAATGTTGCTCTTCAGTTTCGGGGGCAGCTGCAGAGTGGCTCTCTGGCTGTCGACCAGCTGGGCCATTTTCAGCGCTGCCTCTCTGCTGTTCCGCCGCAGAGTGGCGTGGATTATGCTGTTGTCCAATCTCTGGGCCATGCCGCGACCTTGAGACAGCTGGGCTGCGATCTCCGGGTAAGGTGGCGGATCCCCGGTTGGAATGGAGTAACGCGGCACTGTGAGCCTGTTTAGGGTGGCGCTGGTACAAGGCTGCTGAATCTTCTTCTCTGAGGAAGTGATCCTTAAAGTGGCGGAGCTACCAGGCCCTGGCAGAGTGTAAGTGTTCTGGGCGCACAGCATCCGCGTTCGAGGCCGGCAAACTTCCTCCACATTCCCGCTGCTGTCGAAGGTAGTGATTCTTTCATAGCCGAGAGGGGTTTGATAATGCCCTGTGGAATAAAGGGGGAAATCTCCCTTTTTCAAGCAGAGATCTATGGGAGGTTGGGGAGGTACCGGAGGAGGAGGAGGAGCTGTGGTGGGAGCTGCTGGTATGGTTCCAGGGTACGGAGGGGGAGGATTCATTTTGTTCATCTGAATTTCCTGGGCAGTCGTGAAGACGGATGCTTCTCCTTCAGCTGCCTGTGGCACTGGACGCAACGTCTTGGCCTTCTGGAGGTGTTCGTGGTCTCTGTCCCCATCTCTGTGGTCCACAATTGCCATCTGGATTGCACCCTGGGGCGGCAGAGGGAGCTGAGGGGGTGCCTGGATGATGCGCCCCATTTCAACTCCTCCAAAGATCACTTGGCCTGGGTTGGAATACCTGCTTGGGATTGGGTAGTGGACTGTGTTGTCAGTCACGTGGTCCGCCGCTGCCACAGCTGTCGTCTGATTGGCGAGGACGTCCAGCTGCACATTCTGATTGGCCAGCAAAGACTGAACCAGCCCTATGCTCTGTGTTGGTGACATTGCTTGTGCTGAGCTGTGAATAGGAGCAATCGGGATGTTTACGGTGCAAGGTGGGTTGTTCTCGGGAACTCCAGATGTTCCAGTCACTGGGACAAAAAGATATGAGTATTAGATTACAGCATCACAGCCTTCATCCAAAAAGAGATATAACGGTACCTCAGGTTAAGAACTTAATTCATTCTGGAGGTCTGTTCTTAACCTGAAACTGTTCTTAACCTGAGGTACCACTTTAGCTAATGGGGCCTCCCGCTGCCACCGCACCACGATTTCTGTTCTCATTCTGAAGCGAAGTTCTTAACCCGAGGTACTATTTCTGGGTTAGCAGAGTCTGTAACCTGAAGCGTCTGTAACCTGAAGCGTTTGTAACCCGAGGTACCACTGTATACTAAATTAATTCTGCCATCTAGAGCATTAATTTCCATTTTAAAGGTATTGGAATCATTTGTTAGATACTGATTATTTAACTTTTGTACTTGTGCTGTCACATTAGGTCAGTAATATTATCTCCCACCTCACTACAGTAAGGGTATTAAGAGCCAGATCTGAGAACATGCAGTCCCTCCACAAAGCCCCTCACCTCCTTGGGGTAAGTCTCTCTTTCTCCATGGTCCTCAGTTCAAGAACCTGGTTTAAGGGAAATCCTGGCTAGACTTAATAGTGGTAAGCGTTGGAGCCAACAAACTGCTTCATCATAGCAAAGGAGAGGGAATTTGCCCCAGAAAGAGTTTGGCTTCCAATTTGTTGACCACAGTTAGCAGGAAGCCAGCACTGTATCTGCATCAGACCTTTATCTCAGAAGGAACAGGAACAATCTAGTGTTCTGCCACTCTGTTAAACCAGACTCTGATGCAAGTGGGTGGAATGTATAAGCTATAGTCCATGTCATGAAAAGCAAGCAGTTATGAAGGCATGAATGACAGTAACCCAATGTGAATCCGAGGAGAGAATACAACCTGTTCACCTGTTGACATTTGTGAATGCTTCTGGCTACCACTGCAGCCTCAATTCCCAGGCACCATGATGGATTCCTGCCACTCTAAGGTTGTGCAGTTAAGTCACCATTGGAAATTGAACCTTTTCAATTATGAGTGCCTCTATATCACTCCAGGTCTTTTGATTGTTTGCTTGTGTCAATCCCCTTGCAGATTTCTAAAATGCGGTTAATACTGAAGCCTCATAATTTAATTCCCAGTTTAACAGATGCTTCTTCTCAGGGGATTAATGGACTCTCCCTGGATCAAATTCATAACTGACCCATTTAAAATGGATTAATTAAAAGGACATCCACCGGACATCTAAACTAATGGTGGTGGTTGCTGCTGCTGTGGTGGTTTACAGATTAATTATGAATTGTCAATAGGCCCTTTTGAGCTCTCAGCTATGTCATCAGAAACTTGTCGGAGCCAAGAAACACCCCTCCACCCCAGCAGCCTGCACTGTTCCTGGTCTTGTCTCATCACCCTTTTCAACTTCACATTCCTTTCAGGAGTCAGAGAAGAAGGTTCCATTAAGGCTTTAAATGCACCATGTATGTACACCTATGTCTGAGGCCTTCCAGCTCCCCTGATCTTGAATGCACTGTTCACAACACAGGGCAGGGGCAGGATGGTAGGGAATGCCCACACAGGCTGTGAAGGGCACAGGGAGCCCTCTAGGCTCTACCAGGCTCCCAATGACAACTCCGGAAGTACAGAGGTCTTTCAAGCCCTATTTTGGAGTTCCCAGCCTCACCACAGACTCCAAAATGGAAGTCAAAAGAGCAAGCTCCAATTTAGCCTCTCCACCACAACACGCATATCTTGCAAAACATGGAATGGACTCATGTGCCTTGGGCTTTTAATTACAAGGAGAGTCAATCTTCTTACAGAGTTTCATAAAATTTTAGACAATCGGTTCAATCTCACCTGGCAAATCATCTTCATCTTCACTAAAAACATTGGGGTTGAAGACAGGCAGGTTTATATAGTCCATGGAAATCTTCCGCACTTCTGGAAGGTATATTGTCATTTGCCTAGGCTGGAGATGTAGCAAGCTGGTTTTATAGATAACTACAAAAAGGATGCAAGGAAAGGGAAGAAAGAAAAGATTTGTGATGCAGGAAATACAAAGGGAGGGTCCAGCATTACTAAAGGAATCAGCCAATTAGAGGGACTTCAACCATGATAAAACTCCTACATGGAAAGCATGTCTATTTAAGAAAGAGGATGCAATATTTGGATGACTGCATGCGACAAGCACACACAACTACATTTTGTTGTATGTACATGCACCGGGAAGATACAGGCAAACAAGGCTTCCCAGTGATGACACAGAAAGACAAAAATATACACGTATCCGGAATTACTTTCTATTTATGTACAGTGGTGCCCCGCAAGACGAATGCCTCGCAAGACGAAAAACCCGCAAGACGAAAGGGTTTTCCGTCGCGGAGGCGCTTCGCAAGACGAAGTTCCCTATGGGCTTGCTTCGCAAGACGTTTTCGCCAAGAGTCTCACCATTTTTTTTTTGCTCCCCCCCCCCTTTTTCAAAGCCGCTAAGCCGTTAATAGGCTTTTAACACCTTAGCCGCTAATAGCGCTAAATCGCTAATAGCGCTAATCCGCTTAGCCGCTAATGGGGTTGCTTCGCAAGACGAAAAAACCGCTAGACGAAGAGAATCGCGGAACGGATTCTTTTCGTCTTGCGAGGCACCACTGTATTTTTTCATAACTGAAGAAGTCTCTAAGCAAAAGGTCTAGTATGATTTCATTCAATTACTGAAATTAAGCAAGTTTGGGCTTGGTCAGTGTCTGGACTACTGGGAAACCATGTGGATGAGAAATACAAACATGACCACTCCTCCAAAAGCAAGTGGGGAGAATCAAAAGAGCTACAGATGTGATTTATTTACCAAGCAAACAGATATAAAGTATATCCTTAACATGTAAATGAATTAGGCTTTGGAGCAGAAGGAATTTCTCTCTACATGGAATGTTTTTCTGGTATACTCCCACAATTAGGGACAGTATCCTTTCAAGCACCACTTCTATGGAGTTTTGACCCAGTAGAAGATGCCACAGAAATAGTCCAAACTGTTTCCTGGCTTACAACTCCATGACTGAATTAGATGCAAAATTTTAACTACTGTTAAAGAATATTTGCACACTTTTTCTGGTCAGGAAGGGTCTGAAATGAAGACAGCTCTTAAAGAGTTAATTTACCTGCACCAAGATTGGTTGGTAGGAAAGCAGCCAAACCCACAATTTTGAATTTGGTTCCCCAGATATTTGACGTGACCTGAGCAAGGTAGTTGTGCTGCAAGAAAAAGGTATGACAGAACGACGACAAGCATTTATATAGTATTCACATACATTATCTTAGTTATCTTTACAATAATCCTGTTAGGTCAAATCAGTATGATTATTTCTATCTTCACATTCTACCAATGAAAAAGAGTGAAGGACATAAGAAGGGCGTGCTGGATCAGGCCAGAGGCCTATTTAGTCCAACATCATGTTCTCACAGTGGCCAATCAGATGCCTATGGGAAACAGGACACGGGGCCAACAGGGCTCTCCCATTGTTGTACCTTAGCAACTGGTATTCAGAGACATAGTGCCTCTGTTTCTGGTAGATAATGAGATAGCCATGCAGTACCTGAGTGATATCATCCAAAGGAAACTCTCTACGAGTTAGGCTTGGTGAACCTATGGAAGGCTTCCTTATCGGTAGCCTGGGAGATCTTGATATCTCCTGAGCAGCTCGTGACAACTTTGGAGATTTGCGAGCTTCTATATTAATTCTGCATACAAAACAAAAATGACAATAATGAGGCAGGCACAAATAGGTACTCTCTGTCTCACTATACAAAAAGAGAACGAGGAATACAAATTTAGGTGGGTGGTGGGGGAAATACTAACAAGGTTTACCATTCAAAAGTAGCTTCAAGAGCAAAGACAGAGTTAATATGAAAAGAGTTCACAGTGCATCCTTCGGTCTGACATTGCAAATGGGATGACAGACAGCCACACCAATGAACAGGACACCCTGGCTTAGCCATCAGACTTGTATAGGTTTCCTCCCCCCCTGGAAAAAAGCTGCAAGGATGTTCATGTCCCTTATTAATTAAAACAGTAATTTTAAATGCAAAAGGGACCTGAGGATTGAAGGGAGGTTTCTTGGTGATGTTACATGGAGCCTGTCAATTGGCATAGCAGCTTTCTGTCTCATACTTGCAAACTTTTGCAGAATGACTCTGGAAAGGCGAGGGGCATTGGGACTGAATGCAGAAAGAGCATTTCAGACCGGCCCATTACTATAAAAGATGTCACATCTGTCTTCAACCTAACATACTAGATAATCCAAGTACACTTTGCCCAGCATCTCTAGTTCTGGCTAAACGGTAAACGGAAAGATAACATATGAAGTCCCATGGAATTTTTGTACTAGAAAGGTGGTTCTATTTTAATAATTGGTAAGGAAAGCATTCCCCCCCCCTTGCTGGCCTATCTCCAGGTTCAGGAGCTAAGGATCATAACAGGCTTATGCCTATGCATCAAACCAGAGCATCGGACTTAATACCCTGCTAAAGAGCATCACAGGGACAACAGCTGTTTTGAAAGAACTAGGGCATTATTTCTCCGACACAATGCCCGTGGCTGGTGCTGTGAGCTTTGGAGAAGCATCACTCACCTTTTAGAAACATCAAAAGGCAGCCCTGTTTAGGGAAGTTTTTAATGTTTAATGCTGTATTGTGCTTTTAATATTTGGTTGGGAGCCGCCCAGAGTGGCTGGGGAAACCCAGCCAGATGGGAGGGGTATTAATAATAAATAATAATAATAATAATAATAATAATAATAATAATAATAATAATAATAGTTGTTGTTGTTGTTCTGGAATGGAAAAAGGGATATCTAGCCCAGCCCCACAAAGATCAAAATACACAACTCAGACCACGGTGTCCCATAAGCAGAGAGCAGAATAGTGCTTAGAGAACATGTTTCTCAGGGAAGGGAGCTAAGCACTCTCCTAGCACCAGTAGCAAATCTGGAACCTTGCTCTCAAAAGTCTGAGCAGAGAGAAAGAGAGAGAGATTGTTGTAATTTCTTTATGTTGATATATATCTAGGATATATAGTAGAATACAATGGTGGTCCAGGGGTGGAACTTCAGCACCCTGGGTTGTTATCATTCACTGGTCGTTGCCCATACTATATACCTAGAATTTATTCCCAAACACTGATTTTCTCAGTGCGTGCCAATTATTCCAAATTTTTGAAAAACTAGTCTTGGAACTAGGACACGGTATGTAAACTAAGTCAACAAATTAAAATCCAAGTAGGTGGTTTTATCCTAATCACAGAATTTGATTTATTATTTTTTGCACCGTGCACGTGTGCGCACGTTCACACACACACACACACACACACACACACACAATATATATAGAACTCTGCTTAAAACACTCACTAGTAGCAAGCAAATAACCTAACAAGTACTCTGCACTGTTATGTGCTGTTAAACATTTGAAACTGTCAGGGACAGGACACCAGAACTATAGGGGGATTATGTCTGTATTATGCTTGTAGCTAATCACAGAGGAGAAGAACTCTATGGGCCTTAATAATGTTTCACAGCAAAAAGAACCCTAACATTTCTGAAGCAGCCCGTTTCTGATGCCTGTATGAAAAGGTTCCCCTTTGTTCTAAGTGTATAGGGTGCCCTCTCAGCATAAAAAAGGAATTCAAAGACCCAGGAGAAAAAGGAAGGTGGAGTTTTGAAAATACCAAAATGATTACCTGGGAAGTTTGGGTGATTTGCTAGCTCGAGTGATTTTGGGAGACTTTTTTGCAGCCCAGTCATCGCTCAGTTCAATATCGCTGGAATCAGAGCAGTTGCAGCTGTCAATCACGGTGGAAATCAAACTGTTTCCATAGATTTCATCTGTCAACACAGGCCCCATTAAAAAAAAAAAAGGTTTCAGAAACCAAATCCCAATTACAACTGTCAATCATTTCTAGGATATCCTACAAGCAATAGCCGAGATACAACCGCAGCAAGGAGCACGGCGTATTCTTTGAAACTCATGCAGAATCAGCAATAGCCTAAAATCAAGCGGATGGTGCTCAATTATGCTAGTTGACAGGCATCTCTCTGACACTGAAAAATGTCTGCAGCTAATTAGAGAATCTTCCCTCTCCTGTCAGGACACTGAATATTATAATGTACTAAAACTTGGAAGATGACTTGAACTATGCCTGTTACTGAGTCTCTTTCAGAATGGCTGATGAGAGCAGGGAAAGAGTACTGCCATGGGTTCTTGTGTGGATGCACGGTTTGGGGGCATTAACAGGATACACATCCCCACAACCCAATCCACTAATTTGTTCCACAAGCAGGAGCTCCAGTGAGTACATGACGCTCGACCGACAAGAATGACACATTTCGACAAAGAGTGTATTTGTGGGCATATTTTTTCCCATGTGAAGATCAGTTACATACAATAAAATCAATGAGAAATTCACGTGCAGTAAACTTGCAACACTTGAGGGTCTCTGCACAGGGCCGGAATCTAGAAATCGGCACTGAAAAGTTGCCTAATGCCTTGTACCTGCTTTTCCGTCAGTCTTTGGATCCATGATGACAAACTCAGGCCGCAGTTTGCTAATTCGGCGCCCTTTCAAGATAGGCACCAGACCCCCTAAGTATTCCAAATACAGTGTATAGCAAGGCCCTCCAACCTCCGGGTCGTCTTCTGTCCTCTTCATTGTGCAGTGAAGCCTTTCGTTGCCAGATGTTGGGTAGCTAACAAAATCTCTCATGTTGTTGGGGTCTGGGATAGGAGGCTGAGTTAAATATAGGAGGAAAAATTGTGAGTCATACGAAGAGTTTTCCCTCGTGTTGCTTTTTCATGCTCCTGATTATTATTATTATTATTATTAATGACTGCAGTGGTAAATTCTGCCTTTAAATTAATAAAACAATAAAAGAAATCAGGACCACAAAAAGCTAGCTACATTTTAAATGAGAAGTGACCACTTCTAGAATGATGCACCAGAACCGCAGAAAGACCAAGAAGCATCCACTTCAGTAATACAGTGGTACCTCTGGTTGCAAACGGGATCCATCCTGAAGGCCCGTCCGCAACATGAAAGAGCACAACCTGAAGCGCCGTATCTGCGCACGTGCGTGGCATGATTTGGTCTTGTGCGCATGTGCGAAGTGCAATTTAGCGCTTCTGCGCATGCAGCGAAACCTGGAAGTAACCCTTTCCAGTACTTCTGGGTCGCCGCGGGACGTAACGGGAAAGAACGTAACCTGAAGCAAACATAACATGAGGTATGACTGTATGTGCTTGCTTCTTTTACAGAAGTATAAAGATTGTCAATAGCACAGGGACTGGGATCAGATTTCTCAAGAAGTTCTCATAAGAGCCAGACAAAAGGTGTTGCAATCTAGCTGGTAGCTTTTACGCCTTGTCCTGGGAAACCTTTAAATAAAGGCCCATTCACCAGGCTCTGTTCATGCACAAAGTTTACACCTACCCCAAAGCATTCCCATCCACCTCCCATACATTTGCATGGCTAATATAATGTGTGACATTTCTAATCATGGATACACTTGGCCACAACTGAAGCAGATGTGGAAAATGTCATTACAGCCACAAACTGCGGCTGGCAGCAGTTGTGATTGACTGGTTTTATTAATAAGCTCTCGGTACACCAACATGCCTGAGGGCAGTCTGGACTGCTTAACCTGTACAAGAAAACTACATTTGTGAAACATCCCTTAGTCAGGTTGCCCTGCACTGCTCTTTAAACGGCCATCACAACCCTCTCAAAACGACAGTGATAAAACCCTACAAGCTGTTCTGCACGGTTATGCAACCCTAGGTGTATTTACTCAGAAGTCCCAAGGCATTCAAGGGGACAGAGTCCCAAATAAGTGTTTGAGATGGCAGCCGCAGAGTGCAATCTGAATGTTTATTACCAGTCAAACATTCCCTGCTTGTGCGCTTTATGCCTCAGCTGCTGTCAGCTGTTTAGCTCCATCTACCTTTGTCTACTGACCCTGATACACTTAACACCCAGCCATTTGTTTACCTTGATCGTTGGTGTAAAGGCAGTGGTGAGGTATGAGCAGAGCCTGGGAGGCAGAGTCAATTTACTGATATCTTTGTCATCCCGCAAGGAGCTAGCGATGGTTTGCTGGCACAGAAGCTGTAAGCTGGACACTCTGTGCTCCACTCGGACAACGTAGAGGGCAGGACCAGAAGCCATGAGCAGGCGGGAGTCCCTGTGACCCCAGCAGATTGAGATTATGGGACGCTGCATGAAAAGTAACATTTCAGATGTTTTTCTCTCATTGAAGCACATTTTAAGGCCCATTCTATTTTGGAAAACCCTAATGTCTCAGGGCTTTTCTGTATGTTCAAGTAGTAGAATTCTCTGGGGACTGTACAACTTACAATTTCGCTAAGATACGGTATCAATTTATTACAGTAACCAGAAGACATTTTGTTTTAAAGTACAGATTTCTCCATTAATTTTCATCCTTCATTGAATATTATTGTAACTAATAGCATGGAATCAAAACTTATTTGTTGTGTGTGGGGAGACCTACATATAAAATTATCTAAATTATAGTGACCGTCATCTACTGGGCAAACCTCCCTTGATATAATATCCCCCGCTAGGGGTTGTTTTTCTGGGCTGTTATTCTCCCACGCTCCTGTTTCAATATCTCACTTCAGAGTAATCTTTACCTGCACAGGAGTCTCCAGGGTATAGATATGTTCTCCGTGAACATTGTAGAACTTGACCAGTGCACTTTTCAGAAAGGAAGCACCGCTGAGTTCAGCCAGCTGGCTTAGCTTTTCCATGCCTGCAACAGCCAGCAAGTCTCCCTGCGTGCACCACTGAGCCACTACATCTGAAATCACAAGGGGGGGGGGGAGGTTCGCTTTACTACACTTAGCAAATAGGCCCAATCCCACACACTTACACTCAGTAAGCAGGCCAGTGGAGGCAGCGGGGGCCTCCACTGCTCCCTTGGCTAACCAAAACCACAGGTTACTGCCATTAACCGGGAGGGTTAATCCCTCCACCTCCCTTTCCCTGCTAATTTCTACAAGAGGCAGCCCTGAGACTGAGGAGGAGGAGGAAGCTGACAGGCCGGGCCACCTCCTGGTCTGGTTGTAAGCAAGGAGGCAGGCAGGTGGGGTCTGGCTAAAGGCAGGCTGAGGTTGGTGGAGCAAGCCTTCATTCACTCTGCCGACTGAAGCTACTGCTTCAACTGAATTAAACCTGAAGTTCCACTTTTAAGCCTTTGGAAACATTGCCTCAAACTAAAATAACTTTGGAACCCGCCAGCCTTCCGGCTTTGGTTCCCAAAACCCTTGAAGGAACAAACAGAGGAGAGCAAAACAAAATTGGTCACTGCCTCAAGCTGGAGGTTATTTTGAAAAGCACATGGTTCTCATTTGCTGCTGTCGAGCGCCAGAGAATGTAAGACAGGCTACCAGTTTATTTCAGAAGGAATCCTCTCGTTGAGATGTGCTCTTTTCACCAGCAGGTGTCACTCTTGTTAGTGGAAATCGCTGCAGATGGATGTTGCATTTCAAGAGACAGATGCTGAAATATTCATGTCAAAGCAATCAAGATCTAAAGCAGAAAATGAAGCGGTGGGAGCAGGGCAGGAAGACAAGTCTCCCTTTGCGTACCTTTCAACCCTGAGCGGATGATGGTAGGAGACAAGTCGTCATAGTTGTTCATTAAGCTAATGTCTCCTGATGTGAAGCTGACAGTGAGCAGCGGTTTGGTGTTCTGCACCAGAACTGGATATGCAGCTGGACCATCTGCAGGGTGGGGAAAAAAAACTTTTAGGAAGAAGTTTGAACCAAGGTTCCTAGCTCATCACCTGTTGACTGTGCAAAGAGCTGTGACACTCAGGGGATGTTTTCCTACCCTGTCAAATACTGCTAAGGAATAAACCCCACCCTCACGCCACAGCACTGTGGTATGGTCTCTGCAGTGTTATGCAAATGACACAATTCTTCTATTGTGCCCTCAGTGATCCTGCACAGTGGGAATATTTACATGTCCCTGGAGCTGTATGAGGAAAAGAATGGAGTCAGAAGCAACCATCCTGGCCCATAATGGGCGCAAACATAGAGGCAGTGCCAACCATGCTAGGAAATAAAAAGGTAGAGGGGCCTTCGTACAAAGAATCTGTTCAGTTTGCACCTCTCTGTGATACCTAGCAATGTTCAACCTCTAAGCCAGGGGTAGCCAACTGGCAGCTGTGGGCCAGACCTGGCCCTTGAAGTAGCGTTACTATCACCTTATGAAAGTCTAGTCAAGGTGGGATTCAAAAAAGCAATTTGTTCACAGCTTTCTGTTGAAAGAAAAATAAGCAATGATTCACCATGTTCATTTCATAAAAAGTTTCTTGCACTGCTATCTCGTCCACATTCTCAAAAGCCAAGGGACTATTACCAATCTGACTCAAGGTTTTTTTTCAAGAAACACGTCCCCTCCTCAGCCCTCCAGACTGAAGACCTCATGGTACTGGACCAAGTATACTTCAGCTCTGTTAAGCCCTTACTGCTACATGACATAGACTTTAATATAGAAACTGGTCCTCCATAAGGACTGGATCCCAAAATGGGAGTCTGGAGCATCAGAATGGGCTTAACTACATGCCCTGAGAACACCAGTTGGCTAAATGCTATTCTGTGCCATTATAAAAGAGAGTCTGGTTTTGACAAGATCATTCTTCAGTGTTTAACTTCCTTTGTATATAATATTAAATTGCCTACAGCACCATCTGCAGCATTCACTATTTCATTCTCTGTTTTATGTAACTAGCTTTGACAGAAGGTGCTGCTGTCCCAAGAGAAAGGCGCTCTCCAGGCACCAGTTAAGCATATTCTCACTAATCATACATTAGGCTACATTCAGTTGTGAACGGAACCAAATGTTGTTATCCATGTGCTTATGTGTTAAAATGAGGTAATTGAACTACAGGGAAATTGTCCTGTGGACGGTGACTTAAAAGCCAGCACCATATAATTGGCATAGTTTTAGAAGTAAGTAAAATCCAATTAAGCCCCTCCTAGTCATGTATGTGAGTCAAAGGCATGTCTCCTTTGAAAGGTTTATGAAGAACAAGTGATACTTCACAAGAACACGTCATATCAGAATAATTATTGGAAGCTACCAAGCTCACCCACTCCTGATTGACTCAGCATCAACTACAGACTAGCCTCCTTCACTCATCTAAAGGGATGCACCAGAAGTTACAATGTTCCTGCCTAGAACAGTAAACCTATCTTATAACAAACCTAGTATCACCACTCTCATTAATCACACTCCGACAAAGGAAAACTGTAGCACAGTCCTCTAAGGATGTTGTGCATATTTGATTTACCCTCATGTATGCATTTGCCATTGCAGGGAAGTGTCCTAAGCAAGCAAAAGGGTTTGTCAACAATAAGCCAGTCGCCCCCCATGCTAAGCACACTGTGGGGCGTTTTTGCTCCTATTGTCCTAGAAGAGCGAGTGAGGAATGGAAGGGTCCCTGGCCCTTGCACCCAGATGCCTGCTGCCCCAACCAATAAAAGGCAGGAACTCCAGGTGCATGGAGAAAGACTTACTTCAGGTGCAGCACAATTGAGTAGAGCCCTCCTTGCAGTCGGAGAACCCTGATATTTCCCCTCAACCTTTTCTCTCTTTGCAACGATGACACTCAGTATGAAACCACAGATTGAGTCTTGAAGGTATGTCATGAAAATCACATTCATGCAGTACATTTCCCCCAGTGTTGCTAACCTTCCTCAAAAAAATTGAAGGAAGTTTTCTCACTGAAACCAACATTGTCAAAAATGTTTCTTTCTTACATTTGCACCTGAAGTGGACCCATAATTGCAAAGGTTTGAATCTGTGATGCTAATTCACAGTCAACTTTGTTTCATGCAAGCTTTTAAACTATTTTGTTTTGGTTGTGCATTTTTTTCTGTTGTAGAAAGTGTAGAAGTAGTTCATTTTATCTTGCTTCTTGCTCCATTATTAAAAGTCACACATCAAATATGGAGTTATTCTTAACTAGGGACAGCAGGTCATTCACTGGAGAACAAAAACATGTTCTCAGATCCTCCTTTTGATTAAGTAATATGCAAAAGCACAATAACTTAATCTCTATTCGATTTGAACATCTTTGCACCATATCTGGTTTTCTTGCATTAAGGAGTAAAGGAGGCTTATTTTTAAAAATATGTAACATAGCAAGAAGAAAACAAGTAATTTAAGGATGTCAAGGGGAAGCTACATTCTTCAGGACCACTATATTCTACAAAGTATGGGTAACTGCAGATTAACCATAAAGAATATCATGGCCATTTATTATCCTGTGCAAAACTTGATGCCTTGTTAATAGCAATTGCATGATGCTAATGCCATTAAAAGCACTGTCAATACAAACATGCTGTATATGTTAGGTTTACCAATGCAATCTGAATCTTCACTGGATTTGAAGTTTTCCATGAAGTTGTTTTAATTACTTGTTTATATACGGAATTGTTTTCATTGTTTTTATATATGGAATTGTACTTAAAAGGTTTTCAGTGTTGATGTTATGATTGTTAATCGCTCTGAGATGTTTTGAAGGAAGCAATTAATAAATGAAATTAAATGAATGAATGAATAAATAAATCATTTTCACTATAGTCCTTGGCTGCATCATTTCAATCTGCAGCTGCAGGCTTACACAACCAAATGCTCAGAATAACAATAAATCCCTCTTCATAGAAAAGCAGACAACAGGGACAAGAGTTCTAGCCTACCCTTCGATGTGGAGTTTTTCAATGTGGAAAGAACATTTTTCTATGGAACGGCATTCAAGCATGTCACACAACTTTACCATTTCAGTGAAAAGCAGGCCACAGACATTCAATGAACAAAAAATGGAGGCAAAATGACCTTGAGGTGGGGAGTAGTCATCTGAATCAGTGTCACTCTCACTACTATCTTCCACCAAAAAGCTCGGGTAATTCCAGGACATGCTCAGGATGCCATCAGATTCATGAAGGAGAACATGTGCCAGCATTCGGCCATGGCAATCCATGACAATAACCTGACCATCAGCAGTGCCAAAGAGGACCTGGCAAAATAAGAAAGCATCATAGTTAACAAGAATGCAAATGCGATTAAAAATAAAAACAGGCTGAAGAAGACAGTTCTCTATTATCATATTTCAAGTAATCTGAAATGCTAAACTGCCCACATCCACAGTGAATACAAGACAAAGCAACCAGCTATTAAAAATATATATCCTTATCAACCAGGAACTGCCAACCTAGCAGTTCGAAAGCACCTTCGGGTGCAAGTAGATAAATAGGGACCGCTTACCAGTGGGAAGGTAAACGGCGTTCCGTGTGCTGCGCTGGCTCGCCAGATGCAGCTTGTCACGCTGGCCACGTGACCCGGAAGTGTCTGCGGACAGAGCTGGCTCCCGGCCTATAGAGTGAGACGAGCGCACAACCCTAGAGTCTGTCAAGACTGGCCCGTACGGGCAGGGGTACCTTTACCTTTTATCAACCAGGAATAAGTGGAGTTCCTGATTCCAAAAATCCATAATCCCCATTAAATTCTCTTTTAGGATTATGGGCAATACTGGGTACCATGTCATAACTACTACTCTTCCACAAACAACATTTTCTAAACCCATCATGACTGAAGCCCTCAACTTCTTCATCCCTGCCATTTCTCCTGCTCTTTCCCACAATCTTGCTTCTTTCTCCATTTCACTGATTCCCATCAGGCACTTTTTTCCTTTTCAATTCTACATCCCCATCTGTCCTGTGGTCATCCTATAGCTAACCCCACCCCACCCCCACCCTATACTAGTTTGAAAAACTAGTTATAAAATATTGACTTTTGGTTTCCAGATTACAGAAAAACCTTCCTTAAATATATCAGCATAAACCCAACTGGTTTTATAGAAAATAGGTCCTTGAAATCAAATATTTAAAGAACATGAGACATCATCAAAACGATTAAAAAGAAAGAACACCAACAGTATTGTCCTTGATGCAGACAAAGCGTATGATATGTTAGAGTGGGCTTATCTAATAGAATATTTAAACTGATTTGGCTTTGAAAAGAATTTAGATATTATTGCTTCTTGTTGGCATCGTTGTTCATTATCTCAGTTTAATTTTAGCAGATGTAATTAGGCAACATGAACAAATCAAAGTATCAAGATTTGTTAATGTAGAGCATAAAACCAGCCTATCTGCAGATAACATAGCAGTTTTTTTATGAAATTTGTTAATTTATTGGCAATCAAAATTATGTATAAATTATCAGATTTAGTATAAATTATAGTAATATTAAAATCCTGCATTTCTTTTTTAAGAAAAGTGAATAGTTGGTTGGGGAAGATTAACTGGAAGGAGGAGGAAATTCAGTATTTAGTGATAAATATTCATATAGAATATAGCAACAACTTTATACCTCTAATAAAATCAATGCAAGAATATGTTTAAAATTTCTAAAACTTGAAAATGTCCCCACACTGGGTAGCATAAATGATGGGAAAATGATAAAACACTGCTGCAATTATTTTAACCGTCATCCAGGAGCAATTTACAGATGATTGTGAATTACAAGCATGATGGGATGCTGGACCAATGAGTAGTCAACCATTGATGACCAATGTGGATGCTTGTCCCTGGAGCAAAATTGGCAAAAAACAATGTGACTCAATCAGGTGGAACTAGAGCATTACAGGACAGGTGGGAAATCAGTGTGTTACAAGCCTGACAGCAACAAATAAAGGAAAGTTTCCACCTAAATACAGAATGGAGGAGGCAAGGCTTTTGTGTTGTTTAAAATAGCAGTTAGCAAACAGCCAAGGTACATCATCTAAGGTAAGGCTGACTGTAACCTACAGATATCTTCCCCTTGGGCATGTTTTGTTCCCTGATGTATTGAACAAGCTCTGGCTTGCACATTTTGGCAGGTTATAGAAGACATACAACATAATCCAGGAAAGGGCAAATGCATTAAGAGCATCATGCCTGGAAAACTAAACTCTGCCCTACAATCTTAGTCACGCGTACTTCCATTTCAGTTCCAGTCCACTAATGTTAAAGGGCCTTCTTTCACATGAACATTTTTAGGATTCGTTTATGCAGTACGGTTGATTGGGAATCTGAATATATTCAAGAGGCTTGCTCATTCTGTTTAAGGAAATGAAGAGCACTGACTAATCTCCCATTACATTATGTTCAATCATTACTGCAGCAAAAAACTAAATCCAACCTCTGCTGAGAAATCATGGAGGATTCTTTTAAAAAGGTGTCAGTGTGGAAAACTGCTAACTAGCAGGATCCAAGAATTATCAGTATAGAATTGCTGGTATGGTTAGTGTGACACCGATGTTTTCTATTTTAGGAGCTTACTAGTTTTGCCTGGTTTGTTTTAATTATATGTTTTAAATGAGCTTGGAAGGTTATTTGGATCTTGCCATGTTATGTTGACTGATGCTTTAAGGAAGCTTAGGGATCAAAATATGGGATTGTGCAATCCTATGCAAACTTAGATGGACGTAAGTCCCACTGAACACAGTACAACTAACTCCAGGGTAAGAACACATAGGATTGCACTGTAAGTCAATCAACTTTTAAGAAAACAAGAAATAAATGAAGTTCTTAGGTTGCAGCCATTCTGACAGGAACATTTCAAGATCTATATCTTTGTCTCTGCTTAGTCATTCAACACTACAAGGCCATTGACAAAAGCATGCTGTCCTTGGTCAGTGATCCAAATGGCAGCTATATTGTGTAAGCTGCCTACCTCTTCAGTGTTTTGCCTGTTAAAAGATGAGGCCTTGGCTGATTGGAGGTTTTTAATAATTTGCAGACAGCTGTGCCTTCTAGATCAGCTGTGCCTTATCTTCCCCGCCTGCCTTCCCCCAGCCAGAGGCATAATTGTTAGGGATGGTGGAGAAAAGCCACAGATGAAGAATACTTGCTCACAGTCAAACTCCACTTGGAAAAAGGCACTCCTTGGAAAGGAGACAGTAAGTGAAAACCACATCTGTTTTGTCAGAGGTACAGTGGCAAAAGGCTTAAAGGGAATCTCTGTTTGCTTCCATTCACCCATTTGGCCATTTATTAGTATAGTCAGACCAGAAAATGACTCTACAGTCTTCACAACCGTCTCATATTCAGTCCTTTCACTATCCAAGGTACAGAAACTATGAACTGATTAAAGCCCAAAGCACACCTTCAAATCAAAGCAGCAGGTCCAGGCGTAGGTCCCAGGGGGATGTACCTCAAATCAAGAGTGTGAGTTCTAAAGCTTTAGAGTCCCTGAACATTCAATATTGGAAAGGGATTTTTGTTCTTGTAGACTACTACCAAGTATGACTTGAGAGCAGCTGGGGCAGGAGATGAGCTGCATAAACTTTTTCAAGGCAATTAAAAAACAACAACAACAACAAAAACCAGCCAGATTTTCATATTGAAAATGCTCTTTCCAGGTTTAAATGGTTGCAGATCCTATATGCACCAAAAGTTTTACAGCTTTTCATCAGTACTATAAAATTCTTGGGAGAGTGTGAGAGACACTCTGAACCTACTGGTTGGATGGTATGTTTAAAAAAAGGCTTTCCTCCTCTCTAGGAGAATGTCTATTAATCCTGATTAATAAGTGACTTAATTACTTTGTTTGACTGTTATATGTAAATCCACTATCACTCCCATGGTATTTATATAGGACACAGAATGCACTATACTGATCTGACAAGAACCACTGAACTCCTCAGTTGTTGGTTCCCTACTTAAAAGAAAGTTTTATGCTTTACTTCAAAGCAATCCCAGAAAAACATACTTGGCTGATGACAAGAATAAGCACTGCCAAGGCAGCAGTGATTTTCTTGACTCAAAGTCCAATTCTATGCATGTCCCACTGAGTTCAATGGACTGCAATCTTTTTACACAGGATCTATTAACCATTTCACAGAAACTCATAAAACAGGTGACTGAGCAAGAAGCTAAGCAGTGTTGTCTGTTTCCATAATTTATAACTATATAAAAGCAGGCAGGTCTCACTAAAATGTAAGCCTTCTATATATAGAAAGAAAGCCACGTTTTCAGTCCAAAAAGAGCAGCAATGGAATATAAAACATTCATAAAGCTCTTAGCATGAGCAACCAGAGGTCATTAATTTTAAATGCCAAGACTAACAAGAAAACCTGAAGTAATTCTAAAAATAACCCAAAATATTATATGCTGGAATGTTTTGTTTATACAACAAGAGAATCAAGATGATATGAGCTTGAGTATTCTTCCCTTGTTATATTTGAACTCCCTGAATTGCGCTGTTATTGGTTATACTGCTCTATTTTACACTGGCAATTTAGTCATTGACTCCATTCCATGCAACATTAAATGCACTGCCTAATTAATTAAAAGCTTTCTGCTTCTATTTTGTGTGGTCCTAAGAATCAGAAATGTAATAAACATAGGTGATCGAAGAATGCTTTTGGAGTTACAGCTTGCAAAACACGGTGTTCGTATTTCTTGGCATTTTCAGAGAACAACATTGAAAATAGGTCTAAGCCGCCGTATAGCTCCTGGGAGGATAATGGCTTCCAGGTAGCAAGCTGTTCTTCTAATGTTGTTGCTTGATAGCTGAACCCTGGCCTAGATATTTTAAGGGCTCTGGCCGAAGAAGGCTCATGCTGAGGACGTATCTCGGAAAATCAGAGGGCATTTCCACCTTCCCCATATCGATTAACAAAGAGCATGATGGAATCTTATAATGTTAACCATGTGGTGTTAGGAACTGTGGATTTGGCATCCCAAAAGAATTTTGTGTGAAAAGTCTAGGTGAGCAGTTTCTACGCAAGGTTTGATTAGGCCCTTGCTATGGCCACATGCTGCCTTTGTATATCAAATCTCACCTCATCCCACTCTCTAACAGAATATAGCATATTCTGACTAAAATAATAATTTTAAAAATTGCCTGCCTTCAGCTGCGGCTTCATCTGACCAAGCAGCAGCTGCACTGCCTTCATTTCTGTGGCTCAGTCTTGCGATCAACCTCCAAGACACATGCGGTGTGGCAGCGTCAGCAGAACAAGTAAACACGGCCTTACTAAAAAAGTATTTTGCTTTGTGACAGGATTTCAAATGCTATCAGCTTTTCCCTGATTTTTTATTTTAGGCAGCAGAAGCTGCGGCCAGCTCTCCGTAAGCAAAACAGAAGTGAAAATGAGAGAGAGCAGAGAAGCAAGCCTATGTTTCAGTCAGGAAAGTTGATACTAAAAACTGAACAGCAACTGCAGGTTAGCAATTAAAACAATACAACTGGGAGCCAGAAGATCTGTGTTCTGAACCCAGCCTTTTCATTTAATTGTGGTCACTGAAGTCAATGAGAACTTTCTTATCAGCTCCAATGAGATTTGCATTGGTTCGTCCCAGGGAGATTTTTTAAGCAAAGCAAGCAATTTCTCTTTCTCTTTTTCCTCAACATCAAAATGAGCAGCTGAGAAGGTGCACCTTAGCAAGAGTGGCATGAAGATAATTAATTCCCTCTTCAAAGTGATATGAGACCCACAGAGAGAGCTAAATGTTAAGTGTTAGTATAATATTTCATTAACACTTCATTATGGAATTCTGCATTTGGTTTAGATTGACTGGTTTCTAAAATAGAACACCCTGAACTGGGTTTGAGATGAGGAGTCCACAAATGTATTTGCTAGCTCACCTGGGGTGAGCATGTCTTTTAAGGCATGGTCTGGTAGGCACAAAGCAAGAGATGAGCGGAGGTTCATTTCTGACCCCAAGGTGAGCTTCCCTCCCTGAATCTGTGCTGAGAATGTGTTAACCCTTTCCCTGTCTGCCTATTCTATCCTCAGACACTTTCTTTCCCCCAGTAGAGGAAGGTAGGATGCTGCAGCAATTACCAAGCTCAGGACTGGACTGGGTTGGCTGCATTTAAAAACAATGCTACTGCTCATCAAATATGTTTACTACTGAAGGTGCTCTCAAGCAGTTTTCAAGCATTTCAATACTCAATATACATATGACTGGAGGAGGGTATATGTAGCCATGTGAAGTGAATTACCACTGAACACTTGTGTAGCTTGACATCAGTTACAAGAGTGTGTCAGTCATACAGCTAAATTAATTTACCATCTTCTTGTCCTGTGTGCAGCAGGAAGGTGCTTACCGATTAATGCATAGTCAACCCTGACATACACACAGAGTGTGGCAATTTTTGTTTTCAAAGCAACCTTACCTGTAGATCATCAGGAGTCCATATGCCACAGGTGATCTGACTCTCCAGGTTAATCTCTGAAGACCAATGTCTCTGTCCACTGACTGATCCAACTAGCACAAACCCATCTCTATAGGAGATCAGTGCTTGTGTTCCATCATGGCTCCACGTAAAGTCACTCACCTTAAAACACACACAGACAAGAAGAGGCTAGAACATTATTCTGACAATGCAGCCCATATGTAAAAGAAACAGTGCCCTATAGAAGCAAATGAGACTAGAATCAATTGGTACCAATATGTTTAGCAGGTTCCAGTTAAGTGGCTCGTGTGCCCCCACTTTTTTTCTTTTAAGAGAAGTTAACACAAGTTTGGCCAACAAGCAGGGAACATTAATGCCAAAGCATCTGCTGCTGCCACCATCTTGCATTTCAGATTTTCAAACTATGCTATAAAAAAGGTTTTTTAAAAAATAAAATGAAGTGCAATCCAGACAAGGGTGGTATCCAGCTATAAACAGTTCTGCTGGTGCAACTGGGTTCATGTTGTACATAGGAGAGGGGGAGCACCCCACCACAACCCCTACCTTGTGTAACCTCTAGTCTGCAGAAGAGTTCTGAATAATTCAAAAATGTGCTCTCTATCTTGTGACGTTTTTGTTAGTCCTAATAAAAGTATTGCCCAACTATGGATTTTGGAGTTCAATTAAAATGCTGCTCTAACAATTGCTCTTTCCACAATTTACTCTTTCCACACGGAGTGAGAACTTTAGTGGTCTTTCTTTAAAAGGAAAAAAGGAGGGAGGGGATACTAACCTGTGCCCCACGGTCATTCACAAGTTCCACAGACCATCTGCCTTCATACTGAATCCAAACAAATATTCCACCGTCTGCATCACAAGTTGCAAGCTTCTGGAATGGTTCGTTCCATCTTACCAGTACCACCTAAGAAGATTCCAGAAAACAGAACTTTTTCCCAAGAGTCTATACAAGGTTCCAACATGCAGCTCACCTGAAATTTCATTATCTGATATAGCAAAAATATATTGCCATGCTTAAATTATAAATTAAGGCTACAAAAATTTGAAATGTTCAGCTGATGAGGCTTCTCTTTAAGAACAGCAGGATGTGTTTCATTGCTGCCATAAAAGCAACGGAGAATCTTCATGGGCACACTTTACTGAAACCAAGGACTTTTAAGTCCAACTCTCTCCAATGTTTTCAAATGGAAACAAATCAAGTTCCTAAAGGGTTGTCAGCTTTCTCTAGGTTGTAAAACACAGCTGTGCTCTCTGAGATCTGCACACACTCAGTGACCTGGCTGAACAACACACACATGAAACCTCTTTCTGACAGAGTGCAGACTTTGGTGGGAGTGGAAGGTTCTTGTGCAACAAGATTGTGGAGATCTAGAGAGATGGCAGTTTCTTGAAAGGATTAATGTGCTTGGAGTAAGGGGCCTTTCCAGAGATCAAAGCCATTTGATGTAAAAGCTTGAACAGGGCCCAACAACACGGCACCTCCTCTTCTCCCTCATAAAGTCTAGCAGTCCAAAATGGTGTCATTCTATTTTCACGTTCCTCCGCTCCACTTCACTAGTGGGTACTCATAGGGGCAGGGAAACTTTCAGTGCAATGACATGATGTCACTAGTTTGGGATTACCAGGTGAAAGGAGAAGGAAAATGAAAGCAGCAGCCGCACAACTCTTCTGATGTCTAGTATCAGCCATGGCCTTACTGCACTGTTAGCTACCAGCCATCAGATGGACCCTCCTTCTAGCTGCAGAGGAATCTGTTTGGCTTATCGTAGCTAATAACCACTGACAGATCTATGCAATCGATTAATATTTAATTATATAAAAATAGCCACACTAGTGTCAGTTCTCCTTCATGGATCACTGCCTTGCCGTGGCGAAGGGGCTTGAATAACTCAGAGAAGCTATGAGCTATGCCGTGCAGGGCCACCCAAGATGGACAGGTCATAGTGGAGAGTTTTGACCAAACGTGATCCACCTGGAGCAGGAACTGGCAAGCCACTCCAGTATCCCTGCCAAGAAAACTCAATGGACAAAGACAACAGGCATATAAAAGTTATGACGCTGGAAGATGAGCCCCTCAGGTCGGAAGGCGTCCAACATGCTACTGGGGAAGAGCGGAGGGCAAGTACAAGTAGATCCAGAGCTGATGAAGCGGCTGGGCCAAAGCCGAAAGGACGCTCAGTTGCGGATATGCATGGAAGCGAAAGGAAAGTCCAATGCTGTAAAGAAAAATATTGCATAGGGACCTGGAATGTAAGAACCATGAACCTGGGTAAGTTGGAGGTGGTCAAAAATGAGATGGCAAGAATAAATATTGACATCTTGGGCATCAGTGAACTAAAATGGACGGGAATGGGCGAATTCAGTTCGGATGACTATCATATCTACTACTGTGGACAAGAAACCCGTAAAAGAAATGGAGTGGCCCTCATAGTCAACAAAAGAGTGGTGAAAGCTGTACTGGGATGCAATCTCAAAAATGATAGAATGATCTCGATACGAATCCAAGGCAGACCTTTTAACATCACAGTAATCCAAGTTTATGCACCAACTACTGGTGCTGAAGAAACTGAAATTGACCAATTCTATGAAGACTTACAAGACCTTATAGAAGTGACACCAAAGAAGGATGTTCTGCTCATAATAGGGGATTGGAATGCTAAAGTAGGGAGTCAAGAGATAAAAGGAACAACTGGCAAGTTTGGCCTTGGAGTTCAAAACGAAGCAGGGCAAAGGCTAATAGAGTTCTGTCAAGAGAACAAGCTGGTCATCACAAACACTCTTTTCCAACAACACAAGAGACGACTCTACACATGGACATCACCAGATGGGCAGCATCGAAATCAGATTGATTATATTCTCTGCAGCCAAAGATGGAGAAGCTCTATACAGTCAGCAAAAACAAGACCTGGAGCTGACTGTGGCTCAGATCATCAGCTTCTTATAGCAAAATTCAAGCTTAAACTGAAGAAAGTAGGGAAAACCACTGGGCCGGTAAGATACAATCTAAGTCAAATCCCTTATGAATACACAGTGGAAGTGAGGAACAGGTTTAAGGATTTAGATTTGGTGGACAGAGTGCCTGAAGAACTATGGATGGAGGCTCGTAACATTATACAAGAGGCAGCAACTAAAACCATCCCAATGAAAAGGAAATGCAAGAAAGCAAAGTGGCTGTCCAACGAGGCCTTACAAATAGCGGGGGAGAGAAGGCAAGCAAAATGCGAGGGAGATAGTGAAAGATACAGGAAATTGAATGCAGATTTCCAAAAAATAGCAAGGAGAGACAAGAAGGCCTTATTAAACGAGCAATGCAAAGAAATAGAGGAAAACAATAGAATGGGAAAAACCAGAGATCTGTTCAAGAAAATTGGAGATATGAAAGGAACATTTTGTACAAAGATTTCCATAATAAAAGACAAAAGTGGAAAGGACCTAACAGAAGCAGAAGACATCAAGAAGAGGTGGCAAGAATACACAGAGGAACTATACCAGAAAGAAATTGATGTCTCGTATACCCCAGGTAGTGTGGTTGCTGACCTTGAGCCAGACATCCTGGAAAGTGAAGTCAAATGGGCCTTAGAAAGCATCGCTAATAACAAGGCCAGTGGAAGTGATGATATTCCAGCTGAATTATTTAAAATTTTAAAAGATGATGCTGTTAAGGTGCTACACTCAATATGCCAGCAAATTTGGAAAACTCAGCAGTGGCCAGAGGATTGGAGAAGATCAGTCTACATCCCAATCCCAAAGAAGGGAAGTGCCAAAGAATGCTCCAACTACCGCACAATTGCACTCATTTCGCACACTAGCAAGGTTATGCTTAAAATTCTTCAAGGCAGGCTTAAGCAGTATGTGGACCGAGAACTCCCAGAAGTGCAAGCTGGATTTAGAAGAGGCAGAGGAACCAGAGACCAAATTGCAAACATGCGCTGGATTATGGAGAAAGCTAGAGAGTTCCAGAAAGACATCTACTTCTGCTTCATTGACTATGCAAAAGCCTTTGACTGTGTCGACCACAGCAAACTATGGCAAGTTCTTAAAGAAATGGGAGTGCCTGATCACCTCATCTGTCTCCTGAGAAATCTCTATGTGGGACAAGAAGCTACAGTTAGAACTGGATATGGAACAACTGATTGGTTCAAAATTGGGAAAGGAGTACGACAAGGCTGTATATTGTCCCCCTGCTTATTTAACTTATATGCAGAATTCATCATGCGAAAGGCTGGGCTGGATGAATCCCAAGCCGGAATTAAGATCGCTGGAAGAAATATCAACAACCTCAGATATGCAGATGACACAACCTTGATGGCAGAAAGTGAGGAGGAATTAAAGAACCTTTTAATGAGGGTGAAAGAGGAGAGCGCAAAATATGGTCTGAAGCTCAACATCAAAAAAACGAAGATCATGGCCACTGGTCCCATCACCTCCTGGCAAATAGAAGGGGAAGAAATGGAGGCAGTGAGAGATTTCATTTTTTTTTGGGCTCCATGATCACTGCAGATGGTGACAGCAGTCACGAAATTAAAAGACGCCTGCTCCTTGGGAGAAAGGCGATGGCAAATCTAGACAACATCTTAAAAAGTAGAGACATCACCTTACCAACAAAGGTCCGTATAGTTAAAGCCATGGTTTTCCCAGTAGTGATGTATGGAAGTGAGAGCTGGACCATAAAGAAGGCTGATTGCCGAAGAATTGATGCTTTTGAATTATGGTGCTGGAGGAGACTCTTGAGAGTCCCATGGACTGCAAGAAGATCAAACGCATCCATTCTTAAGGAAATCAGACCTGAGTGCTCACTGGAAGGACAGATCGTGAAGTTGAGGCTCCAATACTTTGGCCACCTCATGAGAAGAGAAGACTCCCTGGAAAAGACCCTGATGTTGGGAAAGATGGAGGGCACAAGGAGAAGGGGATGACAGAGGATGAGATGGTTGGATAGTGTTCTCGAAGCTACAAACATGAGCCTGACCAAACTGCGGGAGGCGGTGGAAGACAGGAGTGCCTGGCGTGCTCTGGTCCATGGGGTCACGAAGAGTCGGACACGACTAAACGACTAAACAACAACAACAACAACAACAAAGTGTCAGTTACCATACATACTAGAAGCACATTTCAAAAGTCACTTATGGAGTATAAGAATAATTTATTCTTGTTGGCCCTGAAACTACCCCCAATCAACTTTGTTGGGTTGCTCTAAATCTTTAGTAGTGTGTGAAGAAGTGCTAGAGAAGGGGACAGCCAAAAATGTCTACCAGTTGACCTGGTTATAGTCAGCCACTTCATAAACTAGTGACTGATATAGGAGAACCCAACCATACAATAATGGTGAGGAACATAATCTGCCCTGTCTTTAAGATGCTATAAGACTCTTAAATTATGTTATGTTGTTTTAAATTCATATGCGCTGAAGGGTTAAGATAGTATCTGCTGAGTATTTATAATGCACTCATGAATCAATGCATTGTTTCCAGAAAGCATGACAATCCTCCCAACAAAGTATCATGACAGCTATTCGGATTGTTATGGATTTAGATTGTTGAGTGAACGTTTCACCTTGTTTTATGCACCAGGATCTTTGTTGTAACACAGGGATGACTAAGGAGGCATGTCCTGATGCAGTGTCAGTTTCACTCTGCAGCTTTAAGTGAATTCTGCCTGCTAGCTAACAAGGGCATCCCACCATACAGCTAGCAATGTTACACAATTTTGTCAGGAAGAGAGAGGTGCACTGTCTCATGTGCTGCCTCTGTTTACAGGAGAAGCAAGGAAACGATTGCAATATTGTTGCTATGAACTGTTCTGCAGTTGGGCGGAAAAGCTGCCAGAAAAACTCCATCCCACATATGCATAATAAGCTCAAATTATGCATTTCCATGTACAACAGCTCTTCTCTCTCCCACCCCC